TAAGAGCAAGTTTCTTCAGGAGAATTCCGGAGCAAACCCTAAACCCTAAACACTAAACCGGGTGACAAGGGTTGAGGGTGCAGGGGGCGAGCCCTAAGCCCTCAGGCAGATTGGCCCGAGCAGGGTTTTGGGGTTTAGGGTTTAGGGTTTAGGGTTTAGGGTTTAGGGTTTAGGGTTGAGTCCTTCCAGCCATCCGAACCCCTAAGGGCCCCAAACCCTAAGTCCGAAAAGCACACAAGTAAGACCTTAGGTTTAGGTTAGGGTTTAGGGCATAGGGTTTTAGGGCCTAACGCCTGCCGCGTAAGGTTTAGGGCCCAAAATCCGAGACACCGAAGCACGAAATCCTAGCCGAGGCGATCGAGTTGGCCCACTTCGCCTCCTCCCCTGGCCGCATCTTCTCCAGGCATCCAGGTTTCAGGGCAGCCCAAGGTTTGAAGGTTTAGGATTTATGGAGTTTATAGGGCTCAGGGTTTAGAGTCAGGGGTTGAGGCTTGTTTTTGAGGCTTGGGCTTAGGGGTTTAGGGTTTAGGGGTTTAGGCCTGTTTTTGAATCCTCGGATCTGAGAACAGTTGAGTTTCAGCTATAGGCTCAAGCCTGAACCCTAAACTCTAAACCCTAAACCCTAAACCCTAAAACCCTAAACCCTAAACCCTAAACCCTAAACTGGTTGAGGGCAAGAAAGCCAACAAAGCGGGGTGTCAAGCCCGCACCCCCAAGGGCTCAGGTGGAGAACCCCGAACCCTCAACTCCCCTGGTGTAGGGCTTCTCCCTAAACCCTAAACCCTAAACCCTAAACCCTAAACCCTAAACCCTAAACCCCAACTCTGACATTAACACCCATAAACCCTAAACCCTGACTAATGGGCACAAGTCAAGGGCCCACAGTCTAAGTAAGTCAACTTTTCACGACGTACAGCAATTGCAGGCGCTCACAACCCTACTTGCAGGTACCCCTAAACCCTAAGCCCTAAACCCTAAACCCGATACACGCCTTTCGGCCAGGCCCCAAAGGTGAATTGGGTTCAGAGCAGTCAGGGCTGGATATTTGCAGCGTGCTTCTGTTCAGGGTTGTTGGTGCTTACCTATACCCCCAAAAGTATGCAAGAGAAAGACCTGTGTTCATGGGTTTCGGGCCATGTTTGTTACCTACTTTTGGGGGGGTCCAGGTAAGCCCTAAACCCTAAACCCTAAACCCTAAACCCTAAACCCTCAACCCTCTTAAGCCCTAAGCCGTAGACCCCTAAACCGCTGGGCCGCAGGAACGTCCTGTACGTTCCCATCGATGGCACGCCAGACATAGCAAGCGTGGTTCAAGGCGGGACCCCTACGCCGCTCACGTATAGGGTTTAGGGTTTAGGGTTTAGGGTATAGGGTTTAGGGTTTACGGCTTATAAGGGTCTAAGGTGTAGGGTTGGATAGGGTTTTGGATTTTGGGTTTACGGTCTAGGGGGTGTAACCGCCAAGACCTCATGGTCACTCATGGTCAGATGGAGTCATGAGGCTTCGTCCCTTTCTGTGCAGTGACTCATGTTTGCCTTGGTCAGCCCTATCCTGGGTTTTGGAGTACCACACTTTAATGCTTGTTTTTTTGTCCTAGGTTCCCACTATTCGCTATTTATACCTAAAAGGTATATTATACTTTCGTTCCAGGGTCTACTCCAAAGTAGGGTACCTGCAGGAATCCTCAACCCCTTAGAACGGGGTCTTGGGGGAAGTTAGGGCTCTAAGCTTCCTTGCAAGGAGCTTTAGGGATAAGGGCACTTCATTACCAGATGCCCTTGTACCAATCCTTGGGAGCCCAGTGCTACATTCTATTTTTGTTTGTGTGTTCAAGGTTCCCTTATAAAGTAACCAACCCTAAATAAGGGTGCCCTTATTTCTAATAAGGTTCCCTTATTATTATAATGTCACCAACACAAAACAAAGGGTGCCCTGATTTCTAATATGGCTGCTGAGCTACCAAGAACCGGCAAGCAGACGCTCAGACTGAGAGGCATTTCGCAGTCCCTGGCCGCCAGAAGTCCACAAGTGCTCCCAAGCGCTTCGCGAAACCAGAAGGTGGCCTGGCTTAAGGTTTAGTGCCTAGTGCCTCAGGAGCTTAGGGCTTCGGGGTTGAGGTTTAAGGTGTTTAGGGTTTAGGGTTTAGGGTTTAGGGTTTAGGGCTTCGGGATGCTTAGGCTCCTGGGCAGCCTTGCGGTGGCAAAAGTTTTTTTTCTGGAGAGAGCCTGGTTCAATAGTCGCATTTGCTGTGCCTGCAAGGCACCCAGAAGCCCCAAACCCCATGGGTTGGGCTACAAGTACCTGAAGTAAGGTAAGGGTTTAGGGTTTAGGGTTTAGGGTTCAGGGTTCAGGGTTCAGGGTTTAGGGTTTAAGGTTTAGGGTTTAGGTTTTGGGGTTGAGGGCAGACTAAGCACTCGGACCCACAGTGGGCCCTAATTCCGTTTATTGCTATTATTTTTTATTACCATAATTATTACTATGTATTTCATTTTATGTTTCTTTGTGTCTTTTTTTCGGGGGGGGGGGGGGGGGGGGGTTAGGTTCCCGTATAGACCCAGCGGGGGACTTAGGGACCTCTCTTCAGAACCCAACACCGGCGGTTTTGCAGTTCTGCTTATAGAACTTCCTTGTAGGATTCTTGGGTAGCCCACTTAAAAGTAGTTTGGTTTTGGGGGTTCATTTGGTAGAGCCCAAGACCAGCCGAGGATATCCTCCAAGCTCTGCATCACCTGGACCAGACAAGGCCGAACAACTTCTCCCAGCCCCCCTTAATCAAGGAATATACCTGAAACTTGGAAGGGACGTTCCTGAGGAATAAAAGGTTTAGGGTTTAGGGTGTAGGGATGTTCCCCTTTTATACTAACAGTCCTTAGTAGGGATGAGAATAGGAGGTAGCAGAATCCCGATGAAGGACTCTTAGTGCAAAAGGGGAGTTTGGAGGGTGCGGTTTCAGGCTTTAGGAGTTTCAGGGTTTGGGCCTGAGGTTTTCAGCTTAAAGACTGAGGAGTTCTTAGGTCTTTGAGATCGGCTTCTGCTTTGTTGTTTTTTCGTGGGGGGTGGGGAGGGTGTGGGGAGGGTGTGGGGAGGGGGTGGGGAGGGGGTGGGGAGGGGGTGGGGAGGGGAGGAGAGTCAGCAGAGTCTCTGAGCCGAAAAGTGGCACTTCAACAGTACGGTCTAAAAAACACACCTAAGCCCCAAAACCCTCAAACCAAATCCTAACCCTATATGACTTCGAGAAAACACTGGCGAGTTGGGGGGGGGGAGGGGGCCTAAACCTTAAGCCCAAAACCCTAAACCCCATAAACCCCATAAACCCTAAACCCCTAACCCTAAACCCTGAACCCTGAACCCTGAACCCTAACCCTGAACCCTGCGCACAGGGGTCGGCACCTGCTACTCTTGGATGACCGATGCGGTGCCGTCCGGGCGAGCTCGGAGGTTCGCAGCCTTCTGACCTTTTGCAGCACTTCCCGTTTAGGGTTTAGGGTTTGGGGTTTAGGGTTTACGGTTTAGGGGGTTTAGGGTTTAGGGCTTACCGCAGGGCTCCAAGGACTCTTATTTTAAGGTTTTTGGTTGTTCTTGAAGGCTTGGGGCTATTTTGAGCCTAAGGGGAAGCTGCAGGGAACTCAGTAAGCAGGGAAAACGTCGGTTCAACAGTGGCTCAGAAGTACCCGAAGTTGAGTTTTCTGATGCTACAAGGAGGGGCCTTCCTAGTTATAGGTAGAGTCATAAGATCCCTAAATTGGATTATAAGGATCCTAAATTAGGTTATAAGCCCCTTAACTACAGTCAGGTTAGTAAGGGGACCCCTCCTTGTAACCCCGAAGGGTCCATGTACCTATATCGTATATACTTGGGCCTTAAAGGGGTTCCCATATAGTAGCTTTAGGGCCCAAGTATATACTATATGGGTACATGGAATGTTTGGGTACATTTTGACTAGGTATTCTACAGGCCTTTACATGTAGAGTACCCCTAAATGGGGACCCAACCCTTAAATCCAAGCATTCTTTCGACGAGTTGCAAGTTCAACCCTCATTTAGAGAACGCCAGGTGGCAGTTTGGGGTTTAGGGTTTAGGGTTTAGGGTTTAGGGTTTAGGGTGCAGTCGAAACCTTGTGACTTGCATTGTGTTCCTGAGTCTTGCAGAACTTGGTTCTTTAAACCACTCTAAACCCTAGGCCCTTCACCCGTCTGTAAGCCGACAAACCTCAGAAAACCTACGCCCGCTAGTGTTTCGAGCTTAGGGCCTAGTGTTTTTTTCTTGTTGCCTAAGGAGTAACATGCTGGAGGCGGCCACGGATCTGCAATTGAGATGCCTGTGTGGGGGGTCTACAAAAATTGGGTCCCTCCCCACTCCTTGTTTCCTGATAAGAGGTGTTGTGCGTATAAACCCTGCTCACAAGTGGCTAGTCACGTCTGTGCTTGAATCCTAAACGTCAATCAGCGAATCTACCCCAGCAGCGTGATGTGCTTGCGGCATGCATGGTATCATCGTGATACGTCTGGACACAATTCGGCGTCAATTAAGTTTAAGGGTTTGCAGTTTCGAGTAGCATCAGTAGACATCTGAGTGGATGTCAACAGCTGCAGAAGAGACGTAGCCAGCCCAGTCGCCGATTTGGCATGAACCAGTACAAGGACACTTGTTTCACCATCTTTTTGGGGGAGGGGGTCGCGGGAGGTCATTCTTTTGAGAAAAAGGGGCGGGGGTGAAGCTATTTGGCATAGTCAAAACGAGAACATGTCCGCCCCCTTCCCAAGGCCAAGAATTTGAGCACCTTGTCTGCAGAAAAGCCGTTGCAAGCAGTGAGATCCGAGTTCGGAGTTTAGGTTTTGTTCGAAGATCTCAAGAACGGAGTTGCGGTGCGATCTTATTCTACTCTTCTTCTTTTCTTCTTCTTCTTCTTCTTCTTATTCTTTTTCTTCTTCTTATGGCTGGTTATTATTATGATGATTATCCTCTGGACCTGAGGTCTAGTTGTGTGCTCGCGAGAACAAATGTACGAGTCGTTGGGACCGTGCAAATGCGTCAATGTGCCAATGGCCCGGGCCTTGGACTTTCGCCATCAGCCTGTTGAGTTCATGTTCTGCATGGTTTAGGGTTCAGGGTTTAGGGTTAAGGGTTTAGGGTTCACCTGGATTCGGAAAGTACTTGACATGATGGCTCAGGGCCTCAATACCCCACTGCCCTTTTTGGTGTTCCTTTTTTTTTTGGGGGGGGGGGGGGGGGCAGACACCGGCCATGGCTCTCAGTAGCTCGCAGGCCCCCAGGTTGAGGGTTCTTTTTTTTTGCACGTCTTCTGGCTCCGCTCTTCACGCGGATCATGACATGTGGGGGCCTCCGAAATTAGAGGTAGCCTATTGGGGTCCTGATTAAATAGAAAGGAAAATCCTACTAATGCTGACCTCGCCTTTATAACCCCCCCCCTCAGTTGAACAAACCCCAAGCCCTGGCCAAAGCCCGGAACTCAACTATCAACCCACCCCTCAATTAAGGAACCCCGGCCCCCGGCCCGGGCCCGAATTTTTTTTATTTTCTGTGGGCCCTTTTGGGTAGGTCAGGGCTTGGGGGGCGGCTCAGGACAGCCCGAGGGTCGGGGCGGAAACAAAAAGGGTTTAGGGTTTAGGGTTTAGGGTTTAGGGTTTAGGGGAAAAATCAATTGTTTCGGGGGGCGGGGGGGGGGATTATTAGGAGGTCAACATTATTTGGGAGTCTATATTAGGGACCCTTCTTTCGTAACCCCCATCTGGCTCCAGCCCTTCAGGCAGCATTGACTGCTGTACAGCCGCGCCCTGAGGAGTGTGCTTGTGATGACATGCTGTTTGAGATGGGCGGGGAGGTCCAAATTAGGGTCCCTGTTTGAGAGCGGCTATTGTTACAAGGACTAGGAGTCGTATCATACAGGTCCGGTGTCAAAGTGCAAGAAAGGGCAACGGCATACAAATAATCAGTATTGCATAATACTCTTGAACAAAGTATCAATGGGGGGGATCTTGGAGCACCCCTCTCCCGACCAACAACCCGACCCTAAACCCCCCAATCCCCTGAAATCCCGGCCTTTCGGACCTGGAAACCCTAAACCCAAGACCCTAACCCCTGTCAGCCCCCTTTTGGGAGCTGCCCGCCCCCAAGGTCTGCGCAACTTTTCTTGAAGCGCATGCACCGTCCTCTACGACCTTGCGACTTGGAGCAGGGCGCGCCTGCCCATGGAGCCATAGCGACTGGGAGAAAACCAGCGGTACCACTCTTTGGCACCATTTTGTTGAGGGTTGGGGCTTGTTTCCTTTGTTAGCAGGTGCCCTTGAATGGTTGCTCTTTCATCATTTCGAGACTGCTTTTGTTTCATGAATCCTAAACCCTAAACCCTAAACCCTAAACCCCAAACCCTAAACCCTAAACCTCAGAGGTGAGAAGCGAGGAGATACTGCACAAGCTGGCAAGGCATCCATTGCTGTTGCAGCTTGCAGGCAACCCGGGTCAGGTTGATGCCATCTGCCAGAGGGTCACCTCGGAACACTTGGAAATACTTCTTTAGTTTTTGGGGTACTTATAATTCCTATAGGAAATACTATCATTTCTTGGGGGGTACTTCTACTTCCTAAGAAACAGCCTCAACAAAAACTATACTTTCTGCTAGGGTTCCCAAGATTCAGTAAGAGGTCACTCCACACCTGCGGTCTTTGTGGGATCTCTGCACCAATCGCGCAGCCGCCGCGGCCGCCGCGGCCGCCCGGGATGCCCGGGCTATGTCACTCGAGGCTTGCTAGCCCGGTGGTACCCTTTGCCCTTTTTTTTTTTTGTTGGTTATGGGTCCCCTTAATTATAAAGTAACTATCCCAAAAAAGGGTGCCCTTATGATAAGATGGTTTCTGGGCTACCAAGGACGAGACCGTCACGGAGTCTCTGCAGCTCACGCGGAAGATGTCCATAGATAGTGGCTTTGGTAGCCCAGTGGTACCCATTTTGCCCCTTTTTGTTGGGGGGGGCTCAAGGTTCCCTTCTAAAGAAACCAGCCCAAAGAAAGAGTGCCCTTGTTATCTAATATGGCTACCGGGCTACCAAGGTGGAGTTGGACCGAGAACGATGTCGCTTGATGGACCAGCCCTTGCCCGAATGATGTCAGTAGACGAGACTCAGGCCACAGACAACGGTATCGACCATTTCTAGGTGTCAGCACAATGAGCCCATGACAAATTCTCACAGAATGGGACCCAAGTCCTTCCGATGTAGTGCAGTACGCCTCCAGTACTAAGGTTTAGGGGTTTGAGGCCCAGATGGTTTGATAGAAGCAGCGAGTGCCCACAGGGTTTGCTGACACCTGTCGCCAGAATTCGCATACCATGTTGGCGTTTTGCCGGATGCATTTACTGGCTACAGGAAAGACGTCCGATGGTGACAGTGACTTCTTGCAAGATTGATGTTGCGTCCTCTTCCGAGATGGTTCTCACGCACTTTTTCCACTATCCTGTTTGATTTGAACGCCGCTGTCACTCACAAGAGGGCAAACGCAAACTACGTGCCCAAAGTCTTTCCAGCCGGAAATTTTCATTGCACCCGTGTTTTTGGTGAAGAGAGACGAACCTCGCAAAACTTGAGTGATTCTGTACTTCACTTGCACAGCCCGCAACGAGATCGGGAAACCGGAACCACTGTGACAATGTGGTTGTTCCAGCCACTGTCGAAACAGTGCGTGATTATCTTGGACTTGACGATGGTGGTGCCCTAGGCACCTAGGCAGCATTTCCCAAGAAAAAGTCTCTCGCCTGTGCTGGCAAACGAGGGGGTTCGAGTGAAGCCTATGAAGTGAGTTGAGCTAGCTTGTCTCGTGACTCCCAATGCCTTCGTGCGAGGTCGACATGAAGGGTCATGAAGGCCTTTGTTCATGTAGCAGCAGTATAATCATATATAGAGTAGCCTCACAATGTAACCATGTAATACTACAATGACTGCCGTTTCGAGTCCGGCTTCAGAAGTCAGGCTTAACAGGTTCATAGGGTTTTTAAGGTTTTTTGCACTTTGTGAGGTGCCGCCGGAGCAGTTGGTTTTCCTGAGGTGGCCAGCCGAGCAGGAGCCGCAGAGACCGTGGCTGGAGTGTGCTTACTTGGGATGCGCCGACCGCGCCACTGCATGACACCTGGACCCGACTAAACCCTGTCTGCATGCCAGGCTCCTTACTAAATAACTAAACAATTTTTGTATATACACATATATATGTATATATCTAGCTACAGTATTGCGTTTGTAGGTTTATTCGTTTATTTGTTTAGTTATATTCTTATTCCCTCGGAGCTCCCGAAACAGCCACCACATGTCAGACCCGCTTGGGTCCCTTCTTGTGGGAACAAGTCCACTCCCCCACTCAGATGACCGCGGACACATCACAGTTCGGTGCAGGAAGGAAGAAATCTTCAACACGCTAAAGCGCCCAACCCTGGGCCTAAATCACAAAGAAAAAAGCACGGCACGGCTTCAGCACACTGTGCCCTGAAACCTTGAAAGCCCCCTAGCCTGAAATCCTAACCCTAAAGCTTACACCTCACAGCAACCCTAAACCCTCAAACCCTCCAACCATCTAAACCCTCTATATAAAGCCTAAACCCCCAAAGCAACCCGAAACCCTAAAGCCTCTAGACTCTAGACCCTCGAAATCCTCTAAGCGCTAAGCCCAAAGGCAACCCTAAACCCTCTAAACCCTCTAAAGCCTCAACCTCAAACAACTCTAACATTCTCTAAGCCCTCAAACCCCCCGAAGCAAACCTAAGCCCTCTAAACCCTCTAGACCCTCTAGACCGTCTAAACCCTCGAAACCCTGAACCCCAAAGCAACCCTAAACCCTCTAAAGCCAAAGCCCCAAAGCAACCCTAAACCGGAAAGCCTCTAAACCCAAAACCCCAAAGCAACCCTGGACCCGCTAAACAACCCTCAACCCTCAAGCTCTCACCCTAAACCCTCAACCATTTAACCCTCTAACCCTCTAACCCTCTAACCCTCTAACCCTCTAACCCTCTAACCCTCTAACCCTCTAACCCTCTAACCCTCTAACCCTCTAACCCTCTAACCCTCTAACCCTCTAACCCTCCAACCCTCTAACCCTCTAACCCTCTAACCCTCTAACCCTCTAACCCTCTAACCCTCTAACCCTAAACCCTAAACCCTAACCCTCTAAAGCCTAAGCCTCCGCACAGGACATCGGCCAGCTAGTTCCCACTGGCACCGCAGTGCCAAAGACCGCTTCACAGCGCCCGGAACCCACCTTTACTCGCAGACGTTGCGCGTGTTACATATTTTTTGTTTGGTATGCATGTTATGTATGTGTGTGTTATGACTGGTTTATGTGTTTTAGATTGTATATGCGTTCTCTCTCTCTCTCTACACATATATATATATATATATATGTATTTCTGTTATATGCGCCATATATTTGTTATTCATGCAGTAGGCGACATACATATATATATATATATACACATACACACATACACACACACATACGTACATACATACATACATATACTTACACATACACATACACATACACATACACATATACATGTACATATACATATACATATACATATACATATACATATACATATACATAAACATACATACACACACGCACATATATATATATATATATAGACATAGATAGTATGTATGTGTGTATGAACATATGTATATATAAATGTATTTATTTATATAGTCATATGTATATGTATCTTTATTTATTTGTTTATATTTATGCATATATGTGATATGTTATGTATAGGTTATGTGTTTTATGAATGAGTTTTAGATGTGAAGGAGCATGTTTTTTTTCATTTGCTATGTATGCTTTATATGCTGTGTATGTTATGTGTATATATATATATATATATACATATAGATAGGTAGGTAGATAGATAGATAGACAGACATGTGTCGTGTATGCATGTATGCATGCATGCATGATAACTGAATGACTGAATGCATGCATGCATGCATGTATGTATGTATGTATGTATGTATGTATGTATGTACGTCACACACATGTGTATGTATGTGTGTTACAGAGACATATATTGATACACATTTCCATATTGTTATGTTACATATAACATATATATATATACACACATGGGAGCCCGACCTCGACATCAACCTCACCAGAAAAAACAGAAGACAAGCCTGAGGTGCGACACTGAACTGATGCATATGGAAACACAAAGAAACGGTAAAATAACTACCCACGTCATATATGTATACAGGGAAATATGTATTGGACCTCAAATGCGATACACGACAAGAAAGGACGTGCAGATAGTCGAGAAGAAAGGATGTTAATCCTCAAACCTTAAGACGAAGAAGTACTCGAGGGCCTAGAGTGACATGAAAAAACATTATATGTAAGCCAGGGGTGCGAGAATACTGTGAGCAAATGTCATTTCTTGATATTCACGGTTGGAAATGCCTTTGCTTGTAGGGAACTTGGAAGTATTCGCGTGCATGGAGTGATGCAAGAAAATCAAGATTCGCCACAAGCCCACCCACGCCGTCCCAACGGTTCCACTTTGTACTAATGCATCCCATCGGAGGCAAGCCCCACAAACATGGGCATTTTCTTAGGAAAAAGTGCAGAAAATCACAATCAGAAAGCAAGCTGGGTTCCCAAGAAATGCCAATGTTTGTAAGGCTTTCCTCCTATGGAATGCAAAGAAGAGGTAGAATCTAAGAAACATTCACCATACCCCAAACCCATACCCCTTAACCTATATGAAAGGACAATATAAGGGAGTCTAAGGGAGGATTTTACTATACCCCTTAATTTATTTTAAGGGGTATACCCTAGGGGTATGTTGAATATTCTTTGATAGAATAACTACCCACATCTTGTATGTATATTTTCTGTGTGTGTCTAGTAGAAGAAAGGATGGTAACAGCATTTGTTGGAGAGATTAAACACACTACGAACCAAACACAAAGATGCAAAACCATGGGACACGATGACCCGGACATAGGGAACTAGTCTCCCAATATTGTGTGTGCGTGGTTCTTTTTGGTTTAGGTTTTTGTTACTAAAAGAACTCACTCAACAACAAAAACCAATTAAAACACTATGACCCGGACCTGGGACTAGTCTTCCAGTTTTTTGTTATTTTTTTGGTTTTGGGGGAGACTGTGACCTGGAGACGGAACAAAACAGATATATGCTATACGAAACACCGTAACACCCACAACCCCCCCCCCCCCCCCAAAAAAAAAAAAAAAATATAAATATAACCAACATCTGGGGCGACTAGCGCACTGTCTGCGGGGCACAGTCTCCTCAACTCCCCAAAAGCACAAAAAAATTGGGAGACTAGTCCCCTGGGTTCGGGTCATAGTCTCCGAATATTCTTTTGGGGTTTCGGAAGACTGTGACCAACCAAACACAACTCACCCAAAACCAAAAAATTCCAAACAAAACAAAATAACACCAAAAAAACAAAGAAACATAAAACCCATAAATAAAAAAAGCCAAAACCCAAAAGCAACAAAACAACAAAAACCAAAAACAAAAACAAAAATTTCGGAGGGCTTGGCCCAAACCAAAAAAACCAAAAAACAACAAAACAAACAAAACAACCAAACAACCAAAAACAAAAAACCTCGGAGGGCCTGGGCCAAACCAAAAAAAATCGGCGGGCCTGCCCCAAAACCAAAAAACACAAATTTTGGGGAACCATGACCCGGGCCATTTTATTTTTGATTTTTTTTATGCTATTTGTTTTTGTGTTTTTGGTTTATTAGGCTTTTTGTTGGTTTGGCTCCGGCCCTCCGAAATCTTTGGTCTTTTTGTTTGTTGTTTTTTTGGTTGTTTTTTTGTGTTTTTTTGGTTTTTTGTTGTTTTTTTGGGGGGGGGTTTTCTTACTCTTGGATTCGTACGGGGTTGGTCTTGGGGGGGGGGGGGGGGGGTAGCTATATATATGGTAACCCCCCCCCCCCCCCAAGACCGACCTCGACATCAACCTCTCCAGAACAACAGAAGACAAGCCTGAGGTGCGACACTGAACTATATATGCATATATACAAAGTATATAGGATATGCGCGTTACCTATGCTAAACTGTTATGTGTGTTAGATATGTCGCAGTTTTACACGTTACGCACACATATATACATGGTCGAACTTATATGTTGTGTGAAGGTTCCAAGTGTGCAGCCTGCAGCAATGAAGTAGGGCGCCACCAGGCAGTGGGGTGGGTGTAGAGGATAGGGTACCTAAAACCAAAACCCTATATACTAAACCCGCCGTTGTTTTTTTTTGGATTTCATCTTAAGCAGCTCATACACATGACATGTCTGGCATATGGCTGGATACACGCCCACGTGTTTCAGAGGTTGGGGTTGAGTTGAGGACTGAAGGGCTTCCAGGGTTTAGCATTGCGGGTGCAGGCTTCACAGGGCCTACAGGGCCAGGAGCTTTCGGGCTCTCTTGACATACACACACACATATATTTATATATTTATATATTTATATATATATATATATATGCTCGCCCCCCCCCAAAAAAAAAACTAGTGTTTTTATAGAGGATGCTATAATAGAGCTTTTTGTATTCCAGTGCAGTTTTTACTGCATTTTTCCGGTGAAAAAACAGAAAATCAGACAAAGACGAAGACAGGAAAACCATAGGTGTGGATCATGGGGGGGGGGGCTGACCATATATATATATATGTATTTATACATGTGTATAGAAACCCCCGCCCCCCCAGAACATGCGGGTGCGAAGCTTAATAACTCTTCGGGGTTGGTTCCGGGGGGGGGGGGAGCGGGGAAGGCTTATCAAAGGTGTATGTATGTATGGATGTATGTATGTATGCGTGCATGTGTATCATCTATAACATACAAAACATTTGAACCTCAATTGCGCCGACTTCTGTACCTGCCAACCGAGTAAGGCCTGGAACAGCTGGTGCCAGCCGGTGGTGGTGCCGCGACCGCAGAGCCCGGTGCGCCCCAGCTCCCCCAACGGAAGAAAGGGGTTTAGGGTTTAGGGTTTAGGGTTTAGGGTTTAGGAAAGACTGAAGAAGTCAAGCTACCGGAACTCACCCAAAGGCTCCTTCGTGGTACCTTGCTTGGGGTAGTATACCAAAATCCTCTATAGCTAACCGAAAAAGGAACTATTATTGTAGCCTTCAGGCATACCAGAAACGCAAGCCCGAGTTCATCCTCACCCTTCTCTGTAAGGGCAGAACCCCTGCTTTCTGGGGTCAAGCTTTGAACCGCATCCTGAGCAACGCCGCGAGGTGGCTTGTGCCTGCCGCCTTGGCACGTGCCTCACCATCTCACGCAGCGCAGTGCCGGATTTGCGAATATCTGCTGGGTGTCACCATGTGAACTTTGTCCTCAGAATCTTCAAGACACCGCTTGTTTCACAGGTCCGCCCTGCTCCCCCAGGCAACTGTAGAAGACATCCAAAGCCGCAAGCAGAAATGCCTCAGGGACCGGATATGCCTCCTTGACATGGACGCCTGCACCTCGAAACTGCTCCAGGGTTTTAGGGCTTAGGGTTTGGGATCTATAGGGTTCATAAGGTACCGATTCAGCTGGGGGCTTTTCGAATGCCTCTTAAGTCCTCAAGCTTCGTTGTCTAGCGGCGTGTGAACCCCTGTCGTCGTTTCTGATTTCCCAGCATCTGAGTTTTCTTGCTCAGCATGCAATAATTTTCGTGTCTTATTTAGAGTTTGCCGTTTCTGTTTCTAGCCCTAAACCCTAAACCCAAAACCCTAAACCCTGCTACCTGTCCAACCTCGGACATGTTTTCGCTGTTGCTGAGACCCTGAACCCTAAACCCTAAACCCTAAGCCCTAAACCCACTGAGGCCGAGGAGGTCCTTCAGCCCGACGATGTTGCAAAGTTTGATGCCTTCGTGGCAGCCTCGGCCAGGAGACTTCCAGGCTTTTAGGCTTTGGGGTTTAGGGTTTAGGGTTTAGGGTTTAGGGTTTAGGGGGTTTAGGGTTCGGGGAAAAAGGTGACTTGCAGTAGTTCTTGTTTGGGAGGTGGGGGTTCAGGCTTCTTCTCTCTCTTCCCTTCCAAGAAGTGCTTAGGGTAGGGCCTCTGAGGCCTGAATTCTCAAAAAAGCAAGGTTTAGGGGAATTCACTCAAAGGCTCCAATTTAGTTCCTTTTTGGGTTAGTTATAGGGGATTCCAGTATGCCACCCCAAAAAGGTACTACATAGGAGCCTTTACCCTAAACCCTAAGTTCTAAGTTCTAAGTTCGGACTCGAAGAGATGCGACATGCCTGCGGGTCAGGATCTCGCGTTTCGAGCGCACGTTACCGGTGTCTTGTGCATCGCTTTGTAAACACGTTCGGGGTTTAGGGTTTAGGGTTTAGGGTTTAGGGTTTAGGGTTTAGGGTTTAGGGTTTGAGTACGGCTCTACTGGGGAAGGGGGTGGGGGGGGGTTAGGAGGTTGGCATAGGGTTTGGGGTATCCCTAAAACCCCAAACCAGGATCAACACGATTGTGGGAAGAACCAACCATACTCCCTTTGGGTATTCCATACTGGGCGCTGTCAACAACTTCTGTCTAGGGGAGCTGCGCCAAGGTTTCATCTTCACCCCAGAACCTTAAACCCTAAATCCTAAACCCTAACCCCTCAGATGGTGAGCCTTGTGCTGTGCAGGTGTTTGGAGGCATCCTTGGCAATGTGATTGAGAACGACGATGGCTCCTACGGCAGCGATGACAGGACGTCCGAAATTCGTACGGAGCTTGGGCACGGCAAGCAAGAGCTAAACCCCTACACCCAGGCATAATTCATGACCCCAAAGCCACGAAACCCAAATGGAATCAGCAAACACCTTAAGGCCTGCATACCTTAAACCATCTGAACCCCTAAAGGCGCTTCTGAAGTCGGCGAGGTTGTGCGCAGAGAGCCGGTACCACTCCCTCAAGAGGTTTGAGGTTAAGAGCCGAGTTTCGGGTTCCCGATGTACAGCTTTCGGGTTTAGGGGCGTTCGGGTATCCAGGGTTTTTTGAGCTCAGACACTCTTATCTAAACCCTAAACCCTAAACCCTAAACCCTCGAAGCGCCGGAAGGCCGAGAGGGAGCATTCGAGAACATGGGGCTTGTCGAGTGTCTTGAGGTTTAGGGTTTAGGGTCTAGGGTTCGGGGTTTAGGGTCTAGGGTTTCAGGTTTAGGGTTTAGGGTTAGGGTTTAGGGCTTTGGCTGAGCATCGACCCCCTGCACAACCCCTTGGCTCTGACCTCTTCGTTTGTATACCCTCGGATGAGGGGTCTGAGTCTCGCAATCATAGAGCCGTACACCCTAAACCCTAAGCCCTCGTTTTTTGTCACTACCCATGAACCTCCAAGTTGGTGTAAGTTCCTGAACGCAGGATGGTTGCGTCAGCTTTGCCCATACCCTTGTTAAATGCTCCCGTTTAGGGGGTTCAGGGTTTAGGGTTCAGGGTTTAGGGTTTAGGGTTTTAGGGCATAGAGTTCAGGGTTAGGGTTTAGGGTTTTAGGGTTCAGGGTTTAGGGTTTGGGGTTTAGGGTTTCGGGTTTAGGGGGGCATCTCAGCAGATCCCCCCTGCATTTTTACCCCCCCCCCCCCCCCCCCCCCCCCGCCTCCTGACGATCTATGAAGAGCCGTCCCTTCTGGGCCAAGGCCCGTACTTCAAGCATCGAAGGCCCGGGCCCAAGGTAGCCGAGGTGCAGAGGTGATTTTTTTGTTTTTGTTTTTTTTTTTTGGGGGGGGGGGGGGTTTAGGGTTTTGGGGGGTAGGATTCAGGGTTTTGGGGTTTAGGATTCAGTTTGGGGTTTAGGGGTTTAGGATTCAGGGTTTTGGGGTTTCGGGTTTGGGGTTAGAGGTCAGTTTGGGGTTCAGGATCCAGGGTTGTTCTTGGGGTTGATAAGGCTCACAGGGTTTGCAGGGTTTGGGGTGCTTGATGGTGTCTTACAGGGATTTTGAGGGGTATATAGGGTGTGTAGGTTCTTCAGGGTTTACATGGATTCTATAGCTAATTAAGCGGTTATAGTGTTTATTGTGTTTTTGGGTTTGTAGGTCTTTCAGGGTTTATAGGGTCTACGGATGGTAGCAGATGTGTTACGTTGAAAAGCCCACGGAGCAGTCCAGAACGCCCACTTCGGGGTGAATGGGGTTTCGAATCTAGTGCTCGATAGAGTCTAGCGCTTAGGGTTTAGGGCCTACACTCTAAACCCTAAATCCGAATCAACGGGTTCAGGTTGGGATGTTCCCCCTTGTACTAGCAGTCCTGTAGAGGGATTCTAGTTACCCCTCCCCCCCCCCCCCCCATTACAATCCCTATTAAGGAATGTTAGTATAAGGGCGAAAACCCCGGCCGATACCCTAAACCCTAAAACCTGAATCCGACTTAACGGGTTCAGGTCGTATGGGGTGCAGAACCCCATCTACTATAGGGGTCAGAAAAATACTAGTCGTATTTCCTTATGGTCCCTTTTATCAATATACCATAACAACCCCAATACCCTACTCTAATTATTTAGGCCTCTTGTTCTACTTCCCCTTGATAAACATACCATAATAACCCCCAAAAACCCTACTCTAATCATTAAGGCCCCCTATATCTACTTCTTGCTCCGCTTGAGGCATCTTGGGCCCATGCAGATGACCACGGACACTGCAGTGCTCGTGGCACAGAAGGTGGGCTGAAGACCCCAAACCCTGAAGTTTAGTGTCTAGGGTTTAGGGTTGAGGGTTTAGGGCTGAGGGTCAAAGGTTTAGGGTTTAGGGCTTCGGGTTCTTGAAGAGAGCTTCCTGTTCTCTGTGGACGAAATGGACCCTGAAAGGGTACATGGCCCACATAAACCTGCATACTGATAGGGATTGTTGTAGTTGGGGGGTATATATGATCCCAAATTTAGGGTTCGTTTGTCTCCAAGGAAAGGCGATCCTTTTATCAAAGGATTCCTTTTGGGAAAAAGTCCCTCAAGAAGGGCTCCAAGGGCTCATGAGGCTTAAAAGTTGTTGATGAAAGAACCCTAAACCCTAAACCCTAAACCCTAAACCTTAAACCCTAAACCCTAGAAGCCCGGCCATAGGTCCTGGAACGTGCCTGCCCGCTGGCGGAGATTCCATTTCTGGATTCACCTGAGTTCGAGCGCCCAGGAGATGGCAAAGATGCAGGACGCGAGAGTACTTGTCGGGGTTTCGGGTTTAGGGTTTAGGAGTTTCGGGTTCAGCAGGGGTTTAAGGTTTAAGGTTTAGGGCTGCAGGAGCTGCTGCATCCGACTCCGTGTGCATGGAGGTGGGAACGACAGCTTCGTTTTCTCTGTCAGACACAACCCCAAGTGAATCCTAAACCTTAAAGCCTAAACTCTGAACCCTAACCCCTAAACCCTAAACCCTAAACCCCAAATCCTAAACCCTATAAACCCTAAACCTCAACCTCACATGGATGCAAGGTCACTCCAACCGTGGTTGCTCAAACACAAACATAGCTCAAAGCCTTGATGTCCCACAGGACGCAAGGCCTTGTTGTAGGCTTTTTGGGGTTTAGGGCTTAGGAGTCGGCTTCGGAGGCGTCCAAATTGCTGAGGTCTAAAGTGGGCTGCAGGTCCTTTAAGGCTTTCTGGTTTAGGGTTTAGGGTTTAGGGTTTAGGGTTTTAGTCCCTGGTAGTCCAGTGAGTGGTACTCTTCACCCTTTTTGTTGCTCAGGGTTCCCTTATAAAGTAACGAACCCAAAGAAGGGTGCCTTTATTCTGATCTGGTTACTGGGCTACCTTCAGTAGTCCACTTGGAGGTTCAGGGTACTTCTAACGGAGGTTCAGGGTACTTCCAACCCCAATGACAACTGCACTTGTGAGTCCCCCAAGTCCCCTAAGTCCTCTAAGTAGGTTGCAAGTGGACTTCTAATTGGTGGTATACGGAGTTATGAACCTCCAAGTAAACCCCAAATCCTAAACCCTAAATCCTAAACCCTAAACCCTGAACCCTAAACCCAGCCAATCATGACCAGGGCTTCAGATATGTGGCGCGTCGGGGCGACACGGGCGACTGGGAGCCCACGCTGCCCGAGGATCGGTTTGGGTTTAGGGTTTAGATTTTAGGGTTTAGGATTTGGGGTTTGGGGTTTAGGATTTAGGGTTTAGAGTGGGTGGGGCATTTTGAGATTAGAGGGTTTGGGTTGGATACCTGATCTGTTCCAGTGCTACGTCTTGAGCCGATTAAGGCTGAACAATTATGGTCTCTGAGTTCTTGCTTGACTGGGCCGTTTGCCGAAGTATCGAGGTCATTCAGGCTTGCCACCATGGCGACCCCCAAAACCCTGAACCCTAAACCCTAAACCCTAAGGCTACCATCACAACTTCCCCCTCCTTCTGTGCTCCTGCATCGACTGCCGGCTACAGCTACCACCACTTCGACGGTTTCCCAAGGTTCTAACACCTGCTAAACCCATTAGGTGATAAGCCCCTTAACTACAGTTAGGTTAGGAAGGGGGGCCCCTCCTTGTACTAAACCCTGAACCCTCAGACTCCCTATATGCCCTACCCCTCAAAAACCCGATAAAACCATATACGCCCTACCTATTCCACCTTCTTCTTCTGATAATTCCTACTATTATTAAGAGAACCCCATAAAACTCTGTGAGCCCAGACTGCAACTCTTTCCAAACCCTAAACCCCCGCGCCGGTAACCCTCAGATGCGTTGGCAAGCGTTGGGCACTGAAATCTCTCAATTCAGCCGTACTAGCTGTGAATGTACCCGTACTGTGAGGGTCCCCGCAAGAAGGGTGTAGTGGGGCCTGTGATTTCCCCAAGCCCTCAGCCCTAAGCCGTTTTTTTTCCATGCAGAGATTGAGTTGGGCAGGGCATGAAGGAGCTGCTGCTCACAGATGCTGACAACGATATCCTGAGCTCGCTTCAGTGAAGAAAGTCCAATCCACGGTCTTTTTGTGGGATCCAGGTTGTTAGGATTTAGGGCCCAGTTAGGCTTACCAGAGATTAAAAAAAAACTCATCATGGTTTACCAGAGATGTTAAAAAAAAAACTCAACATGATGTACGGTTCCAGTTCCCCCTTCCCAGCCATGTCTCAGTCCTGATGCACACGAGCTTGAGATTGATCGTCCAGAGCAGATTGCACCTCCCTAAACCCTAAACCCTAAACCCTAAACCCTAAACTTGGGATGCTGCTTCTGTACCAGCTCGTTTACAGTTGCCCCTTCGACTGGCCAAGCTCCCTTGCACGGTCCTCCGTTCTCTTGGGGCTTGAAGGGTTTGGTGAGGTTGGGGGCATGCGCGTTCCCTAGACGGATGGGTGCGATGCAGCGGTTCGATGTAACGGTTCTAAGCGGCAAGCAGTTGCTGGTTTAGCGTTTAGGGTTTAGGGTTAGGGTTTAGGGTTTAGGGTTTAGGGTTTAGGGTTTAGGGTTTAGGGTTTAGGGTTTAGGGTTTAGGGTTTAGGGTTTAGGGTTTAGGGTCCCGAAGATTACTTGCAGCCGTGTTTGCACGAGCCTTTTTACACTTGAGAAGCCGTCGAGGCTACAGAGGGCCAATCTAGCGTAGGGCTTCCCAAGGAAGGCCTATAGAGCTCATACCAGCGGATTGGCGGAGTTGGGTCTCTCCCATCTTCTGTGAGCAGGGCAGCGGTCCCGGTCATCGCAGCACTGGTGTGCAGTAGAGTGGTGCTTTGAATTCATGCAGTGCTGTCATGGTACCACTCCATACCACAAGTTGTGAGGTGACTTGCTGCCTCGTGCGATGTTGGGGCCACCGTCGCCGCCTCCTCAGTTCGGGAGAGCCCGCGCTCGAGTCGCTGATCGGGTTTAGGGTTTAGGGTTTAGGGTTTGTTGTTAAAGTTTGGAGCAAGCTTGGGGTGAGCAGGACCTGCTAGGAATCAAACATGCCAAGTTTGTGACACTGGCCTCTTGACGCTTGGTACCTTCGCCCGCCTTGGCACCGTGTCATCTCTGGCTCAAGAGCACATCAGGCAGGCACCTGCCTTCCTAGGCGGGGCTTGGCTTGCGATAGGGTTTAGGGCTTAGGGTTTAGGGTTTAGGGTTTAGGGTTTAGGGATTAGGGATTAGGGATTAGGGATGTTCGGTCCTTACTGTTTCAGACCTCCATGTCCCCACGACGCTGTGACAGCAGGTGCTACGTTCTATTTCCTGGCCTTCCTTGGCTTGGTGGCTGCGGCCACTCCAAGTTCCGTGTTCAATTCGGCTCTTTGCTTGGCGAGATGCTAATGAGTTGAACCTACTAGAAGCAGGGGCCCCCCTTACTAACCTAACTGTAGTTCAGGGGCTTGTAACCGAATTTAGGATCCTCATAACACAATTTAGGGTTCTTATAACTCTACTTATAACTAGGGGGGCCCCTCCTTGTAGTAGGAGTGTCCCGCATTTCATATTCCAGCCGCGTAAAGACCCTGCATGATTGGACTGGTAGCTCTTCTACATTCTGTCGCTGCCGGATTCTGAGGACCGATAAACTCTTCAGCCAGTTGCTCTATGTGCAGAGGACGGTAAGGACGGCTGGCCGCGCACATTGCGGGCATGATGTGGCCAACAGAGATGAGTGACGCGCATTGCTGACAAGGACTGCTGACATCAAGGATGGCATTTGCACAGGAAAACATGGCGGCAGCAACCCGTTCTCTCCAAAAGCTCGCGGTCCTGCTGTCGGCAGCTGAGCAGAGTTTCTGGCAGAGGTTTGGCCTTAAAGCCATACATGCGCATACTGCATACTGCTATAGCTCTGGAAGCCTCATCTTTTCTATTGGGGAAGGAGGGGGGGGGTATCCCGAAACCCTAAGCCTTAAACCCTCAACCCTGAAGCCTCAACCCCACTTTGTACCCAAAACCCTAAACCCGAAACCCTAAACCCTAAGCCCTAAAGGAACAGTTGGGGCTCCCCAAGGCTGCTCCTGGTGGCCGTGGTGTGCCCGCAGCCCGGAGGGGTTCAACGTTTCTCAGAGGTTCATGCGTGCTTAGAACCCCAATTACAAGTTTACGGTTTAGGGTTTAGATTCTAAGGTTAGGGTTTAGGGTTTAGGGTCTAGGGTCTAGGGTCTAGGGTCTAGGGTTTAGGCTTCAGGGTTCAGGGCACATATAGCCCCAGTTGTAAGTCTACTTATCACCCATTTGGAGGACTTAGGGGCTTGCATGTGCGGTTCTGGTTGGGGTTCTAAGTATTCATGAACCCACATTGGGCAAGATGAGCCCGAAACCCTAAACCCTATACCCTAAACCCTATACCCTCCCCAGGTGGGCACATCCTGCTCTTTCACTTGCGATCAGTGATGGTCCCTTTTGCCTCTCAGCAGCAGAGAGGAGGTGCAAGTGGCAAGAAAGGTGTTGGGTTTAGGGTTTCGGGTTTCGGGTTTCGGGTTTAGGGTTTAGGGTTTAGGGTTAGGGCTTATATACGGTTTAGGTTTAGGGTTTAGGGTTATTTTTCATACGCTTTGTCTATGCGGGCGCTTCTCTCTCCCATCTTGAGGTACTGAGCACGCTGGTCATCATCGCAGTGGAGCCGACGGCGTCTCGTCTCGCAATTTTCAATCCCCGACACCCGCATTTTGAGAAACCGCCTTGAATCCCACGAACCCATTTCCCTGTTCTTCCCTGTGAGATGTGATGCTTCATTGTCAAACTATTGTGACCCTGAACCCTGCGCCCTAGGTAACAAGGAGGGGCCCCCCCCCCCCCTTACTAACCTAACTGTAGTTAAGGGGCTTATAACCTAATTTAGGATCCTTAACCCAATTTAGGGTTCTTATAACTCTACTTATAACCGGGGGGGGGGGGGCCTCCTTGTAAGCCCCGAAACCTTGAGAAGCCTAAACAGTGGAACCTCCGAACCCTACACCCTTAAACCCTAAACTCCCAAACACTTATTAACCCTTGAACCCAATAAACCTTTCCACCCTTAAACCCTTGAACTCCAGAAAAAGCATCACCCTAGAGCCTAGCCCTCAACCTCTCCGCTGAAACCCAAACCCCAAAAGGGTTTAGGGTTTAGGGTTTAGGGTTTAGGGTTTAGGGTTTAGGGTTTAGGGTACCCATACCCAAAACGCTCAACCCCAAACCCTAAACCCTCAACCCCAAATCCTTAAACCCCAACCCGAAACCCTACACCCTAAACCCCAAACCTCAAACCCTAAACCGCACTCCCCAAACCCTAAACCTTAATCCCCAAACCCCAACCCCCAAAATCCCTAAACCCCAAACCTCAAATTCTAAACCCTAAACCCTAAACCCTAAACCCTAAACCCTAAACCCTAAACCCTAAACCCTAAACCTTGAGGTGGACTGCCTATACCAGCGCTTCGCGGGGCTGACGACCCCCTACAGGCACCGAAGAGCCGACGCGGTCTCGGGGATTTCGGGTTCGGGGGTTGAGGATGCTTGGGGTTTGGGGCTTGGGGTTTTGGGGTTTTAGGGTTTTAGGGTCTTAGGGGTTTAGGGTTGTTTGGTTTTTTGGGTTTTGGGGTTTTGGGGTTTTGGGGTTTTAGGGTTTTAGGGTTGTAGGGTTGTAGGGTTGTTTAGGGTTTTAGGGTTGTAGGGTGTTAGGGTTTTAGGGTTTCGGGGGGTTCTTAGGGTTCTCAGGGTTCTTAGGGTTTTCAGGGTTCTTAGGGTTCGCAGATGGAGGGTTTAAGATTCAGGTTTGGGGTCTAGGGTTTAGAGTTTAGGGTTGAGGGTCTAGGGTCTGGGGTTCTGGGTTTTCAGGGTTGAGGATTGAGCTTTAACCTGGAAGAAGTGTGCCCTGAAGATGAAGCCGAAGGTCTCATGATTAGAGTTGCACCAGCGTACAACATTTGCAAGTATCTTCATGGCCCATGGAATGCGAATAAACAATTGCTGCCTTTTCCAGCCTTATCTTGTTGAAATAGTTTACTATTAAGGCGTGTGTGAGCGAGCGAACAGAGGTCCTTATAAGCAGAGCCGTGAGTCGAATGAACAGAGCATAACAGAGGATGTAGGAGGGAGAAGTTGAATAGCGACTCAAGATACTGACCTCAAAATTCAGGTCTTTTCCTCCAAGCGTGGGTTTTGTGCGGTTGGCCTGCGAACGGAAAATGAGCGCAAGTTCCACGGGGCGTACGGTTGCCTGCAAGCTTGTAAAGACCGTCTAGAAGGTAGTGAACAGGTTATTGTGTGCTCGAAGAATGCCATGTGGTGACTTCTCTAAAACATGGCGCCTCTTGGGGTCTCTATTACAAGGCGGCCCCGACAATTCAGGGTACCCATAAAGGCGCCGTCATTCTGAGAACAGGCCATGTGGTGCGCGCACGGTTGGGACAGCGAGTTTCTTGTTGGAATTCTACTTGGAGGGGTTTAGGGTTTAGGGTTTAGGGTTTAGGGTTTAGGGTTTAGGGTTTAGGGTTTAGGGTTTAGGCTTTCGGGTTTAGGGTTTAGGATTTAGGATTTAGGGTTTAGGGTTTAGGGGTACTTAGAACCCCCAACTAGCAGTCTACTTATGACCTACTTAGAGGACTTGTAGGGGCTCATAAGTCCCGTAGGGGCTCATAAGTCGCATAGTTAGGAGTTCTCAGTGCCCATGAACCTCCAGGGAGCATGGATTCTGGCTGTCCAGATTCCTTCAGGTATGGTCTTTTCCCTTAAAAACCCTAAACCCCAAACCTAAACCCTAAACCCCAAACCCCAAACCCTAAACCCTAAAACCCTCTGGGACCTCCGGGCCAGGTGGTTTTGCTGCTGCTGCCACCGGAGGCGGAAGCAGAGCCTCGGCGACGAGGCGTGGGCTGGGCAGGGAGTGGATCTTAAAGCTTCACAAAAGCTCCAGCTAACTAAACCCTAAACCCTAAACCCTAAACCCTAAACCCTGAACCCTAGGGTGCATAAGGTGCTTCTATGGGGTTGTTACCCAAGGGTTTTTGCCGGATTTAGAGGGGTTCTCTGCCCCCGCCCCATGCCTTGAAGCCCTCTTCGAGCCACGTCCTAGGCCCATGAGCCCCTTTGAACCTGAGAGGGTTTAGGGTTTAGGGTTCAGGAATTTAGGGTTTAGGGCTTGGGGTTTAGGGTTTAGGATTTTAAGGTTTAGGGTTCAGGGTTTGGGGTTGAGGGTACCACCCCTCAGGTATGGGGGGGGAGGTTCCGAAACTCGGGTCTACCTTACTGGGGTACTTGTTCCAAGGGCTTCCTTGTATGTTGGGGTCTCTACGCTTGGGGCCCCGTATTATTGTGAACTCCAATATCTTCAGGGAACCCCAAACCCTAAACCCTAAACCCCAAACCCCAAACCCTAAGCCCAAAAGCCTTAACCCAAAGAAGCCGTGAGCAAAGTCCACAGGAGGCCGATGATCCCGACCGCCACGTGTTGGAGCCGCTCAGGGGAGATGGCGAGCCTCTGCGACACAACCTGGGGTTTAGGGTTTAGAGTTTAAGGTTTAGGGCTAGGGTTTAGGGTTTGAGGTTCAGGGTTGAGGGTTGAGGGTTGAGGGTTTTCGGGGTTCAGGGGTTTCCGGGGTGAAGGGCTTTGGACCAAGGTTCATAAGAATTTAGGTTCCGGTCTGTGCTGTGGTTCTGTGCAAGAATCCTTTCCAGTCTTCCATAGCCAGTGGCCTGTTGGGGTTTGAGTGCTCAGATACCCGGGACTTACCTACAGTTTATAGTAGTAACTACCCTTAAATCATAGGCATGACCCAAAAAGAACGGTAGGTCAAGAGGGGTCCCAGGTAGATTTTGGGCGTGCTGCTGTCTGAGGATGACGATCCCATCTGTGAGGGCGCAGCACGCTGCGCCTCTGTGAGCATTGCGACGCTCGGCCTGCAACTGAGGGTAGAACAGCGTGGCCATGTTGGCCCACCCCAAGACCCATATCAATGTGTACATGTGCATGGGCAGAATGATGTCTTCAAGGAGAAGGCCCGAAAGCAGCGAGAATGTACATAAAACGCCTAAGCCCTCACCAAAGCCTAACACAGAAGGCCGGAATCCCCCATTTCTACACCCTTGTAGTGGTACTTGTCAATGCAGACCCCCACTCCCTCTGACCTTCCTCCAAGGATTTGTCTGATCCTCTTAGCTCCGCCCTCAGGACCTGCTGTGCTTTGAGGGGGGCTTCAGCCTCAAACTCCCAAATTCTGAAAACCCGGCCCTAAATAAGAGCCCCAAACAAGTGATTTCGATCCCGCCCAAAAAACAAGAAAGCCCCCAAAACCCTAAACCCTAAACCCCCCCTTCCACCCCCCCAGAGCAAAAACCGCACGAGACTGAAGCCTTAAAGCCCATCAACCCTCAACCCTAAACCCTAAACACAAAAAAACTAAACCCTAAACCCTAAGCCCTAAACCCCAAACCCCAAACCCCAAACTCCGAAACCCTAAACCCTAAACCCTAAACCCTGACCCCTAAACCCTAAACCCTAAACCCTAAACCCTAAACCCTAAACCCTAAACCCTAAACCCTAAACCCTGCCCAGATTGTGATGCTCCTCGCCGGCTCCCTGCTCGCTGGAGCACTCCACCTCCGCGAGAGTCCCCGCCTCGGAGAAGGTTTAGGGTTTAGGCTCTTGGCTTAGGGTTTAGGGTTTAGGGTTTACGGTTCAGGGTTCAGGGTTTAGGGTTTAGGTTTTAGGATGTAGGGGGTTTGCCTGGGTCTCCGTTTAGGGTTTTAGGTCTTGGGCTTAGGATTTTTTGGCTTATACCCATTGCTCATGGGGGGTTATAACCTACTAGTTGGTACGGTTTGGGAGTCACCGTATAGTTTAAGGTTTGAGGTCTTGGGTTCTTTTAGGGTGTGTGGCGGGATGGCTTAGGGCTTCAGTGGCTGAGGACAGGGCTCGAGTTTGAGCGCCTGATGTCTTGGAAACCCTAAACCCTAAACCCTAAACCCTACCTAGAACGTCAACATTCCTCGGATTGGAGACTGCTGGGCTGTTGCCATGTTTGGAAGGCCGCTGTCAGCAACGCCCTCAAGGCTTCTATAGAGATGAGGGACCTTGCGCCAAACTTTTGCGGGGCTCAGGACATTCCTTTGGTAATGAAGTGAGAGTTTCTTCACTGAACCCCTAACGCCTTCTCTGTCCAAACACCGTGAACCTTGACACGTAATATGGGAGTCGGAACAAGTACTAGTAGTATTCCCTTATTGTCCCTATATACTTATACTACAGCAATTCAATAACCCCCCAAAACCCTGGTCTGATTATGAAGGCCCCTATCGTAGTCCGTCAGGCTGGCAGAGCTACTCATCGGGTGCTGAGAACCTCGTGGATTGGCTTCAATCCACCACAAGGCGCAGCTCAACGATTATAGCCTGGGGTGCTCCCCCCTTATACTAACAGTCCTTAAGAGGGATTTCAGTAGGGGAGCACTAGAATCCCTAGGACTGTTAGTATAAGGGGGAACATCCCAAAGTGTAGCAGCTTCCTGCGTCTGTCAGAGCCCTAACAACGCCCCCAAGCCCTGATTGCACAAGTTGCCAGGAACCTCTCCCTCAGGCTTCGCTTGAGTGAAGACGCGGATGTTCGCTTGAATGGGACTCTAGCCTCAGTTAAGGGTGAAGGGTTTCGGGGGGGGGGGGGGGGCGGGGCTGGGCTACCCCTAAACCCTAAACCCTAAACCCTAAACCCTAAACCCTAAACCCTAAACCCTAAACCCTAAACCCTAAAAGGGGGCAAGGTTGAAAGCTGAGGTTCTATACATCCATGCTGGATAAGGGCCAGAAGATTGTGTCGGGCGTGGTCGAGTCAATCATTGCCGAGGTCTCCTCGTGGCTTTGCTGTGATTGCGTCAAGGTAAGCTTGTCGTGGTTGTATGATGCATGGAGGGTTTAGGGTTTAGGGTTTAGGGTTTAGGGTTTAGGGTTTAGGGTTTCTGGCCGAGTCGTGCTTTACCAGTGAATCTGCCAAGGTGCGTGGTGACTTTGATCATCATCTTACTGTATGTGATATTTGGATTGCTGTACCCCTTGCCAATCGGTGGCAAGGTAAGCAATCTGGCTGCTTGCTGGCAGTTCCAGCGGTGAGATCCTGCGACTAATCATGGGGTCAGCCAGTTACAGTGCCGGTGAAAGCTCTAATCAGACCAGGTTCGCAGCTATCTGTGGAAGAAGACGTTTGTCTCGCTGTTGTATGGCTTCTCCGTCCGGTCCTCATGGTGCAGCGTAGCGCAAGGCGGACAGCACCTAGCCAGCAAGGTCTCGGCGCTGTTCTTGCTCTTGGACAACGATCTTGCCGCTGGCTTTAGTTAGCAACATGACAGCTGCCACACACACATGGGGGGTTTAGGAAAGTAAGGGACCCCTAGCATGGGCATGGACCCCCACATAGTAGGATCCCCTTACAAAATAGAAGGACCCCAAATGTGGTACCCAGAATGTCGTGAACCTCCACATGCATGCGCACCGGCTGCTTGGATGTCACACTTAGACGCAGAGTCTTAGAGGCCATCTTCTTCGGCATTGTTTCGTTTTTCTTCAACTACGTGCCAGAAGTCGGTTGGCACCCCAGTCCAGGGTCCAGCAGCTCCTGTGACAGTCGAACAGCCTGAAGGGTTCGGACTCTCAAGTCGTGAGTGGCCGTTGCAGGCACAATTATCGCCATTATCATTCCGATGCCTGTGACTAGGACCGCGAGTGGTACCCTTTTCCTTTTCTTCCGGCAGGTTGGTACCTTGAGCAACGCCCAGCAAATGAAAAGGCTTCCCGAGTTTATTCCTGGCTCCGAGCTTTCTGGGAAACCTAGGTGATTCTCTTGGATGGTCGGCTACTGTCACCCACCGCCACGCCACCTTCCGGGCACCATTAGTCTTGTGGATTTGCGCTGCGGGACACGCAGGGCACGCATGGAGGAGGGTGATCCCTGAGGGCCGCATGAAACCTGAAATAGGGTTTGCGGCCCATACAGTATACTCTAAGCATCGATTTGCGTAGCCCAGGGTATCTGATCCGTCGTCGCGTAGGATGCTCCCAAGTCAGGGTTCATTTGGTCCCCGCGGATCTTGATGATCTGAGGCTGGTGAAGGCCACAATTGGACAGCTGGTCTTGAGCTGAAGAAGCAGACCTGGCAACCCTCAGCTGTCACTCCTCACCCAAGTCAGATTCCACCGAAGGTCCTCAAGGTTGTGTTCAACAACATCATTGAGACGAGCCTCATCCAGAGCGACAGAGACATGAAGATACACCCAGAGATCTGGCTGAGATTCAGACTCCAGATCTATAGGGGCCCGAATAATTAGAAAGTTTTGGGGGGTTAGTATAGTATAATTACGCACAGCACGTGAGGTTTGCCGCCGCGCGTTGTTTTTCATTGGTTTTTGTGGGACGGGAGGCACCTCATGATGGTCAATTTTATTGGATGTTTTTTTGGCGTTGCGCTGCCGCTATGGGTTTATGCTGATTTTTTAAGCAAGTCCTGGTGTTGTTTGACGCCACGTTTGCCGTCAGGCAGCATTTACATGGCTGGCTGCCTGATGTGTGTGCGCGCGCGGCAAACACTGTTATTTGCGATGTTTTCATGCACTTCTGCCAAGACAACCTCTGCAGCTGTGTTTTTTGGAGGCTTGCATTTCCGAGAACGCATTTGCCAAATTTCCGGACTTTCACGATTTTTGTGGGACGTGTTTTGGGCATGGTCGCGACAGGCTGGACGCTTGTGACAGATTTTCTTGTTCCACATCCTTGTGCAGTATGTTGTACAAAGAGACGAAAACGCTGCAAATACCAGTGTTTTGGGCATGCATGCAATATGAATGACGTTCTTAACCCCCCCCCCCCCCCAACCCCCCCCCTCTCCCCCCGCCCCCCCGCCCCCCCCCCCCCCCCCCCTCCACCCCACCCCCCCCCCCCCCCCTACCCTCCACCCCACCCCCCCCCCCCCCCCCACCCCAAAGTTACCCCCCCCCCCCCCCACCCCAAAGTTACAGCCGTAGCTGACGGCAAACCTGGCGTGCTGCGGGTATCATTACAAAGGGATCACAAGGGAATACGCTTAGTAATTATTCCGACCCCTATAGTAGGTTCAGGGTAATTAGGGTTTACAGGGTTTAGGGTTTAGGGCTACTCTACCCCACCTAGGCAGAGATTCTCAGTAAGAGCACGGTTCAAAAACGGATGGACTCTAGATCTGAGGATGCCAGGGGAACAGGGCTTAGGGTTTAGGGTTTAGGGCATCAGGATTAGGGTTTAGGGTTTAGGGTTTAGGGTTTAGGGTTTAGGGTTTAGGGTTTAGGGTATCAGGTCTGGGAATCTTGCATGGCATGTGAATGTCCGCGAAAGATCTGTCAAGAGAGGCGTGCAGGGAAATAGTGTTTGGGCAGAGGTCTTCACCTAAGATATGCACGTTTACTGTAGGCCCTTATTCACTTTCCTTGGGTTTAGGTTGCCTTACAGGCCCCTTCAAACCAACAGGGGCACCCTTTTAAATTCCTAGGTTACTCTCGGGTCTAGCCGAAGATATTCATGTTCATGTCTTGAACTTGCTGGCTGTCTTCCAAATATCCTTGCACCGTGACCAGTCTGTGCCCACACCTCCTCTAGACCGGTCAAGTTGTGGTTGTTTTGCGTTAAAGGGCCCTGTGCTTAGGAAGTGGTCGAAGCCTTAAATCCTAAACCCCTAACCCTAAACCCAAAACCCTAAACCCCCAAACCCCCTAAACCCTAAACCCCCAAACCCCGAAACACTAATCCCCTACACCCTCAGTCCTTGAGGTCTGGGTCTTGCTGACCATCAACTACTTCGGCTTCATCTGGGGCCCGGCAGGTACTCAGCTTGAACCAGACATTAGGGGCCTGTCAAGGAATTCTTCGTGGTTTACGGTTTAGGGTTTAGGGTTTAGGCTTCGGCGTTTAGGGTTTAGTTCTTCGGGTCGTTCGGGCTTGAGGTTTCCAAGTCACCAAATGGCCACCCACCAAAGCAGGATGCCCCGTTTTGTTCGTCATGCGATGGGAGTACAGTGCCTGTTTGTGAAATCTACACCGTGCCGCGAGCAACTTAAGGTATGATGATCGGGGTGCCGATCTTGTCAGTCCTGATGCTTGGCACGCAGAAGCTTGCAGTTATTGTCCCGGATGTCCTCGTTTGACAGCTAACGTTCCGATCCGAAAAGCTGCCGAAGCAAGGACGTGTGACGTGAACACTCTTTTGCTGTGGGCTCCTGTAAGCATAACAAAAACGCTAAACCCGAAACCCTAAACCATTGGAGGTTGTTGCTGTTGGTTTGGGCTTCGGGTGTTTCAGGGGCTCCTTATGCCACTCACGTCGAGGAAAGGGGCGGCGGTCTCTGCGGTAGAGCTGACAGAAACGAAGGACGATGTGGCAAAGGCCGAGTGTATTGGAGACGTCACAGTATGGCACCATTGGACAAGACTCAAAGACTCTGCAGAATCTGCAAAGCAGTGTTTTCCTACCTTTGGCACTCACTCATTGGCTTTCAGCATCAATACGGGCATGCTGGTGGCGTGTTATCAGGCAACAGCATGGCAGGGACGCACGTGGCATTCGCAACTATCTGCGAAAACATCGAACAGTAGCCCTATCCCTCTAAACCTTATAGGTCCAAACTCTCTAAGAGCTTGGCCAAGCTTTCAACTAGACCCCAAACCCCCGACCCCCAACCCCGAACCCCCCGAACCCCCCCAACCCCCCCCCCCCCCCACCCCAAACCTCCAAACCCCCAAACTCCCAAACTCCCAAACTCCCAAGCCCCAAACTCCGGAACCCCAAACCCTAAACCCTAAACCCTAAACCCCAAACCTTAAACCCCAAACCCCAAACCTTAACCCTAAACCCTAAACCCCAAACCTTAAACCCCCTTGGCAGGCCTGGGCTGAGTCCTTCTTGGCTTGCTTGGAGGGCCGTCCACAGAAAGCACGCTGCTGGCTTAGCTTCTGCCCCCCTCTCCTCCGGCTGATGATGAGCACTTCGTGTGGTAGGCCTTTGGGGTTTAGGGTTTAGGGTTTAGGGTTTAGGGTTTAGGGTTTAGGGTTTAGGGTTTAGGGTTTAGGGGGGCCTTTGGGGTTGGCCTACTCTTGCTTAGTTGGTTCTGGGCGCCGCACTTATGTGGAACTGAAGGCTCAGTAGAAGGAGAGGTTTCTGTCAGCCTTGCCTGTCTGTTTGTGTGCACGAGTGGCTGCATTGCGCGTAAACCCTGAGCCTTAAACCCCAAACCTTAAACCCTTCACCCTAAACCCTAAACCCTGAACCCTAAACCCTAAACCCTCCCAGATCCTATCCCGGCTTTCAGGCGAGAAGTTCGACATTGTGTTTGATGCTGCCGTGGAGTGGCAGGCATCCCTTCAGGACGGGCTCTTCCTGGACGTGCTGCACAAATTAGGGTTTAGGGTTTAGGGTTTAGGGTTTAGGGTTTAGGGTTTAGGGTTTTGGGGTTTAGGGTTTAGGGTTTAGGGTTTAGGGTTTAGGGTTTAGGGTCGTTGTAAATTAGGGTCCCTTCGGGGGTCCTTTCTAGAAGGGCTTCTATTCCATAAAGGTTTGCTCAAAAGTGAATCCTGGTTTATACCAACCCCTGGCAATGAAACCCTAAACCTTAAACCTTAAACCCTAAACCCTAAACCCTAAAAGCCAGGTATCAGGAGCTGCTGCCGGTCCGAGGGACAGCGTGCTGACCGCGTGATGTTGTGCTAAAACAGTGCGACTGCTGCGCTTGCGCAGGGCATGCCCAGCTTGCTCTCGTACTTGAGACGAGGGGCGTCATTGTCTAACATCATAGCAATTTCAACATAGCCGTACGGCAGCTCAACGGTATGGGATCAAACACGGTGAGCCTGTAACAGTATGGCAATTAAATAGTATATATCAACACAACGATACTTAAAGCAAACCGAATTAGATCAATTGAACGAGCGATCGATATGGCAACATCACGCTTTTGCAACCATGACAGCAGAATTACACACAGCACTACGTTTTATCAAATTTTCTCAACATGCCCTCGTGCACATAGTCTTCTGTAACTCTGCGGTCGGTTCCGGCGTCTTGCGCTCTCCCAATTTCCTTCTTCGCCGGACCTTGCAGTTCCCTCCAAACCCGAAACCCTAAACCCGAAACCCTTCTGAACCCTGAACGATGAACCCTAAAGCCTAAACCCTAAACCCCAAACCATAACCCTAAACCCTAAACCCTAAACCCCAAACCCTAAACCCTAAACCCTAACCTCCGAGGCTCGGGACATCTAGCCCCTCGCGTGGTCAAGATGTGCCTGCGAGGCCTCGGTGCTTTGAGAGGGGGGTTCAGGGTCTAGGGTCTACTGTCTAGGGTTTAGGGTTTGGGTCAGGGTTTAGGGTTATGGGGTTTATTAGGTTTATAGGGTTTATAGGGTTTATAGGGTTGATGGGGTTCATAGGGTTGATAGCGTTGATAGGGTTGATAGGGTTTAGGGGCTGGGGTTTGGGGTTTGGGGTTTAAGGTTTGGGGTTTCGGGTTTCAGCGTGTCGCTGTCCTTCTGCCTACAAGTAGCTTAAAGTATGGGGTTCCGGGTTTTGGGTTGAGGTAGTCTAACAGTAAAACGCGACCTTCTAAGTTGCACATGAACTCCCAAGCAACGTGGACTTCTGTTTGTGGTAGAGGGCTTTGCAGGTGATGAGATGAGGGTAAGCATGTGCCACTCTTCTAGATCCTCCCCTTCAGACATTCTCAAACTCCTAAACCCTAAACCCTAAACCCTAAACCCTAAACCCTAAACCCTAAAGCCTTCTCAAGATGGTGCTGTGATCATGGCTTCCCGGCCGCACGTGCTACTCGTACGGGGACAGCAAGAGACCCATCCCTAAATGGCACCCTCCCACCCGGTGAAGCCCGCACCGTGCCTTTAGGGTTTAGTTTAGGGTTTAGGGTTTAGGGTTTAGGGTTTAGGGTTTAGGGTTTAGGGTTTAGGGTTTAGGGCTTCAGCATCTCTTTCTGCCTAGACCAGGATGGGCCCTTAGGCTTCCTACTCCCCATCATCGACCCTAAAAAGAGAGGTCCTAGGGCAGAAGACCCCATCCTGCAAAACCCACAGTTTAGGGCCCTTTTTTTCGGGTTTATCGGGCATAGCAGCCCATCCTGCCAAGGCCACAGGTTTAGGGTTTAGGGTTTAGGGTTTAGGGTGTAGGGTGTAGGGTGTAGGGTGTAGGGTGTAGGGTTGAGGGTTAGGCGCTGAGTGCCGAGAAAGGCTGGCTGGGCCAGAAAATGCGGTGCCGTGTTCCCGGCCACAAGCTGCAGGATGCCCAGTGGGTTTAGGGTTCAGGGTTTAGGGTTTAGGGTTCCGATTCGACATGTTTAGGGTGCAGGGTTCTCGGTTTAGGGGCTTTATTTAGGATACACCTTGGCGGACGCGTCACATTCTGCAGCTTGCCTCGAGCTCCAATGTATATAAGTCCCATGTCTTTCCGGTACCCCAAAGGAACTACACACTTTCGGGGGTCTATGTAGGCTGCTTGGTCTTAGGAGGGGTGAGGGAGGCCGTTCCAAGGGGACCCCTTCTCAACCCTTTTTCTAGTGCTATTAAGGAGGGACCCTATTGAGAGGCTCTATATCCCCAAAAGGTCCCCTAATCCTACCTCCTACTTAGGAAGTAGTTCGTGGGACCGATGAGCCATCCCAGACAGTGAAGTCATGATAGTCATGCACCAAGTTTGGTGAAGACGCGGATGTCGAGAAAGCGATGCTTTTGGACGCTGGCTCAGCTTCCATGATACAGCAGGCACCAAGCACAGGCTAAACCCTGAACCCTAAACCCCTCACCCTAAACCATCCCGAAATCCTGAACCCCTAAGCCCTAAGCCCTACACGGATTGTTGCTTTGGGCAACATTACCAACACCAGGAAGCTTGACCTGTCATGTCCTGAGACCGCCACCATTTTAAGTCGGTCCCAGGCGCTGTGGGCTTGGTGTTTGCTGTTTTTCTTTTTGTCGGGGTTTAGGGTTTAGGGGTTTTAGGGTTTGTTCGTTTTATTGAGTTTTTGTGGGTTTATACACGCTTTTTCGAGTTTCGACTCAAGGTCCTTGACCAAACACCGGTAAGGCAGAGGACCTCGCGACCCAAACACCGAAAGCTGGGTAATAAATAGGGGTCGGAATAATTACTAATAATATTCCGTTGCGGTCCCTTTCTAATTCTACGATACAGTAGACTCCAGAAAGTTGGAACATGGTTTAAGGATGATTTGAGCTGGGATTCCCTTTAGTATACCTTTAGGACCTTTTGGGGTATGGGTATAAGGATGTTCCAACTTTCTGGGGTTTACTGTAACACCCCCCCCCCCCAAAAAAAAAAAAAAAAAGGAAAAGAACAATATTATATATATATATATATATATAATATATATATTCCAATTATTCAGGCCCCTTTATTAGGCAGAGGACCCCGAGACCGTAACACCAAAAGCTGAGTAGGCAGAGGCCGCGACCGTAACACCAAACACTCGGTAGACAAAATCGCGGTGAGCTCCACAAAGCCTCGAAGCCCTGCCAGGGTCTAGGGTGTAGTGTTTAGGGCTTAGAGTTTAGTGTCCCAAAGCCCAAAACCCTAAGAGCACCAAAGAACAGGGTTTAGGGTTTAGGGTTTAGGGTTTAGGGTTTAGAGTTTAGGGTTTAGGGTTTAGGGTTTAGGGTTTAGGGTTTAGGGTTTAGGGTTTAGGGTACCCCAAATCCCAACACCTCCCGGGATCTCCAGACCGACGAGTTTACGCCTCAAAGCCGGGCCTAGAGCTTGCACGGGGTTTAGGGTTTAGGGGTTAGGGGGTTTAGGGTTTACAGAGTTTAGGGTTTCGGGTTTAGGGAGAAACCCTCATCCCGGGAGCCCATTGCTGAAATTCGGTCACAGACTCGATTGGTATTTTCGCAGCTCCGTTGAACCCTCAACCCGGCCGCCCAAAACCTGAAGCCCCCTTCTCCTCCACACGAAACCCCCTAAACCCTAAACCCTAAACCCTAAACCCCAAAGCCCAAACAGGGTGGGCGCATCACCCAGGCCGCAGTTACCGGCTTGCGAGAGGCCGCCGAGGTGCCAGTTTTGGAGTTTGGGTCTTTTTGTCTCGGTTTAGGGTTTAGGGTTTAGGGCTTAGGGTTTAGGGTCTAGGGTCTAGGGTCTAGGGTCTAGGGTTTAGGGTTTAGGGTTTAGGGTTTAGGGTTTCTCCTTGTTGACTTTAATTTTACATTTTTGTTATTATCTTGAAGTCCCAATAAGGATGAAAAGTCATAATTTGTAATATAACCTCAACAAGGACCCAGGTTTAGGGTTGAGGGTTTAGGGCTCTCTTATTCAGTCTAAAGGTGCGGCAGAGCCATCTACGGTGCTCCATCGTGCGGATGCACCTGAGAAGGGGCCGAAGAAGTCCACCATCCTAAGCAAACAAGGCCACAGGTCCTGAATGCCTGGGCTTGACCCTGCAAGCCTCTGAGCGCTTTAGGGTTTAGGGTTTAGGGTTTAGGCCTTGGGGTTTAGGGTTTAGGCTTTAGGGTTTAGGGTGATCGAAGCCCCTGCCCAAGCCCGACAAGGCTGCCGTGCGAAGAGCCGAGATTGCCGAGGCGAGGCATTACCTGCGGGGTTTGGGGGTTGCACTTGGAAGCTTATAAACGGGGCACCTGCTTCCCTCATTCCCTGCTATGGAACCTAAACATCATGGTTCCGATGTCCAAAGAAGGACTGTTCGCAAATTCGTGTTTAGGGCACAGGGGCTACTTCCAGCTTTTGGCAAAGAGTCGGGTGTAAGAGGTGGAAGTTGATACACAAACGCAAAGCCAATAAATCCAGGTGCTTGGTGAGCTGGGGCGACCTGACGGCCCAGGAACACCGAGTAAGCAGGTTAGAGAACCCTAAACCCTAAACCCTATACCCTAAACCCTATAAACCCCATAAACCCCATAAACCCTATAAACCCTAAACCTGAGGTACGAGGGGTATGAGGGGGGGAGGCATTCTATATCAGGGCCCGGGTTGTATCGGGACAGTTGCTTCAGGCAGCTTGCCTGGCCCCGCTGAAGCAGGCGATGGAGGCAGTTGCCAGGGAAAGATCTACTGAGGTAAAAGTCTCCAGTATTCAAGGCATGAATGCCTCTACTTGGAGGTTCATGGTACTTATTAACAAATTATAACTGTACTTGTGAGTGTACTTATCACCATATTAGGGCACTTAAGGGGCTTATAAGTGGGTTATAAGTACAGTTATAATTGGTTAGTAAGTACCATGAACCTCCAAGTACCCTACCCGGATCCCTGCAGGCTCATCTGAGGGAATGCAGGGAGCACCTGGTCCTCGAGCTGCGCACAGCCTTGCAACGGGAAGTGTTTGAGGCGTGCCCCAGTGGGACTTCTTGCAAGGAGGTCGAGGGTGAAGTGCATACTCGAAATGTCATGGAGAGGTATGTGTAGGGTTAGAAGTATGGTAACTGCACCTATCTCGGGTACTTATAGCCATACATATAGCTACCCATGAACCGCCAAGCATTCTTTAAAGCTTAGGCAATCATTCAGGTGTTCGTGCTCGACGCTTGCGTTCTTCAGCTATGCCTATGGGTTCTAGGGTTGAACACTTCGGGGGTCCGTTTGGCTTATACTATGGGGGTCGGAATAATTACGAACAGTAATTATTCCCTTAATGTTCCTTTAGAATTATACTACAGAACCCCCCCCCCCCCCCAAAAAAAAAAAAAAAAAAAAATCCTGTTGTATTCATTAAGGCCTCTATAGTAGGCCTAAACCCTAAACCCTAAATCCCACACCCTAAACCCGAAACCCTAAACCCTCAACTCTAAATCCTACACCTATTCTAATTACATATTCGGGTGCCTGGATGCCAGAGGCCACCGCCGAGCTGAAGGCTACTGCCCGAGAGCTGCGCACGATGTGCGCCGACCTCAGATGGTCTCTACGTCATGGTTCCGCTTCGGGGGTTTAGGGTTTAGGGTTTAGGGTTTAGGGTTTGGGGCTTGTGGTTGGAGTTTAGGGTTTAGGGTGAAAAAGGACTCTAACTTTTCGGAAGTGGCCAGGTAGCTTTCTGCTGCGTCAGCGAAGGGTTCTTGACATGAAGCACATCCACCCCGACTAGTCGAGCTGTTAAGAGCGCCACATGTTTCCCCAATGCTTAACCCAGTTTTCGGTGGAGCGGGGGTGGGGGGGAGAAGGAGACTCGACGTTCGGAGGGACAGTTGGGTCCTGCAAGTCTCGTGCATGAAGCTTGTCCCAGACAAACCAACACTATACATTCTTCTATAGATATTCTCACTAACTCACACCTCAAACTAGCCACATCACTTGAACCCTAAGACAACCAGGGTAAGACATTGCAATGTTGTACATCTTCCCTTATTCGGCTTAAGAGTACCTTATTGGGGAATACTTTCAGAGGGTTGCCTAGAAACCCCAAACCCTAAACCCTAAACCCTAAACCCTAAACCCTAAACCCTAAACCCTAAACCCTAAACCCTAAATCCTAAACCCAACCGCTGAGGCTGGCCGGCGAACCCCCCGGCCAACGAAGTGCCTGCCGGGGCGCTGCAGCCCCTGCCTGGCCCTCAAGCCTCAGCATTTTGAAAAGCAAAAGCAAAAACGTAATCATAAGTTTCAGAAAGCCGGAAACTCAAGAAAACGTGTAGTTGATTGTTTGTCTATGATTGCATTGTATGTTGTGTGTGCATGGTCAGTGTGAGAGGGGGGGGGGGCATGTTGTAGGGCTGTCTACATCACTCGGCCCTCAGCTACTATGAGCCTGCAAGCCTTAGCTTTGTCTTCGCAAACCGGCCGGACTCTATACATGCGAACCGGCGTCATACTCCAGCCCTCTGCATCTACTGGTAGGAGGTTTTTCAGGCATGGGGATGACTAAGGGGCAGTAGAACTAAACCCTAAACCCCAAACCCTTATTATCCCTATTACGAACTTTTGGGGGTTGAGCCGTTCCCGTCGCCGATTTGCGAGCCCGAGGTTTACGCCGCACTGCTCTCCTTCAAAGGCAGGGGGGGGGGGGGGGGGGGGGGCGCCTGCATGGCATGAACACCCTCCCACCACGGCAGGTGAGCAACGTTAAACCCCTAAACCCTTTAAACCCTTTAAACCCTTTAAGCCCTTTAATCCCTTTAAACCCTTTAGACCCTTTAAACCCTTTAAACCCTTTAAACTCTTTAAACCCTTAAAACCCTTTAAACCCTTAAAACCCTTCAAACCCTTTAAACCCTTCAAACCCTTCAAACCCTTTAAACACTTTAAACCCTTTAAACCCTAAACCCTAAACCTACTCGGATTTTCTGGTTCAGGGTGCAGGGCTTACCAGGCTTGAGGACTGCTTGGGGTTAGCCCTACACATGTCCTAAACCCACCCCTGAAAACCTAAAGCCTCAACCCTGAGGACCAACCACCCGAAACCCTAACCCTAAACCCTAACCCTAACCCTAAACCCTAAAACCCTAAACCCTAACCCTAAACCCCAAACCCCACCACCCCAAGCCAGACCGGCCTCCACCCGCGTGTAGACGAAGACTTCTCCCGGTTCACCTGCACGCAAAGCCGGCCCCGAATCTTCTTATTCGGTTAGGGTTAGGGTTTAGGGTTTTTAGGGTTTCAGGTAGGGTTAGGGTTTAGGGTTTGAGGGTTTACGGGTTCAGGTTTTTATGGTTTAGGGTTTAAGGTTGTGCAGGGGTTAATGTTCGTTAGGGTTCAGAATAGACGCACGATAGTACGTGGCGGCATGGGTTTTCCATAGGTTTGGGTGTATGTAGGCTTAACCAAACCGTTTCCAACTTCTTGTTCGGGTTCAGATTGCGCGTGGTCTGTAATGATGTGTTGAGGGGGGGGACCTCAACCCGAAGCCTGAAACCCTAAACCCTTGCCACTCATGATAGCGGTGAGGCACAGGTCCTTAACAAGCCCTAAAACCCTAAACCTTAAACCTTAAACCCTAAAACCCTAAACCCCAAAGCCCAAAGCCCTAAGAAGCCCTGAACAGGGATTGTTGTCAGAGGGCCCCCAAACCTTCCCTACAGGAATACCCGGAGATCCCAAAGTCCGAAGGCCATCTTAGCGACGCAGGATGAAGACTGAGATCCGAATCACAAGGTACCCTAAACCCTAAACCCTAACCCTAAACCCTAAACCCATAAACCTAAAACCCTAAACCCTAAACCCTAAACCCTAAACCCAAACCCTAAACCCCTAAGCCGCTTGAGGCCACCAGCATGGCTTTGTGGAACTTGACTAAGGCCCCTGCATCTGTCAGCTCCAGGCGCACAGCGTAGCCAGCGAGGTCCCGTTGTGCTGCGCTGTTTTTCGGGTTTTTTAGGGTTTTGGGTTTTTAGAGTTTTTAGGTGTTTTTTAAAGGGGCTTTTTCGGGTTTTTCGGGTTGTTTTCAGGTTTTCAGGGTTTTAAGGGTTTTAGGGATTACGGTTCTTGGGGTTTTAGGGTTTAGCGTACCTGCAAACAGGTAGCGATGAGCCATGTTGTCTTAGACGATGTTATCTGCAGCATTTTGGTACCGAACCGAGCGTAATCCCACGTTGATTGGTGCCACATTCTGGTCCGACACACACCATGCAACAGCACGTAACACGGCTCTTGTCCAGCTAGTGTCCGATTACCTTTAGGTTTAAGGTTAGGGTTAGGTTTTCGAATCCTCTGGGCACAGCAATGGTGCAGCTCTGGCACGGCAGGCATCCTAACATAGCCACATCAGCGACCATCTCATTGCTATAGTCGAGTGTAAGCGTTCTATTGTACCTGGTGCCCTCTGACCATGCGTTGCCATTGGTTGCCATTTGTGATTGGCCATTCGGCTCCTGCGTCTTTGCTGGGAGCACTTTTTTGGCCGGCCTTCAAGAATGTGAGTCTGGCAGATAGCCAGCGTGGTAGCTACCTGCAGATCCATGGGGCTGACCTTCATGAGACTTGTAGCCCATGGTACCCTTTACCCTGTACTTGGGTTCTGGTTCCCTAAACCCTAAACCCTAAACCCTAAACCTTAAACCCCCAACAAAGGGTGCCCTTTGCTGTAATATGGTTACTGGGAGCTACCAAGGAGAGTTTGCTTCAAGTTGGTACACCGGAGACCAACTTGCAGAACTTTGCCTGGTACCCTACTGATCTCATAATTGCTCGTGGCGCTGCTCGCAGTAATTGCCCGACAGACCTCGCATTCCAAGCTGCCGCCCGTGCAGCGAGAAGAAGCCCGAGGAAAAATATTCGGGCACTTGCTGTTTCCTCCGGGACTTTGCAGGTATTCGGTCTGTATACACATAGCCAAAGGCTGGCTGCCCACGATTCATACGGGTGGGTCTCCTCAAGCCTTTGCCTTCTCACAATTCTTCACTGGTTTCTGAGGGAGTGGACGTACGCACAGCTCCTCTCCTCTTTGACGGCCGACCTTACAAACTCCATCGTGTCCGTGCGAAGCACCAAAGCTCTTTGGCTTCAGCTGTGGATCATAGAGCCTAAGTATGGGGGCCGTTCGCTTAGCTTAGAAGGACCCCCCCCCCCCCCCGCCCTCCCAAAGTACTGTAGCCCCAAAACCCAGAAGACCCCGAGATTCGAGGGCTTTAGGGGGGGATGTTTGGTACATTGTCATTTTCTTGTCTTGCTTTTCCACGGATTCTGTAGGAAACCTGATACAGCACCCTAACAGGGCATCCCAGGGGGCCCTTTATTCTTAGTTTCTAGTAGGGACTGTAGCACCCCCGGTACGTGAAGGTTGAAGTTCAAAGGTCATAAGTGAAGCTAAGGCACCCTAGAGCATGACTCAAAAGTAGGTCCCTTAAAACGGAGCCCTGAGAGGCTCCCCCCAAACCCTAAACCCTACTCCTTCGCTAGGAGCCTGTCAACCTCTGCTCAGGATCTTTCCCTGGTCTACAGCCGGCTCTTCTCGATGTTGGCCTGGCAGATTGCCACGGCACCCCTCTTCCTCATCTTGGCCGCTGGCCTCCGAAAATAATCATTATCATGTTATCATCAGTATATGAAGAATATTATCAGGATTATTACTATTAGTAGTATTGTTACTAATATTCTCACCCTAAACCCTAAGCCCTAAACCCTAAACCTTAAAATAACAACAAAACAAACAAGTCCACAGACCTCAGACTGAGCCAAGATACCTTCGGCATGCAAGCTCGTGCAGTAGGGTTTAGAGTCTAGGCTTTAGGGCTTAGGGTTTACGGTTTCAGCACACAGGTCGAATACATACACGTGTACGGGATCTTGAGGGGTGAGTATCTTGAGGTTAAAGGTCTCGGGAGAGCTCTGAGAGTTTAAGGGCTGGCAGTCCCCAAACCCTCAGAACCTACACCCCCAAAGCTCCCAACCGCGAAAACCCTAAAATTCAATCCTCGGAGCCCCCCTTTAACCCCGGAACCCGCCCTCAAGAACACAAAGCTCCTAACCCTAAACCCGAAACCCTAAACCCGAAACCCTAAACCCGAAACCCTAAACCCGAAACCCTAAACCCTAAACCCTAAACTCCTAAACCCTAAACCCTAAACTCCCAAGCTCAAAACCCCCCTTTCCTGCAAGCAAGGACCCGATGATCCAAGCGATGCGTGGCTGCAAGAACAGTCAACCCAGGGTTTAGGGTTTAGGGTTTAGGGTTCAGGGTTTAGCGTTTAGGGTTTAGGGTTCAGGGTTCAAAGGTTTAGGGTGCAGGGTTCAGGGTTTAGGGTTTAGGGTTTAGGGTTCAGGGTTCAGAGTTCAAAGGTTTAGGGTGCAGGGTTTAGGGTTTAGGGTTCAGGGGTTTAGGGTGCAGGGTTTGGGCGTCTGTAGGGCCGAGGGTGCACCAGGAGATAATGTACAAAACCGACATGCCCTCAACCCTGAACCCTAAACCCTAAACCCTAAACCCTATGAACCCTAAACCCTGAACCGAATCTCAGGTGGTTCGCGTCGTCTCTTCAGAGCCTCTTGGACTGGACCCAGAGAACGGGCCCAGAGTTTGGGTGTAGGGTTTAGGGTTTAGGGTTTAGGGTTTAGGGTTTAGGGTTTAGGAGCCTCAACAACAATTGCAGCACCTTCCCTCTAAGAGTAGTTTCATGGGCCCTGAACATGGTGGTCCGTTACCCTCAATGCGTCTGAAGTATGGGCCCTTAGTTTGTATAGGGTATATACGGGGAAACGTGTAACTACCCATAGATTCCCGAAACCCCGTGCTGCCCTAAACCTGCAGTTTTCCTGATTCCCAATCCAAGGTTACATAACCAACAGGTTTAGGGTTCAGTAGCCTCAACAATCTATTGCAGCTACCCATAGATTCCCGAAACCCAAACCTGCAGTTTTCCTGATTCCAAGGTTACATAACCAACTCGATGCTTCAATCATACATCTCAGGCCCGACATTTCGACAGATCCTGGGGGAATTATGTTGTATAGGCGTGCCTGTCAACAATAAAGTAAAATTTCTTGGAAGTTTAGTAGCATGAAATCTTAATTGAGATTCCAAACTTTTCGGGGCTGGGGTGGGGGGAGTCAGGATGTTGGAGTGTCTTTCAGGAGTCAAGGTTCGTTTGGTTTAGGGCTTTGGGCATTTGGGGTCTCGTTGTCATGTGTTACAGGGTTTCAGGGGTCTTCCAGATGTTTGCTCTGCAGGCTTCGAGTTTTGTAGGGTCTGCAGGGTTCAGACCCTAAACCCCAAACCCCACACCCTAAACCCTAAACCCCAAACCCTAAACGGTCCGCTCCTTCCTGTCCAAGGGGGGGTGTCTCTGTAGGAATGCTTTTGCATCAGGAGGGGCTTAGGGTTTAGGGTTTAGGGTTTAGGGTTTAGGGTTTAGGGTTGCTTATGGCAGACCCCACTTTTTAGGTTTTGGGTTTGTAGGGTTTATAGGGTTTGTAGGGTTTGTAGGGTTTATAGGGTTTATAGGGTTGATAGGGATGATAGGGTTTATAGGGTTTATAGGGTTTGTAGGCTTTATAGGGTTCATAGGGTTTATAGGGTTTGTAGGGTTTGTAGGGTTTATAGGGTGTATAGGTTTTATAGGGTTTATAGGGTTTATAGGGTTTGTAGGGTTTATAGGGTTGATAGGATTTATAGGGTTTGTAGGGTTTATAGGGTTTATGGGGTTTATAGGGTTTTATAGGGTTTAGCGGGCTTATAGGGTTTTTAGGGTGTGTGGGGGGTTTACGGGGTTTACAGGGTCTAGGGATCAGGATTTTTGGTTGATTCTCTTCTGCCCTCCGGCATGTCTACCGGTGGAGCAGGTGGCGGCCAGGCCTACTACAAGTTGAAGATGGATGATGAGGTGCCTAAACCCTAAACCCCAAACCCCTGAACCCTAAACCCTTGGGCCGTTCTTCACCTCTCCTTCCCTGTGTCAGAAGTGCACATTAAGGTGAGTTCTTCAAATTGTTGTGCCTTTTTTGGCCACCTTAGATAAGAGAGGGGCCGCCATTGTAGTAAGGACCCCAAAAGGGACCATATATTAGAGAAGTGACCCTAAACCCTAAACCTAAACCCCAATATAGAGGGCTGTCCACCTCAGCCTTTTTCGCCCTGAGCACGTATAAGGGGGTTTACGACAACAAAAGAGCCTGTAGGATCCCCTTGTAGTAAGGACTTCAGTAGGGTATCCCTAAACCCTAAACCCTACCCTAAACCCTAAACCCTAAACCCCCCCATCAGGACCCCAATAAGGTACCCCTCATTTCAGAATCCCTTATTTCCAACTGAGAAGCGGGACCTCGACAACCCAGATCAGCGCATCAGTGAGTCCGCAGAGCAGCCCCTCGAGAGCACGTGCGTGGATGAATGTGCATAGGGTTTAGGGTTTAGGGTTTAGGGTTTTTAGGGTTTAGGGTTTTAGGGTTTAGGATGTAGGGTTTAGGGTTTAGGGTTTAGGGTTTAGGAGCCTTCACCTCTTCGGCACGGGAAGCCGCTGCCCCCAGGTTTGCCTTCATGATGTATGTCCTCTTCTCCGGCTTCCTGTCGGCTGTGCAACTCTGCTCAACAGCCTCCGAGCCCCAGGGGCGAGTTTAGGGTTTAGGGTTTAGGGTTTAGGGTTTCGGGCGAAGCCCTCAACCCCCTAAGCCATGGTCTCCCCCAAAACTGCCGAGCCCTCACCTTGCAACCCCTATAAACCATAGAGCCCATATGCCCTAAACCCTAAACCCGAAAATCCAAACCCTAAACCCTAAACCCGCCCCCCCCCACCAAAAAAAAAAAAAATAATAAAATAATAATAATAATAATAAAAAAAAAATATATATATATATATATAATAAGAAACTCAAAGCGCCCTAAGGTTCGGGATGCTTGCCTGGGCAGGGGCCAAGCCCCCAGCACACTGTGAATCCTGCGGGTTCTTCGGGTTTAGGGTCTTGGGGTTTAGGGGTTAAGGGTTTTAGGGTTCAGGGTTTAGGGTTTAAGGTTTAGGGTTGAGGGTTTAGGGCAAACCTCATAGAGTTGAGGGTTCGGGGTCTTTGGGTTTAACGCCCCCTTGGGCAGTACGCACCATGCGGAAATGGCATGGGCGGGGGGGGGGGGGGGGGGGCGCATCACAGTCCGATAAACTGCACTTGGAGGTTCATGGTACTTATTAACCAGTTATAACTGTACTTATAACCCACTTATCAGCCCCTTAAGTGCCCTAATATGGTTATAAGTACAGTTATAATTGGTTAATAAATGCCATGAACCTCCAAGCATTGGTGCTGGGTTCCCTGTTCCCCCCCCCCCCCCCCCCCCCGCCGTGAGCTTTCACAGGCCACCACCCAAACCATCGCCTTCTAGGGTTTAGGGCTGCCCGCCTAATTTCCCCTAAATTCCCACCATCAAGAATGTTTCGGAGTTCGATGAAGCCACCTTCAAACACTTCAAGTGGGGTCGAGGGTCTTTTGGGCGCGCAGGGGGTAATTTGGGAGTGCACGCCATGAAAAATGATACGGCCTAAGCAGGCTGGGTGGGGAATTTGGGCTTAAGTTTAGGGACTAGTAGGTACATGCAGGAAGTAGGTATATGTATAAACATAAAAATATATATATATATATATATAACACTATATGAAGCTTTTAAGGGGTTCTAAGAGGCGCCACATAGAGCCCTTACAGGGTCTATATAGGGATATGTCTACATGTCTACGTCCCTCATTCCCCGCTAAGAACCAGTAGGTGGTTTCGGGGGAGGAAGCTCGCGCGCGCGCGCCCGCGAGTGTTTGGAACTTATAGAGTTTGTAAAGGTTTTGGGGATTTTGGTTTATAGGGGGTATCGGTTTGGGGGTTTATAGGGTTTAGGGTGCATTGGTTTGAGGGTTTAAGGTTTGTAGTGTTTGGGGCACGGCAGAGGATTCACGATTGAGGCTTACAGGATTCCCCGTATCAGGAGCCTACAAACGACTACATTCGGGATTGACAAGGGGCATCCCATTCTCCAGTTTTGTAGGTTTTCAGGGAGCTGCAGGGTTCTAAAGTGTCAGGGTTGAGGTTACTCCTTATACGACTTGGCTATAAACCATAGAAAGCTTGAACGTTCAGACGGAGGAGGGGAGCCGAAACAAGAGGGGCCATCATGGGATTTAGGGCTCAAACCCAAAGGTGAGCGTTTCTTCCCGAAGAGTCCTTGGCCATACAACCAGTAGGGCTTGACCAGGTGGGCCATTTGGGCCTTGGTCTTAGGGCTTATAGGGTTTCAGGGTAGATAGGGTTCCGGGTTCATAGGGCTTACAGGTTTGCTAGCGTTTCAAGGTTTTTTAGGGTTTATAGCGCATGCATGGTTTAGAGGGTATGTGGGGTCGATAGGGTTTCGGAACTGGGTAGTTGGGGTGGGGGGTTAGCACCAGGATCCCTTAACCCTGACCTCGAGGTCATGATCCAACTGGGTGGCTACGCCCTCCTTGCAACCTGCATGGGTATGGCATGCTTGCGGCTGGTCCTCTCCATCAGCCTCTCAGCATGGCAGGAAGCAGGAAAGGGGAAGTAGGCAGAAGCCTTTAGGCCCCAAAAGTCTCTCTTCCCCTAAACCCCTAAACCCACTCGTGAACCCAAAGCCCGAAGCAAAACGTCCTAAACCCGATAGTGCATGAGCCTAAATCTCCAATGACCTCCAATCCCACAGCCCAACTTCACCGCGAAGCAGAAGGGTACCCGCAACAACACCACGTAAGGAGGGACGGGCGTGTGGGGTGAGAGTGGGCGGAGGGGGGTTCGGATGCGGATGGAATGCGCCCTCAGCACATGTCTCGCACCAAGGTCTCTTCGGAAACGCCTTAGTGGATGCCTTCAAGGATCAGCTTGAGACAGGCGCCCATGACTTGTGCGACGTGTGTCACGCATGCCTCGGCCATGCGTTGCTGTAAAGCCTCTACTCTCAAGCTCTCGGAATGAACGGCAGGTGCTACTTTCCGTTATTCTCTGGCACGGCTCCGTCTGCTACCCAGCTTGTAGCGGAGCAGCGTCCTAAACCCTATGCTAAGCCCTGACCCTAAACCCTAAACCCTAGAACCCGAACGTGCGTGAACCCCGAGGTGAGCATGCGGAGCCTGTGGCGCTTGCCCACGGAGACCAGGTTGAGGCGCTTCGCTCCAGGCGCCACTTCGAGTCCCACGTCGATGTGCGCGCCTGAGCATCTCAGTGTCACTGCAACAGTTTGTCATTTGGGCGGGGGGGCAACACATTGTCATTGTGCTCATGGTTCGTAGGTTATAGTCGTATCATGATGAGGCTAATGAATTGTTGATCTCAACCTCAATCTTATGTTCTTGTTGCATTCGAGGAACAGTGGCCGATTCCCGGCAAGGGAGTCACATGCCAGTGAAAAGTCTTAGAACGTGACTCCCCCGCATCTTTCGGGGGAGCAGCGCGGGGGAATCACGTGTCAGGATCTCCGGCCCAGAAAAGACCTAGATCCTTTGTTCGTGCGTATCACTTATACCATGGTTGTTCTCTTATCAGTGTTAACATAGTCTCACTTCGGCCATGATTTCGGCCATGACTCTTTACTGTGCCTTCATCTGACTTGTCTTTGCCGTTAAACGGCAGTGTTTTTCGCTGCCGGCAGCAAACCCACCGATTCTTGCACAGCCGCCTAAACCCTAAACCCTCAACCCTAAACCCTAAACCCAGTGCTCATGCATGTCTGCAGGCTTACAGATACAACGCTGCCTGGCTTCGCAAATCATTTTTAGCGTTCACAGTGGGCACTGTGAGGTGAGAAGTCGGAGGGGCCATAGATGCAGACACCCTGAAAATCCCAAACCCGAAGCCCTTAACTCCAACGTGCGGCAGACTTCGAGGCGTTCATCAGCATGCTGTTTACCACCACCCTCGGCATTGTTGACTTCTTTCCCATCGTGCCCTGGCTTCAACCAACTAAACTACTTCTCTAGTTTCATTCACGACCCCCGACCCGAAGCACCCCAAACCCCCAAACCCTAAACCCTAAACCCCAAACCCTAAACCCTAAACCCCAAACCCTAAACCCTAAACCCTTCTAAACTCTTCCAGGTCATCCTCTGGTTGTACCAAGTCCCGCAAATCGAAGCAGGCGGGATCATGGGCCGTCGCAGCCGTCTCAATGGAGGGACGACCGATTTGGGGGCTTCCGAAATTAGGGGTACCTTATTGGCGGCCCCGATTATAAGGTAATCCTACTTACTTTTTGGGGGTGTATGTTAGGGGTCCCCTATTTCGTAAACCCACATTTAGCCTTTCCTTTGTCATGTTGGGGTAACATTTTACATGTATAAGGGTACTTAAGCTCAATCAGGAGTTCGAATCCAATTTTTCAATATCCCAACCATGAACTAGTTTCGTTTTGTTCTGAATTTATTCGCAGGCTATGATTTGGGATGTTCCCCCTTATACTAACAGTCCTTGCCCGGTACCCCTCTTACAATCCCTACTAAGGGCTGTGAGTAGAAGGGGGAACATGCCAAGCCACGTCCCTTGTAGGGTTCTTGGGTACAAAGAAGTCGGCCTCGGGTCCTTATGGCTACCCCCTAAACCCTAAACCCCCGCAACCCCTCCTATTCTGACAAGCTTGAGAAAGAAGCTTCTCGTCCCAGGATACAATTCTCCCCACTTTTAGAATACGAAGACGATTGACCCCCCCCCCCCCCTCCCCTTCCCCCAATAGAAGCTCGAAGCGTGTTTTTAATATTGGGGGGGGGGAGATTGGCTTGAAGGTTTTTGAGGCCCTGAACCCCCCCCCCCCCGCCCCCTTAGGAATGGGGTTTAAAAGGCGGGGTCGGTTTCGGCAGGATTTTCCGGAAGTGTTTTTTTAATATTTGTGTGTGTGTATTTAATACAAGCGGGAAGTGATTATTACATATCCGTAGCTTGGTACAGGCAACTCAGCTCAAGTTCTTTAATCCAAAGCCCGAATACTTAAGCCTTTCCTGAGAGCAGCGACCAGAGCACCCTCGGGACCCTCAGCAGGAGTTCTCAACTTCGGCGACGCTGTGCGGTGCCAAACTGGATACATGCAGGTGGCGAAGGCCACTTACTGACGGTCTGTAGGCTTGTTTAGGGCTTTATCTCTGCCCCCCCATCAGTTAATATTAACACCCCTACCCCCTAATATTAAATCTCCCCCCCATGATAATTGCATAGTAGGTGGCGGGGTAGTTAGTACAGTTAGTATTAGGGGGTGGGGGGGGGGGGGGGGGGGGGGGGGGGGAATATTTAGGGCTTATGGCTCAGGGAATTGAGGAAGTAGGTCATAGGTAAGGTTACCCTTTGTGTAGGACTGAAGCATCGAGTTGGTTCTGCATCGAGTTGGTTCTGCACCTTCGGCATTCGGAGTCCTGTAGATTCAGGTTTAGGGTTTAGGGTTTAGGGTTTAGGGTGCAACCTCAGGTCACAAAATCAGATAGCCAGAACCCTTAAAAACCCCACAAGGCAAAGCAAAACCGAAAACCGAAGCAAAGCAAAACGGAACCTGAACGCAGCACCGGAGGTCATGGACTTCCTTGCGAATTCCTACGCCAAGCTCAAGCAGCTGCAGCTCTCTCTTCGTGGGTTTTTAGAGGTCTTTTGGGGGTTTAGGGTTCAGGGTTTAGTGTTTCTTGAGGTCTTTTGAGGGTTTAGGGTTTATTGAAGCTGTTCAGGGTTCAGGTCCAGAGAAGTTTCGAAGAAAGTTTCGAGGATTTTCAAGGAGTTTCTTTTTTTCCATTTTCTTTGTACTTTAAAGTTACAGGGGCTTGGGGGGGCCCTGACCACCAAACCACCAAATCCCCAAACCCCTAAACCCCCAAACCCCCAAACCCCCAAACCCCCAAACCCCCAAACCCCCAAACCCCTAAACCCCTAAACCCCTAAACCCCTAAACCCCTAAACCCTAAACCCTAAACCTGTCCAAGGCAGGCGAACGGGGAGCGACTCTGGCAGCTCTGGGAAGCCGCTGATGAGGCTCCGAGTCGGAGTCCCCTAGCCCTAAACCCTAAACACTAAACCCTAAACCCTAAACCCTAAAACCTAGACTTATGAACGTCAGGTAGCTGCGTCCGCGCCGCGGGTCCGCGGGTCCGCGCGTCCGGGTGTCCGCCTGTCCGGGTGTCCGTCCGACGTCTCTGCGCCGCGTCAGCGCGCTTGCGCGGGTCCGTGCTGTCTCGGGTTCGTGGCAATATCTGCGCAGTGAGGGCACCAAAGAAGTCCATGCTTACCCACACAGAGCGCAGTGCAAGTCCGACACTTTTTCGAAAGGACCCGTGCAAACCCCGAAGCCCCAACACAAGACTAGAGATTCTGCCCCCGAATTGCAGAGCACCCCTGAATCCGAAACAATATTTCAGTGAAACAGCCTCCAAACCTTTCAACCCAACCCCCCCATCTCGACCCCGACAAGGCGGGGTTGGGTTTGCTTGTAACAGCCCCAAACCCCCAAACCCAACCCGCCCCATCTTGACCGGGTTTTGCTTGAAATACAGCCCCAAACCCCTACACCCAAGCCTCCAATCTGAATGCTTGAAAAGGCTCAAACCCCTAAACCCAACCCTGTGCTTGAAATACAGCCCCAAATGTCGAAACCCAATCCCTTCCATCGGTACCCCCGAGTTCAACCCCCATATCTGCACCTCGAGAAGGGGGTTGGGCCAACCCATGGGGATACAGCCCCAAACCCAAAAACCGCCTCCTCTGGACTGCGAGAAGGGGGTTTGTTTGCTTGACATAAAGCCCAAGCCCCCCTATCTCAAGGTTTGCTTGAACCCAAACCTAAACCCAACCCCCCCATCTGGACCCGAGAAGGGGGGGTTGGGTTTGCCCCAAACCTCAAAACCGAACAGCCCCCGAAATCCAACCACGCCCATCAGGACCCCCTAAACCTAACCCCAACACCTGGACCGAGAAGGGGGGGTTGGGTTTGCTTAATACAGCCCCAAACCCTTAAACCCAATCCCCCATCTCGACCCGAAGGGGGAGTTGCTTGAACTGCAGCTCCAAACCCCGAAAACCAACCCCCTGCGGTTGGTTTGAAATGCAGCCCCAAAGAACCCAAACCCCCCATCTGGACCCCGACAAAAGGGGGTTGGGTTAGTTGAAACCCCAAACCCCTAAAACCCCCCAGCTGGACCCCGAGAAGGGGTTGGGTTTACCCTAAACCCAACCACAAGAAAAGGGTTGGGCCCCCTCCCCAGACCTCGAAACTGCCCCTAAACCTCATTTCAAGTTTTCTGTAAGCCCGGAGCTGCAAATAGCTACGAAGCAAAATCGCTCCACCCTGTAGGAACTTTTCCGACATATATGTCAGGAGCGCATGTCATCTGCAAGTCCCGCGCAAGAAGAAGTCACATTCCGAAACCGAAAGTCTTAGATGAGGTATATGTTTTTCCAGCGAAAGGCTTGCATACATATACGTTCGCGGGTCTGAGCGCTTTTAGTTTCGCACGTCCGTGTGCGCGTCAGTGGTTCATCGTGCACGCGCGTCCGCATATCCGCGCGTTCGAGTCCGCATGTCCGCGCGTCCGCGTGTCCGCACGCGTTCCTTTGCGCCAAACCTTTGCAGCTATAGTGTTCATGAGTGAAACCCTAAACCCCAACCCCTGATACCCGAAACCCTGATACCCTAAACCCCAAACCCTAAAGCATCCCAAAAGTCTTAAACCCTTTGCCCTAAATTACTTGATCCACCCTAAAGAGCCCCTAAGTATCCCTAAATGAACCCTCAGCCCACGCAGAAAAGGGCTTCTGAGCTCAGGGCCTGGTCTATTTTTTGCGCTGCTAGGTCAAGCGATGAAGACTCGCACCCTTAAGGCTGTACCCCTGCCCTTCAGACAGTCCGAAAAGGCCTCGTTTTGTACTTTAGCAATCTTCAAGAAGGGTCCCCTTAACCCAAGAGTACCAAACCCAGCGGTCCAAGGTAAAGTCCCCCCAAACTCTGCTAAACCCTAATAACCCTAAACCCTAAACCCTAAACCCTAAACCCTAAACCCTAAACCCTAAACCCTAAACCCTAAACCCTAAACCCTAAACCCTAAACCCTAAACCCTAAACCCTAAACCCTTTACCTTGAGCTAGGTCAACGAGGAGCCACCTGAAGACTCGACCATCGAGTTCATGGCCTGCGTCCTTTCGAGGCAATCAGATAAAGCCACTTGGGGATTGTAGGCGTTTAGGGTTTAGGGTTTAGGGTTTAGGGTTTAGGGTTTAGGGTTTAGGGGTTTCGGGTCTAGGTTTCGGGGGTTTAGGGGTGTAGGGTTTAGGGTGCAGGGTTCAGTGTTTAGGGTTTAGGGTTTAGGGATTCCCGCATTGAGGGAAATCTGCGGCCAGGCCTATATAGGGTTTGGGGCTTACGGGTTAGGGCGCGTGCCCTTTACATTGGTGTAGTAAGAAACGAAGCTAACCTTTGAACCCCAAACTCGGAAAGCCGTTCTATCACGGCACGCAGTTACTGAAGGTGAACCCAAACCCGGGATTGCCTTGCTAAACCCTAGTACCCTAAACCCTAATACCCTAATTCCCTCATACCCTAAAACCCTAACACCCACATACCCTAGTACCCAAATACCCTAATACCCTTAAACCCTGACGGGACGGTAAGGACACGGATGTGGCGTTTGCCTTCAGAGAGCTCTACGTCTTCGCGCCCGGGGGCAGCACCGCTGTGGGTGGAGATCCTCGGCTGAAGCTGTCAGCTGTATAAACCCTAAACCCTAAACCCTAAACCCTAAACCCTATAGATTAAAGGATCAAGCGACTCAAGGAGGGACCCTTACTAGGGATTTAGGGGGATAGGGGCGATTTAAGGGTATATACAGGGGTTAGACAGGGGAATAAGATTGGGCCCCTCCTTTCACCTCTCAAAAAAGGCTGACAGTAAGTCTCGTTTTCTCCTAAGTTGTTTCAATGGCATCTTAGAAACCCCCAACAAGGGTCACTTACTAGGTTCCCTGCTTTGCATGGCCCTTTGGCGTAGTTAGGGTTTGAGGTTAAGGTTTTTTTTTTTTTTTGTGGGGGGGTGGAGCCAAGGTGAGCCTGGCGTGCGAAGTGGGCAAAGGCAGTGAGTGCAAGTGCAAATGGTCAGTTCTGCAAGTTTTCGTCTCTTTCGGTACCATGGATATAAGGGGCCTGTTTCGGGAGCCTGCCACATGGTCCGGTTGAAGGAACCTCAGCGTAAGCAAGCTTGTTCGCTTGCTGCCGTCCCCAGCATACGCAGCCTGAATGCCATCAGCCTCTTCACTAATCCCTATAAGCTATCCCACGCTTAAGCCATGCTTGTAGCGCGCAAGGCCTGCTGATCACCGGGGGATCAGGCCGGGTTCTGCTGCGCCCAGCTCGCCTGTAGGAGCAAAGGCCCTATAGACACCCCAACAATATTCAGTCTGAACCCTAAAACCTAAATCCCATATGGGGGTTTTGCCATATTCGGGGTACCTTATGAACGTCCTGATGATAAGGGGATCTTACTTTTGGGGGGTCGAGATGAGGGGGTCCCCTATGTTCGTAAGTCCCCTTAATACACCCTCGACACCTCAAGCAGGCATCGGGAAGTCATCGATTCTGAGGGCCCTGGTTGGACTCTGGTCGACCGGGGAGGTCCCTCGGCGATGCACCTGGCCTTCGGGCATTTCCTTTTTTTAAGGGTTTAGGGCTTATGAGGCTTAGGGCTGGCCTTTGGGTAGTCCCCCCCCCCCAATTTTTTGCTTTGAGTTTAGGGCCTGTACTTCCAGAAAATACTGCAGCCCTTCTTAAAATCCTAGGAACCCCCCCCCCCCCACCCCCCCGAAAAAATAGGGGTACCCCCTTTCCCGGAAACCCCCACTACGGCTTTCTGGGAGCTGTTTTTTTAGGGCTTAGGGCTGATAATGTAGGGTTGATGGCTTTTTAGAAGGGGCTTATGAGTTTTGGGTCTTGAGGCTTTTAGGTTTGCTTCTGTGGTTATTTGGGCCAATAGAGCCCCTGAACGCGAAATTGTGGCTAGTCAGGGCGCGTAGTGTAGGACCCCCTAAGACCTAAAATCCGCAACTGAAGACCAAACCCGAGTGAAAAAGCACTACGGGGTCCTAGGGTCTGTGCCTGGCGAGAGTGGCAAACCCTAAACCCTTAACCCTAAACCCTAAGCCAGCTTTTCAACCAAGGGGACTGTTGAGAAGTCCCCTGGCGCCGAAGTCATCTTCCTACCGCAGATGCTTAGAGGCAATGGAGGCTGAGGAGAATTTGCCTTGAGCAAGAGGGCGGGAGTTAGGTTTACAGGATTTGGGGTTTGGGTGCAGGGATTCAGGATTTGGGGGGGTTTGCGTGATGGTCCTTTTTGGCTCTCCCACTGAAATGTGCAGCCTTTATTTTTCGTGCCTCCGAAACGGGAGGAGATAACTGCACCCCTACCCTTCAGCACAGACACAAATTTGCCTTACACAACCTGTTGGGTTTGTAGGGTTGGTAGGGTTTCGGGTTTGAGGTGTAGGGAGGTTTCCTGGTTGCCTGGGGTTTGGGCTTCGAGGGTTTAGGGCTCACGCCAATCCCCGAGCCCCTGAGCCTAACACTTTCAAAGCCGAACCTTCCGCGAAGTTCCTCCTAAACCCGAAACCTAAACCCTAAACCCCAAACCCGATACGAACCCGAAACCACCACCCCCACCACCACCCCCAGGGTCTATGAGGACAAGTGCTGTTCTTCTTATTTTCGGGTGCTCCTGTATTCTTCGGCTACTGCGGAACCTAGAGGCCCCAAAGCTCTAAATCCTAGGGTTTAGGGCTTGGGGTTTAGGGTGTCAGGGTTAGACCTCGACCCTACAAACCCTATAGACCCCTCCGGGGTGGGGTGGTGGTTTAGGGTTGTTAGGATTTTTAGGGTTTTTAGGGTCTTTAGGGTTTTTAGGGTTTTTAGGGTTTTTAGGGTCTTTAGGGTCTTTAGGGTTTTTAGGTTTTTTTCGGGTTTTTTTCGGGTTTTTTTAGGGTTTTTAGGGTCTTTTTGGGTGTAGGGTTTAGCCCTAAATTCCTCCCAGGAACTCCTACTTCCCCGTTGGCACGCTCTTGGAGGCGCCTTCCGTGCCGAGTGATACCGAAGAGGGTTCAAAGGCATGCCTCTTATTGGGATTGAACCCTAAACCCAAGACACTAAATCGCAAACCCTGAACCCTAAACCCTAAACCCTAAACCTAAGCCCTACCCCCCTCCCCCCCCCCCCCCTAGGGTGTTCTCGAACGAGGCTGTGATCTATCCTGCTGAGCTGGCAGCTGCCGGTGGTGCAGAGAGGAGAGGGTCTTGTAGACCTCAGGAAATCGAATGCGCTGAGTTTTTTTTTTACCTAACTTCGGCGGAGGTGGGGGGGTGGGGGGTGTTGGCGGTGAGGGGGGGGGGGGGGGGGGGGGGAGGGGGAGATATATCATATCATTATCATTCTCATTATCAGTATTAATTATTCATTGATAATTTCTTATTTATTAATTATTATATATATATATATATATATTTTTTTTTTTGTTTTTTTTTTTTTTTTTTTGGGGGGGGGGGGGGGTTGGGGGGTGGAGGAAAGGGATCCTGAAACCCTAAACCTAAAAACCGCAAACCCTTGGAGCTTAAAGCGGGCAGGAGCGGCCTCGAGGAGCTCACGACCCGTGTGCTGAAGTCACTCGGCCAGTTAAGAGGCGAGGTGTTCAGGTGTTAATGAGGGTTCAATCAGAGATTGTTTTTTTTGTTTTTTGTAGTTTCGTTGGGGTTTATAAGGTTTCATAGGCGTCATAGGGTTTGCAGGGCTGATAGGGTTTATAGGTCTTGTAGGGTTTAATTTAATTGAGGTTTGCTGGGTCCATGGTTTATAGCGTTTCATTGAGCTTTCTAGGGTTTACGGGGTTTATCTGGTTTGTAGGGTTTAGCTAGGATTGATAGGGTCTATAGGGCCACTTGGAAAGTTTTCATTATTGGGCTCAAGAGGATCAGATCTCGGAAGAGTTTTTCAGAGGTATTAAAGTGCGAATCCTAGGAGGGTTTGTGCCCAAGCTTGGCAGCTCGGGGGTTGGGGGCAAATACATAGTGGTCAGATACACAAACCGGCCCATGAGCACAAAGAACAACCTTAGCTGGCCCAAGGCATGTCCAGCAAAGCCCACCAGAGTACCCTAAACCCTAAACCCTAAACCCTAAACCCTAAACCCTATTTCCTGAGCCCTTTTCTGCGTCAGGAGAGCGCTCCTGTCACCTCTTCTGCGGCGATGGGGCTTGCAGGAGCTTTGCTTGAAGAGGTTTTGGGGAATTAGGGTCGTATTGTATCTCTCTTTTTGTTGTTTTGTATTTCCTCTCTCTCTCCCTTTTGTGTTTGATGTTTTTTTTTCTCCGTCTCTCTTCGTTTTCTCTCTCTCTCTCTCTCTCTTTCTGCATTACATATAAGACGAGAGAATCTGTATGTATCTTTGTGGAAGTGTAGACCTTGCTGAGAGAAAAAGCAACATCTACAACGCTAGAAGAGGAATTCAGGACTTCGCAAGCTCAGCGGACGCTTCGCGATCGCTTGCCTTGCGATTGCACAGAGTCGGGGCCCTCAAACCCGCTTCGGGCCGTTTAGGGTTGAGGGTTTAGGGTTTGGGCCAAAGCTACATGTTTCTTCGAAGAAAAGAGTTCAACCCTGATCCCTAAACCCTAAACCCTGAACCCTAAACCCTCTTCACCTTGGAGGAGACTCGAGACTGGAGCGCCATCCTATCTGCTGGAGAGCGCCAGCGTCTGGCCTTCGCGCGGCTCTTCATGATGCTGGTGACCGGGCCCTAAACAGGGTTTAGGGTGTAGGGTTTAGGGTTTGGGGTTTTGGGCTTAGGGTGTATTTAGGGTTTAGGGTTTAGGGTGTTTAGGGTGTGGGGTATAGAGGGTTAAACGTTTAGAGGCTTTGCAGGGTTTATAGGGTTTTTGTAGGGTTTATAGGGTCTGTAGGGTTTGCAGGGTGTATAGGGTCCACAGATTTTATAGGGTTTTCTCGAATTTATGGGGTTTAGGACGGTTTATCGGGTCTGTAGGGTTTATAGGGTTTACAGGGTCTGTAGGGTTTACAGGGTCTATAGGGTTTATAGGGGTTAGTAGGGTTCTTGGTAGAGGGGTGCGGAGCCTCAAAGCAAAAAGCCTGAAGCCTTCAGCCGAGGAATTAGGGTTTGACTGCGCAATGCCTGCTGTAGCGGTTTAGGGTTTAGGGTTTAGGGTTTAGGGTTTAGGGTTTAGGGTTTAGGGTTTAGGGTTTAGGGTTTAGGGTTTAGGGTTTAGGGTTTAGGGTTTAGGGTTTAGGGTTTAGGGTTTGGAGTTGCGCCCACAAAGACATGCCAGCGATGCAGATTTCCGTCGTGAGCTAAACGGTGGCACGTTTTTTTCCTGAAAGCCAAGCTGAGCGGTTTAGGGTTTAGGGTTTAGGGTTTAGGGTTTAGGGTTTAGGGTTTAGGGTTAGGGTTTAGGGTTTAGGGTTTAGGGTTTAGGGTTTAGGCAGGAGCAATGTACACAGGCTCAGGGGCCCTTATTGCGATTCAAAGTCTATGAAGTAGGGTTTATATTTCTTGTACCCCCAAACGGACACCCAAGGTACACACTCACCAATATTAAAAAGGAACCTTATGTATACTCACCAAAAGCAGTAATATAAACCCTGCTTCATATGCCTTGAGTTAGGGGCATTGTGCCCCTGGGAAGATCTTGCGAAGATCTTCTCCACACTACTTCTTGTGGCCAGTGGCCTGCGGGGGTGTCATCCTGCACTGTCCTACTGCACCCTTTATAAACCCAAACCCGTACTCGAACCATAAACATCATAAACCTCGAAACCCCTAAGGAATTTAAACCCTAAGCCCTAAGCCCTAAACTCTAAACTCTAAACCCTAAACCCTAAACCCTAAACCCTAAACCCTAAACCCTAAACCCTAAACCCTAAACCCTACCACACGAAGAACCCCAAGCTTCAGGCGCTTCGAAGCCGCAGTGAGGAGAGGCGCACGAGCCGTGCCTGAATGGCTGGGCCGGGGGGCTTCAGGGTGTGGGTTTCTTTGGGTTTAGGGTTGGAGTTTAGGGTTTAGGGTTTAGGGTTTAGCGTTTAGGGTTTAGGGTCTAGGAACCCTCAACCCCAAACTAAAAAACAGCAAACATGCCATCCGAGGAGGCCCTCCAGCGGCATCTTTCGCAAGGCCCGGAGCGCCACGCACCTCTCAGTCGCAGGCCGCTCCTCAATCCGATCGTTTGGGGGTTTAGGTTTTAGGGCTTGGGGTTTAGGGTTCAGGGTTTAGGTTGAGGGTTTAGGGTTCAGGGTTTAGGGTTGAGGGTTTAGGGTTTAGGGTTTTTGGTGTTGGGTTTAGGGTCATTGTGGCTCCCGGGCTCAAAAAAATTAAGGGTTCGAGATTGGCCTGGATAGGAATACGGCCGTAATCTTTGAGCGCTTGGGATTTACGGTTCAGTGCCTTCGTGATTCGTGCCTTTGGTGCGTCTTAGAAGGGCTTCAAAACCCTAAACCCTAAAAGGGTTTCTTGGAACCGTAAACCCTAAGCCCTAAATCCTAAACCCTAAACCCTAAACCCCGAAGCCTTTCGCGTTCCAGCTTGGGGGTCCCGGCTGGCCACAAAAGGACAGAAACCCCTTTTGATTCCTAGGTGACTCTGAGACCTATAGGGGCCCTTAAGCCTAAGGTGTAAGCCGTATAAGCCCTAAAACCCTAAAACCTTAAAACCCTAAAACCCCTGAACCCTAAAACCTAAAACCCTAAAATACAGAGCCCTCATTGTAATTAATATACCTCTAAGCCCTCATTGTAATAAAACCCTAAAACCCTAAAACCTAAACCCAAACCCAAGAAGCCGTAAACCCTAAACCTTAAACCCTAAACCCCAAAACCCTAAACCCTAAACCCGATAAGCCCTCAACCCTAAACCTTAAACCCTGAACCCTAAACCCTATAAGCCCTCAACCCTATACCCTAAACCCCAAACCCCAAAATCTGACTGTAAGCGTACCGACTGGGCAACAAGAACCCCCAGGCAAGCGCTAGACATCCAAAAGAGGTCATTGGGTTTGTAACCCCTAATCCCTAAACCCTAAACCCTTTTAGCCCTCAACCCTAAACCCTAAACCCTAAACCCCAAACCCCAAAATCCTCTCATGGTCACCCCTTGAAGCGAGCCGCGGAGGCCACGTATTTCCCCGCACGGCGCGGAGCTTCGGAAGCGAGCTCTACGGCGCCGGACAGAAGGAGCAAGGGTTTAGGGTTTAGGGTTTAGGGTTTAGGGTTTAGGGTTTAGGGTTTGGGGTTTAGGGTTTAGGGTTTAGGGGGTTCCTTTGAGGTTTGCTTCCCTTCACTTCATGTTGTGGGCCTCGGGGCTTCAACATGTTTCCTGCCAGAGTAGACCGCATCCTGCTCCGCAGGTGTGGGGTTTAGGGTTTAGGGTTCAGGGTTGAGGGTTTAGGGTTTAGGGTTTGGGGTTTAGGGTTTAGGGTTACTTCTGGGGTCTTTTAGGGTTGAGGGTTTAGGGTTTAGGGTATCCCACCCACAAAACAAGAGATAGCCAGAGTAGCAGGCCTAAACCCTGAACCCTAAGCCTTATTTAATCCCTAATCGCTAATCCCTAATCCCGAATCCCCAATCCCTAACCCCTACCCCGCCCCCCCCGCCGGTAAAGAGATTGGATGTACCGTGAGGAGAATCAGACGTTGGCCACCTCTCAGCCGCACGCTCAGAAAACGCAAAGCTTGCTTGGGGCTTCAAGGGTTTAGGGTTTAGGGTACTTAGTGGTTCGAATCCCAACTTTTCAAATTGTCGCTTCTTAGAAGGTAGTCTTATTCGAAAAGTTAGAACTTTTTACCCCATGGGTATTTGGGAAGGAAGGGTAACTACCTTAGTATCCAGGGTTTAGTATCCAGGGTTTAGGGTTCAGGGTTTAGGGTTCAGGGTATCTACCGATGCTTAGTATCACAGGCTTTTGACGGTTTTTCTTCGCCAGCTTGTGGGGCGGGGGGTGGGGGTCCTCAGGTCAAAACTTCGTCTCAACGAGCTGAAGCGCCAGTCTGCTTTGAGCTGCGTGGCTTTCAAGGGTTTCAGGGTTTAGGGTTTTGGGTTTTGGGTTTTGGCTTTCTTGTGCACTCTATGGCCCCCTTAGGAACGTATTTTGTTTTTAGTAAAACCAAGTGAATATTAACAGTACCAGTAGTCTTTTTGTTAAGGTTCTAAGCGGAGTATAGCATTTTCATTTTATTTATTTTTCTTTTTTTTGGGGGGGGTTGCCAGGACCTTGTCGTCGGCAACAACCCTTAGGACGTCTCGGCTTCTCAAAGCCTCCTAGAGCCCTGGCTACAGGGTGTTCATGGACCCCGCAGAGGTCGAACAATCCCCTGCCAAGCCGGGGTTTTGGGGGGTTTTGGGGGGTTTAGGGTTTAGGGTTTAGGGTTTAGGGTTTAGGGTTTAGGGTTTAGGGTTCGGGGGCCTCCTGGTTCCTAAAATCCGAGTTAAGGCACCTAAACCCCAAACCCTAAATCCTAAACTGTCCTAAACGCCTCAGCCCTACACCCCTTCCGCGCAGGCTTGGTGGAGGTACAGCAAGCTTCTGCACTATGCGGTGGCCTCGCTGCATGAGTTGGAAAGTAGCCTTATGTGGGCCTTGTGGGGGTAGTTGCTGTAAGGTCTTGCCTGGCAGTACAGGGTCCAACTCCCTAAGCCATTGGCCACGGAACCCTAACCCTCTTAACCCTAACCCTCTGTAACCCCATGAGTTTAGGGTTTAGAGGTTTTCATCTGCGTCCTGAGCTGCCTCTGCCTCATGCCTGAAGACTGCCATGTCGGACTCTGCCCGAGTTTGCAGGTGACTTACCGGGCACTGGTGTCATCGCTGTGCTGGACAGGGTCGTCAAAAAATGCATCGCAAGCCGGGCGTTAAGGATTTGCAGGACTTATGTAGCCATGAGGCTTCTGAAGGGAGAGCCATAATGCGCAAGGCTTACTTGCTGCTTCTTAGTCGGGGATGAGAGTAGGCAGGCTATGTACTCCCTTATAGGGATCTCGTATCAATCCCTTAAGGAGATTGTATAGGGGGATATAGGGTACGCCCTGAGCGAACTTGTCACCGATATTCTTTGGCGCGGCGAGATTTTGATAGTGGCCTAAGTCGTCCGCAAACTAAGAGTTCTTTCTTGCCGACTAACAAATTCGAGAGACAAAAACACCCAAGGCCTGGTAGCCTGCAGTCCGAAGCCGAAACTCTGCAGTTTTGATCTTCGGGGTTCTGTACGCGCGCGGAGCCCCCTCGAGGACGAAAGCACCAGCGCTGTCGAGGTCAGCGTGGAAGAGCAGCTCTACAAGGACCCTGAAACCCTCAAGTAAAACGACGCCGTAGCTGCTGGACTTAAGCAGGACCTTGCGGTATCAGTTCTTTGATATGATATGATATGATATGATATATATATATATGTATTATCCATATATGTAATGTAATGTACTGATTGTAATGTAAGGTAATGTAAGGTAATGTAATGTAATGTAATGTACTGTAATATAGTATAATACAATATTACATAATATAGAATAATGTAATATAGTATAATATAGTATAGTATCATATGATCATATGATATAATACAATATGCTATAATATAATATGATATAGGTATTCAACTACTTTCTGTTTCCAACTGAACCTCTATGAGCGGATGCTGGATCGTTGCCCATGTGTTTCTGCAGGAGCTGCTGAAGGAGTTGAAGCGCGGTTCGCTGAAGCTTGGCGATTCAGCTTAGGGTTTAGTGTTTAGGGTTTAGGGTTTAGGGTTTAGGGTTTTCGGAAGCAGTCTAGTCATCACGATGCGTTTTGCCTTCATCGATTCCCATATCATTCCGATCGACCCGATTGGTGTCTTCCCACCAGCATCTGCTTGTTGGAGCTAGGGTTCAGGGGTTTAGGTTTTATAGGGTTTAGGGTTAGAGACATTTACTCCCTGTACTGCCTGCGCTTGCCTCGTCGTGAGCCAATGCTGCACATCTGAGGCTTTCAATGGTATCGGCACCCATGCAGCATTGGGCACAGTCGGTTCTGCGAATGCACGGTTGACAAGCTTGGGCGTTCTGCTGCTTATAGTGCGGGCATCGTACATCAATTCGTATGGCTGGCCGCTAGGACTGGCTTTAGCATGCTGTGGCTGCCCGCCAGGTAAGCCACCGTCCCTCGCTGCCCAAATTTCACAACACCGAGCTTGTCATCGGAGAGACGTGTCTTGGCCCAACTGCCCCCCCTAAACCCTCAACCCTCAACCCTAAACCCCAAGCCCCAAACCCCAAACCCTAAACGCTAAACCCTTCAGAGATTCCGAATGCCACAACTTGCCTGGCATTATCCCGAGGGCAGTGAGCCAAAGATCTTCGCAGCCACTGCTGCAAGAAGGGGCAACTCGGCATGCAGGGAAGGACCTCAGAGAGCATGTTGTACGGAAGAGTGATGTATAACTTACCCTAAACCCTAAACCCTAAACCCTAAACCCTAAACCCCCTGGGCCTAGCATCAGGTGTGGCTGACGCCCCATGGGAAGGAAGTTCCCTGGAGGCACGTGGCGCTGGAGTCGGCCAATTATGGGCAGCTTCCGGATGCCGCTGGGTCTCACCGACTAGACATAGGGTTTTGGGGATTAGGGTTTAGGGTTTGGGGTTTAGTTTTTAGAGTTTATAGGGTTGAGGGTTTAGGGATTATAGGGTTATAGGGTTAGAGGGATTATAGGGATTATAGGGATTATAGGGATTATAGGGGTTATAGGGATTATAGGGATTATAGGGGTTAAGGATTATAACGTTTCAGGTATGATTAGGGTTTTGGGATGACTAGGGTTCAGGGTTTAGGGTTTAGGGTTTAGGGTTTAGGGATTCGGTTATGAGAATCTCCACCCCTGTGCGTTTGGGGTTTCGGGTTTTAGGGATTAGAGGGGTTTTGGGATTAGGGATTAGGGGGATTATGGGGATTATGGGGTTCGGGTGGGGGGTTAAGGGTGCATAGGGGCCCCTAATATCCTCAACCCAAACCCACCCTAAACCCTAAACTCTACACCCTAAACCCTTTATAAACCCTACACCATACACCCTAAACCCAAAACCCTAAACCCTAGACCCTAAACCATTGTTCCCTGGCCTAGGCCACCGAGCTCTTCCGCACGGCCTCCGACTCCCAAGACAGCTCCATGACGTCGGTCTGAGCTGAGATCTGTGCGGATAGGGTTTACGGTTTAGGGTTTAGGGTGTAGGGTGTAGGGTTTAGGGTTTAGGGAGCCACAACCCCTAGAGCCTTGGTTCATGAGGGACGGTTTTGAGCAGGTTTGGCTCGTCCGACTTGGGCAGAAGAAAAATAGCCGGATTGTTTCGCGAGCGGGCTTCATGGTCACAGCGGGCATCCCCTAGTATCGTTTAGGGTTTAAAAGTTTAGGGTTTAGGGTATAGGGTTTAGGGTATAGTGTTTAGGGTTTAGGTTTAGGGTTTAGGGTTTTGGGTTTTGGGTCACGAAATCCTAAACCCCTAGGGCTTAGGGTTACCGGCTTTAGAATTCGAAACAAGAAATGGGGGGCTTCGGTTTTGAAGTTGGGGTACGCCAGATCTGAGGCTTAAAAGGGTTTAGGGTTTAGGGTTTAGAGGGTTCAGACTTTAAGGTTTAAAAGGTTTAAGGTTTGAGGTTTAGAGCTTGGGTTTTGAGGGTACTGAATTGAATCAGGTACGGGGGGCTTAGGTTTCGAGGGTTTAGTCGATACAGTATCCGCCTGATAGGCCATGAGATGCCATGTCTGCACGGAAGCACTTGCTTCATATCCCTAAACCCTAAACCTTAAACCCTAAACCCTAAACCCTAAACCCTGCAAACTTGCGTTTGTCGTCTGCAGGCAAAGTCCTATGCAGCGGGTGACGAGGCTTCAGGAGCCGCACTTCCTCTTGCTTTCCCCTGCGGTTCCGTCCTAAGGTCTTAGTCATCCGCGTGGTTCAGGGTTTAGGGTTTATTGGTTTTGGGTTTAGGGTTTAGGGTTTAGGGTTTAGGGTTTAGGGTTTAGGGTTTAGGGTTTAGGGTTTAGGTTGGAATGTGTTGGAGGCGACGCTTGCCAGCCCTCAACTGTTCACAGGGCAGCAGATGCGCCAGTGGAGCTTCGCGTACTTTGAGGGGCTCAGGAGGCCTAAGAATGGAGCACATGACGCCCGGGCGCCGCCTTGCCCCGAAACCCTAAGCCCTAAACCCTAAACCCTAAACCCTAAACCCTAAACCCCAAATCCTAAACTCTAAACCCTAAACCCTAGACCCTAGACCCTAAACCCTGAACCCTAAACCCTAGAGCCTAGACCCCAAACCCTAAACATGGGTTTTGCAACTTCGTGTGGCATCGTGCCGTGCAGGAGCTGCAACATCGCCACTTGGTTTGGCTCTGTCCGTTCGAGCCCTGGCGGCTTCACTAAGAATGATGTTGGAGATAGGGTTTAGGGTTTAGGGTTTAGGGTTAGGGTTTAGGGTTTAGGGTTAGAGTTTAGGGTTCATAGGCTTATGGGTTGTAGGTTCCCTTGCAGAAGGAAATGCCCAGCCTCTAAGTCATGCGCAAGCTTTAAAAGTCAAACCCTAAACGCCCGCTTGGAGGTTCATGGGTAATTCTAACTAGGGGCTATCAGCATGGTAACCCTACTTCTAACCTAAATCCCTAAACCCTACCCCTAAACCCTAAACCCTAAACCCTACAGCCTCCAAGGCTAAGTCCTTTCCTGGCAGAGGCCGCATCCCCCAGTGCTCTTCAGCCCACGGTGGCCACAACACTCTCCGAGGCCCCCCGCTCTCTGTCGACCCTGTGAAAAGCGTTTGGGGGTTTAGGGTTTAGGGTTTAGGGTTTGGGGTTTGGGGGTTTAGGGTTTCGGGGTTCGGGTTTAGGGTGTAGGGTGTGGGTTTAGGATTTAGGGTTTGGGGTTTGGGGTCATGAAGGCTCCCTGGCAGCCCAGTGGTACCCTTTTCTCTTTTTGCGTGAACCCTTATATGCCTTATGGAAGACCTTCAAGTTTTATTGTCGTGAAGAGGTGCGCTACCACGTTTCCCAGGTAGATGTGGGTTTCAGATGCGAATATACCGTAATTTCTAATCTCCTATATGGTAGGCAATTTTTCATCTTGAACATGAGGCGGCCCCCCAAGTACACGCATTCCACGACAGATTTCGGATGAATAGCATTTTGAGAAATGACCCAAACAATGTTACTGGGCGAGGGTTTAAGGTTTAGGGTTTAGGGTTTAGGATTTAGGATTTAGGGTTTAGGGTTTAGGGTTCAGGGTTTAGGGTTGGGAGCCTAAACTACACCCGAAGGCACATAAACCCTGCACACTCGGAGCCCTCAAGCCAGATGTTCATAGACCCTAAACCCTACAAAAACCCTTTAGGGACCCTAAACCAGTCTCCTAAATCCTAAACCCTAAACCCTAAAAAACCGCAAAGCCCTCCAACCAGTTCAGACATTTTTGGAGAGATTGCACACGGAGCGGAGGACCCAGCAGCGCCAGCCGGGTTAGAAGAGGACGAAGACTCTGAGGACCCCAGTCGACTACAGTAGCCCTAAAGCCTTAACCCTAAACCCTAACCCCGAAACCCAGAGGGTTTGCAGAAAGGGATGCTATGTGGGCCTGCATTCTTGCAGGCATGGGCTTTCTATATAGGTGTTTGTTCGAGGTTAACTTACGTTTACATCGCCGTCAACTCGGTGAAGCTCCAGCAAACCACTTCTGTCAGAGTTGTTCAGAACTAGGTCTGAAACACCTGGGGATCATGGAAACATCTCGGGGGTTTAGACTTGGAGGAGCCTCAGACCCTGCATAAGATGTAAATACGCAGGGTTCTAAGGGACGTCCAACCTTCAAGGGTTTAGGGTTTAGGGTTTAGAGTTTAGGGTTTAGGGTTTGGGGAACCCATAAGGTTCAGTGTCTTGGCTCATAGCTCTCTGACTGCGCAGCAGGGTCGAAGCCTCAGAGTCAAGACCTCCAACGCCTGAAAGCCCTAAACCCCAAACCCTAAACCCTAAACCCTTGCTGGTACCCTAAACCCTAAACCCTAAGCCCTAAACCCTAAACCCTAAGCCCTAAAGGCCCTAAACTCTAAAGGCCCTAAAGGTACCAAAGGCCACTGAAGCCTCGATGTGAGGACCTGGAAGTGGGGAGGGCCACGCCTTTGCCCCAGCTGACGGCGCACTTGGGTTTAGGGTTTAGGGTTTAGGGTTTAGGGTTTAGGGTTTAGGGTTTAGGGTTTAGGGTTTAGGGTGAGCCAGTCTGCTTTTCCAAGTCACTGGGGTCTTTAAAGGGGCTTTAAGGGTTTCAGGGTCTAGCGTTTAGGGTTTAGAAACGACAAGGGGCTTTAAGGGTTTTTGGGTTTAGGGTTGATTCCTGTAGTCTCTGCTTTTCAAAATCAGAAGTTAGTTTCTGTTTTCAAGGGCTTAGGGTTTGCAATGAGTTTTAAGCGCTTTGAGGGTTTTAAGTGTTTTAAGGGGTTTAAGGGTTTCGGGCTTTAGGGCTCTAAGGGTTTAGGGGTTTGGGGTTGGTTCTTAGAGTCTGCTCTCAAAATCTTAGGGCTTTTAAGGGCTTGAAGTGTTTTACGGGTTTTAGGGTTTAGCGTCATTTCCTGTAGTCTGCTTTCACAATCATAAGGTGTTTGAGGGTTTTAAGGGTTTGAGAAATTCGGGGTTTGACGCGTTTGGGGTTTAACTTTGAGGGCTTTGGGTTTTAGGTTCTATAGGGTTTCTAGGATGCCCAGTAGTACCCTTATTCCCTTTTTGCGGGGTCTAGGTTCCCTTATAAACCTCTGTAAGCAAAAACAGGGCACCCTTTTTAATCCTAGGTTACTGGGCAACCTAGGTTTAAGGGTTTAGGGTTTAGCATTGGCTCCTATTGCAAAACGGAGGCATGCTTTGGGTGGGTGGGGGGAACCCAACAAGGCACAGAATGGCTTTAAGACTTGAAGGCTTGTATACGATGAAGATGTATTACCATTTTACATTTTTCAGGGTACTTCAACCCAATAAGGAATGTAAAAAAAAAATATTATCCTAACCATGAACTAGCAAATTCGCCTGGAAGCACGCTTTGGGCCTTCGAGGCGGCGGAGTGTTCGCGACGTGCGGGGTCCCGGGCAGCAGCCTCTTTCTGAAGCCTGACGTCTGAAATGCCTGAACGGTTTCGGGTTTACCTTGGACTTTAGGGTCTATAGGGTTTATGGCGCTTATATGGTAGTTTTCTAGAAGCCCTGAAAACCCGAACCCCAGCACTGTAAGCATCCGAAGACTAAGCCCTGCACGCGGCCAGTTCATATTGTCGGCTGCCCGAAAAAAGGGCCCATGAGCCCAATAGGCGCTCTAATTGCAAACGGAAACTCCGAACTCCAGTCGTCAGCGGCTACATGGTAGCTTGCTTCTGGGGCACCCAACACAATGCGGGCCCCCATGTAGGGTACCCGAAAAGTGCCACAATGGCTTCTTGATGTTTGCGGGGCATTCCTGGTCTAAGCGGTGGTTTAGGATGAAGCAAGCACGACTTCGATCAAGCTTAGGTCGCTGTTGGCTGTGTTGATCATGGACATCCAGAAACTCTAATCTTCACAGGGTTTCTGCAGCAGTTGAGATTCATTGCGAGTTGACTGTTTCGCGAGCTTGGGGGCTGGTGAGGGCTGCTGAAGGTCCTAGGAAGTCGGCTATAGCATCTCGTTCCAAGGCAGGTTGGCGAGACACACGAAAGCCCTAATCTTTGCTTCTTTCCAAAGTATGTTTCTTTCTTTGCGGGTTGTTGCTACACCAGCCTGGAACAAGATCTATGGAGACCATAACAACAAGGCTTTCGATGCATACACGACAGCGGGTGCAGCTGCACTTTGAGAGCAGCATGTGTGTCTCCTGTGGCGCCAGGTCGTCTCACATTTCGAGAAGCAAGTTACGACCAGGAGAACCGATGAAGCCGAGCACTGCGTCATGACCTGCCTTGCGCGCTTTTTCACGGTTCAGGGCTTGAGGGTGTAGAGGGTTCAAAGGGTTTCTAGGGTTTTTTATAGGGTTCGGGTCTCTAAAGGGTTTAGGGTCCGCAGTTTCGGGCTTCGGCTTCGTGGGTTGCAGGCGCGTGGGGGGGGGGGGGGTGTTTGCGAGGAGCTCCACCTCGCAACCGTTGCTGGCCACGCCCCCGCCACCAGGCCGGTTTAGGGTTTAGGGTTTAGGGTTTAGGGTTTAGGGTTTAGGGTTTAGGGTTGACCCGTAATCGGTGGAAAATTTTATTGCAGGGTTCTGGGCTCGGCAGCCCCCCCCCCCCACCCCAACCCTCGAAATCGGAACGGCCTAGAAACCCTGAACCCTAAACCCTAAACCCTGAACCCTAAACCCTAAACCCTCAACCCTGATTCCTGTGAAGTGTAAGTAGCAGCTCAACCAGCCGATGCCTAAAGCTCTTTCACCATGAGATCGTAGGAGACCATTGCAACTTACGCCCAACAAGGCCCGAAACGCCTTGAATTGAAAGGTTTGGGGGCTTGGTACTTCGGTGTGAAGTTTTATGAGTTTAGGGTCTAGGGTCTAGGGTTTCGGTTGTAAGTAGGGTGACGAGCATCTTGAATTAAGGTCAGAAAAAGCTGTATACTAGAACCCCCTATAACTAACCCAAAAAGGAACTACATTGGCGCCTTCAGGTAAACCGTATACACCCCTAAATCTCTTAAACCCTACATCCCCAAACCCTTGTAATTATAAACCCTATAACCTTTGAGCTTGAAACTCCAAACCCTAAACCCCTAAAAACCCAAACCCATAAACCCTCTACACCTCTAAACCTTAAAACCCCTAAGCCCTTCAACCCAAAAACCCTGAACCCCTAAACCTAAACCTAAACCCCCAAACCCCTTCACCCCCAGCAGCAACCTTAAACCCTTAAACCCCCTAAACCCCCTAAACCCCCTAAACCCCCGAAACCCCCGAAACCCCCTTCAGCCCCAGCAGCCCAACAGGTGCACCTGTGCTGGACCAGGCAGCGGAATGAGTTGGTTTTAGGGTCTGTCTTTTACACCCCAAAGAAGGGCATAGGGGGGGGGGGTCTTGGTAAGAGCCTGCAATAGATGTAGGCTTGGGGGTTGTTAGGCTACATTCTGGAGTGCTGTTGGTGTTTTTTTTTGTTGTTTTTTTTGTTCTGGTTTTGTGTGTTTGTGTTTGAGTTTTGGCGGGGAGGGTTGGTTGGGTGGGTGGGGGGCGGGGGGTGGGGGGGGGGGGGGGGGGGGGGGGGGGAGGAGTTTGGGCTGTGTGCCCCTACCCAGGAAGCCCGGTGACCCCTTTTTCCCGCCATGAAGACGGGCAATTAATTACTCTAACTAGTATGATATGATTACATATTGAGCTACCCCGGTACCTTGTCACATCGCAGCGAGGCTTAGCCCCTGGGTAGCGTCAGCACCAGAGCCTCCATACAAGCACAACTCTACTAAGCGCACGAGAAGAAACAGAGAGCTTAAAGCAGCATGGGAGTAGATTCTAGACCCCTCGAGCCCCACCAGCAGCATTGAAAACATAAAGCTAAGCCAGTACCTCTGCTAAGTATCTAAGGTGGAGGCCCTTAGTGTGGTCCCTTGCCCTTGTTGTTTAGGGATCCGAAGTATGGGCCCTTACTATATATATATATATACATAGTGATATCAGGGCTAACAAGGGACCCAGATTTCGCGCCCATACTTCGGATCCCCTATCTTAGTCGGAGCTGCTGCTCCCTGAGACCCAGGTGTCTCCAGAGCCTGGTGATCTAGGTCCTCCTCCGCACACGGCTTTTGGAGTTAAGGGTTAGGGTTTAGGGTTCGGGGTTCAGGGTTCAAGGTTGAGGGTCTACACGACCCAGGCTTAGGAATTTGGAGTTTGAGGGGTAGCGGGGAACATCTCGGTCTGATAACCCCTGCCCACCCTGTCGCAGGACGCAAGTTTTCGCTGATCCTGAAATCAACCCTTGTAGTATGTTTTCTCCCCGCCCTGCCGAAGACCCTCGTAGTATATTTGACTGTGAAAGTAATACAGGGGTCGGAAAGATTACTACTAGTATTCCCTTGGGGTCCCTGCAAGATTATACTATCATACCCCCAAAGCCCTATTCTTAAAATATCGTTATACTACAATATCCCCCAAAACCCTATTCTAAATATAAGGCCCCCCTTTGTTAGCCAGCTGATGGGGCTCCTGAGATCGCCAATTGGTTCTGCAAGCCGACGCCCCGTAGTGAAATGCATGCAAGTGCGCACGTCGTGCTATATGTACATGGACCCTTACAAGGAGGGGCCACCCTTACTTATAATTTTAGGGTTCTTATGACTCTACTTATCATTAGGGGGGCCCTCCTTTTATGCTATGGATGAACAGGCCTCGGTGGACCCGGCGGACGGCTTGGCAGTGGTTACTGCGGAGGCCTTTGGCTTTGCGTGCTGGCGTTCAGCCGGGGTTTCTGTCGGACAGCCTGGGAAGAGTGGACCTGTGGTCCTGCAATACCCTCACACCCTAAGCCCCTAAGGCCCTAAACCCTAAACCCTAAACCTGAAATTCCCTTGCACGTGGGCTGAAGTCGCAGCTGTCCGAGGCAGACCTATGCCACTGCCATTGCTTTCCTCTCAGGCACCCACTTTTCAGGGCGGTAGTGTGTTTTGTTTCGGGTGGCATCGTGATTTTTTATTTCACCTTCAGAAATTCAGGCAAATACGCCAGCATGATTGCAGAACTCGCGTCAGCCTCACAGATCGTGGACAAATGCAGGCAGACACGCTAGACAGAGTGGAAGATGAAATCCCGCCCAGCCAACTGCTGGCAGCGGGCGGTGGGGGGAGGGGGGGGGGGGGGGGGGGGGGGGGGGGGGGTCAGCTCGAAGGCCCGAAACCAATGCGGTGAGGACCAGATACGGCATCACTTGTGGCGGCGAGCATGCGCAGACTGAGGGCTGCGTGGTATCAACGTGATTCTGTTTGGGTAGACTTGGTCACATGCGCACAAGGTGCCGTGTTGACTTTATGTTTTTTTTTTTTTTTTTTTTCTCAAGTTTTTGGCGCGATGGCCATGGAAATTTACTGTGTTTACGAGCTGAAGCTCTTTGTTTGCGTGGGCATCTTTGCTGGTCGAAAAGAACTTTGGCTGAACGCTTCTGACAGCATGTCTTGGAAGAGAAGTAAAACCAGTCTTTTGGGCATGGTTGCCAAAGGCGTGAACGCTACAGAGCCGCTAGTGACCGCGTGTCTTGTTCCAGAAACGTCAAGCATCCTTGCCCAGTATATGTTGCATGATGTAACATGACCCCTGGCGTGCGGCCAGCGACTAGTTGGGGAAGTTAGCAGTTTGCCGCGAATGCTAGGGATGAGTTGGGTGGTGGTGTTTGCTTGGGCTGTTTTGTCGGTGTTTCGCGCCGCCCCCAGCAGCGGTGGCAGGCATGGAGCGCTTCTTGAACTTTCTTGATGTCCGGGGTTTGTGCGCCCTCAACAGTCGTTGGCTTGTTTCTTTCCTCACCTCACCTTCCTCAGAAGTAGGACAGGAGCGTGCTCAGTGTTCCCTTGGCCAGAGAGTTCCCTATACCCTCAACCCTAAACCCTAAACCCTAAGCCCTCCACCTGCATTATGAAATCGGTACCCTGGGAGGACCCTTCCGACCAGCTCAGTGCAGTGGAGCTCGGACAGGAAGCGCCGGAGTTGAGTGTCGGTGCTTGGGCGCGCGCTAGTAGTTGGTAGCTCACCCAGAGTCGGCCCTCGAGTCTGTCCAGGAACCTGCCTGAATTAGGGTTTTGGGGTGTTATAGGGTGTTTGGAATTTCCCGTTCTGTTAGGGCCCTGTATTACCAGTTAGAGAACGCACCCATCCGCGGGCACTGCGCACGAAATCCCCCCAGGCCCAAAACCTGGTTCTTGTTTGGGGGGTCTACGGCGGGGTTGTGTTACTTCAGAAGATGCCGAAGAGGGCCCAAGAATAGAAGAAACCCCTACTAGTTCCCCGGCTCTCGGCGCGGATAAAAAACGTGAAGCTCCAAACCCCTTACCCGTCCTCAAAGTGGAAGTGCCTTGTCACAAGTCACTGTGGGTTCCAGAAGCGTTCCAGACGACATCGGTACTCCCCGTATCTATGTGTATATACATTATATGTATGTGTATGTGCCCCCTGTAGGAATATGCTCACTCCCCTACTCTCCCCCCCCCCCCCCCCCCCGTACGCACCGGAAAGGAGAAGGCGTGCTCCAGTTGTAGACCTATCGCTTTCTTGCCTTCAGGGTGGCAGGCTCAGGCTTGACTTGGGTTCAGAAGGTTTAGGGTTTGGGGTTTGGGGTTTAGGGTTTAGGGCATTTGCTGAAGCTAGTTGAACAAAAGCCCTAAGCTCATAAGCCTTCTCAGCCGAAGCGGCAATCGCGAGATCTTGCCGAGAGCAGGGTAGTAGTTGTCAGGCATGAAATCCATGTCTGAGTTTTCCAGCCGAAGATCCGGCTCTAATCTTGAGCTCGAAGGTTTGCCGGCCTTCCCTCAGGTGAAAGAAAAATGACAGAATCGTAAGTAAGTAAATGAATATGTGTATATGTATCTATATATATATATATATATCTATATGTGTGTATACATGTGCATATACATACTAGTACGAATAGCCATACATACTCGAACTAGTCGAAAAACAATAATGACAGAAATTCAACCAATCATATATATATATATATATCTATATATATATATATACATATACATGATAGTACACAAACACCTTGGCACACTGCATCCTAAAGCATCCTGCCGCTGCTTCACCGACGCCGCTGGATGTGAGAAAACACCCGTTGGATCAAGGCCCTCACTTCTCCAGCAGCTTTAGGGTTTAGGGTCTAGGGTTTAGGGTTTAGGGTTTAGGGTTTAGGGACGATGTCTGCTGCATGTAGTGGGATGCCCAAGCCCAGCCCAACCCCGCGAAATCGATGAAGCCCTGAACCCTAAACCCTAAACCCTAAACACCTGGGTACACCTTGAGCCTCAAGAGCCATGGGCGGCTCTCAATCCACTTTCCAGGGGTTTCACTTCAAGGAGTCCCTGGGCGCACACCCAAAAGAGCCCAAGACCCCTGAATTCAGGAATACACCTTAAAAAGTATCTTGAGTATTCCTTAAATCATAATAAGGATCCGTATAAAAATTAGGGTATATTCCTTTATCGTAAATATTCCTTAAATCATAATAAGGGACCGTCTACACATTAAGGTACTATATTCCTGAATTAAGGGGTCCTGGGCTCTTTGGGCATAGGATTCAATGTCTTGGGGCTAGGGTTGGCTTGGGACTACAGGGTGTGTAGAAGGCTTAGGGATGGTTCTTGGGGGGGGTTTAAGGTTTTAGTGCTGCTTAGCTTGAGGTGCTTAAGGTATGTACCACGAGGGTTTAGGGTTTCTGGGGCTTGGGGGGCTTGGGGGGCTTAGGGTTCGCCACCGGATTTTGAAGAGAGACTCGCATTAATTGCTGAATCTTCCCGGGCTCGAAGCCGTCGGGTCTTCATCAACGTCATACTCGGGCCGCCTGTCATTCCGAAATGGTTTCACCGGGTTTGGGGTTTATGGGGTTTAGGGTTTATGGCTTAGGGTTTAGGGCAGCTGTAGCATCAAACCCATTGCCACATCGAATCGTCTCGAGGCAGCGCAACGGCCATCCAGCCTCTGGTTCTGAGAGGGTTCTTTTTGTGTGTTTAGGGTTTAGGGTTTAGGGTTTAGGGTTTAGGGTTTAGGGTTTAGGGTTTAGGGTTCGGGGTTTAGGGTTTAGGGTTTAAGGTTTAGGGTTTAGAGTTTAGGGTTTAGGGTTTAGGGTTGAAGCCTCATGCTCACGTTCCTGACACAGAGGGTGCTGAGTTCAGGTTTGGCCAAAAACACCTCCGAAACCCGGAGTCCTAAGCCCCCATGTAGCCCCCTAAGCGAAAGAACATATGTGTACAGCTCCGGATTGAGCCCTGAACCCCTCAGCCCTCGCTGCAGGAGGATGCCTTTGATGCTGAGGAGTTCCAGAAGGCATTTTGACATAAAAGACCTTGTGACACCCCCTCAACAAACCCCATAAACCCCCTATATAGACCCCTGTACAGCCCCGTGTTAAGACTCCCCTATATACACCCCCTCCCCCCCCCCCCTAATCCCATAAAGCAAGACAACCTGCGTGCAGGCGCTGAGCGCATGGCTGACCCCCATGTGCCTGGACTGCAGCCGCCCCTTCCTCATAGGCTCAGCTAGGGTTTAGGGTTTAGGGTTTGGGGTTTAGGGTTTTTGGGTTTAGGGTTTAGGGTTTAGGGTTTAGGGTTTAGGGCTCCTAACACTGGGAGTCGGGGTTGCGACCTGGGACTTCACATGGGGGCCTGAATACTGCGAATAGGGTTTTGGGGGGGGGGGTTATCATAGCATACTTATCAGGGGACCATAAGGGAACACCATTATTCATTATTAATCATTCCGGCCCCTATATTCATATTTTCGGGTTTTGGGGTTTCGGCCTTCTGGATGGGTTCGCGCCCCCAAACATTAGGGCACGTGGCCTTCGAGACCGGTTCTTGGTGCGTCCAACCCATAGACCCTAAACGAATATTGGGGTCGGAATAGTTACTAGTAGTATTCCCTTATGGCCCCTTTATAAGTATATTAGTCCCTGGACCATGATTGTCAGGCTGGTACAACCAGGCGCGAGGCACCACGGCGGACGGAACACAGCAAATTCAGGGGTCGGGCACTCACTGTACTCGCTACTGCAGTTTGGACGCTAGGGTTCGTGGCCCTTTTGGGATGACCCTGGTGTTGCCCTTCAAGCGTTTTGCGGTTTGTGAGCGGATGGCAGTCCCCTTGCACTAGGCCAGACGACGCCGTGGCGTATGCCATCTATTCTGCGGACGACTCAGCGCGAGCGGTTTGTCCACTCCGCCTTCAAGACTCTTGGCCAAGGTACCCGGATATCTAGACGTGGTCATGTCCTCAGAGTCGTCGGGTTTAGGGTTTAGGCTTTAGGGTTTAGGGTTTAGGGTTTAGGGTTTAGGGACGGTTTAGGGTTTAGGGTTTGGGGTTTAGGGTTTAGGGTTTAGGGTTTAGGGTTAAGGAAGCATCTTGCTTGAGCGAAGTCTTGCACGAGGTGATTGAGCACTACGCCAGGGAGCGGCCATCGACCGTCCGCAGCTTTCTGTGCATCGTGCCGATTGTTAGCGCAGCGTACTTGGAGGTTCATGAGTAGTTATAAGTAGGGTTATAAGTACCCTAAGCAAAATGGTTCTAACTATAGTTGCCATACTTATCACCCTACTTATAACTACCCATGAACCTCCAAGTAAAGTCATGGCTTGCATGGCCCGGCAATGGCAACGCAGGGTTTCATTGACGGCGCCACTGACGCCATCCTCGCGCAGCTTCGCCCTTCCCTCGGCAAGGCATACGAGCTTGAAGAGGCTGAGAGGTTTAGGGTTTAGGGTTTATAAGGGTTTCGGGTCCTGAGCCTTACATTTAGAACGCACACGTTGTCTTGGTAGGGGTGATTGCATGTACCCACAACCCCCAAACCCTTCAAAACCCTTTACAAGCGCGCTCTTTGGCAACGTACCAAGGGAGTCAAGAGTAGGTGGCTCAGGTCAGGCACTTCCTGCTGAGTTGGAAGCCGAAGTCGTGAACACGGATGCAGGAGACATGTGGGCAGTCCCCCAAAAATCGGGATCAGGGTCAGGGTTTAGGAATATACACGTGTACCCTCAAAATACCGTATCCTTAGCGCAGGAACCAGGCCAAGGGTATCTTATTTTTGGAAACTCCATGAAACCCCTTTGACCCTTTTGGGTCTAGGGTCTAGGGTTTCGGGTGTAGGGATGGGGGTGCGGCGGGTTATATACTTAATCATGTCCAGAAATCATACGGATTTCCACAAGAATGCCCCAGAACGGGTTCATGATGTGGAGATGGGTGCTCAGAGCGGAATGGCGCTTGCAGCTTATGGTTTGGAATCTAGGCTCCATGGCCCCAACCCTCAAACTCAAATTCCCCCTGAAACCCTTAAACACGCTGAATCCTAAAAACCCCCGAAACACTTAAACCCTTAAACCCTTAAACCCTTAAACCCTTAAACCCTTAAACCCTTAAACCCTTAAACCCTTAAACCCTTAAACCCTTAAACCCTTAAACCCTTAAACCCTAAACCCTAACCCCAAACCCTAAACCCCAAACCCCAAACCCCAAACCCTAAACCCTAAACCCTAAACCCTAAACCCTAAACCCCACCACCCCTACACAGAACTTAGACCCTCAACTTTTGGCGGCCTGGAGGGCCTCCCTACTACCACGTGCAAACCATCGGGAACGTGTGCGCAGAGGACGAGCACCTCGAAGCCAAGGCTGGGTTTATAGGGTTTAGGGTTTTAGGGCTTAGGGTTTAGGGTTTGGGGTTTAGGGCTTAGGGTTTAGGGTTTAGGGTTTAGGGCTTAGGGTTTAGGGTTTAGGGTAAAATGGCTTTGGAAGGTTTTTTTGTAGTTTAGAGGGCTTGAGTTAGGGCTTGCGGGGTTTGCAGCGCACAAGGTTGAGGGCTGCATCGGGTTTGAGGGTGTGAGGGTTGCGGGTTTCGGCCTGAGGTGGCTTGAGGGTGTTTTTTGATGAAACCGACACCTTGCGCAGGACCTTTAGATCAGCCCTCTCCCCCCCCATGTCTCCAGAGTCCTTGCGATGTTCTCCTTTGTACCAGTCCTTAATCGGTATTCTCAGATCCCTATGAAGGACTGTTAGTTTTAATGGGGGGACCTCGCCCCAGTCTCCCATCAAGAGAGGCTTAAGAAACAGGGAGCTTGGCCCGAAGATGTAGGGTTGGTGTGAGGCCCCCTTAATTTACTCAACCCTTTGACGCTAAACCCTAGACCCCAAACCCTAAACCCTAAACCCTATAAACCCTAAACCCAAAGCCAAGCTCCCCACCCGCCACAGGACGTCGATGGAGACGACCGGGATGACTGGCAAGAAGATCTGTCTGACCAACTCGAGGCTGCTGGGGTTAGGGTTTACGGTTTCGGGTTTAGGGTTTAGGGTCTAGGGTCTAGGGTTTAGGGTTTAGGGTTTTAGTAGGGAATGGGCGAATTAGGTACCCGATGTAGTCCCTTAACCTTCTTGGGGTCCTTATTAGAAGGGAACCCCACTATTTGGGGGTCTATTTTGGGGTTCGCTCATTTCATAAACCTCCATGATATAGGGTACCTGACTCATTCCCAAATTCCCTACTAAGAACCAGCCAGGGGTGTCTGGAGCTGTCATTGAGGTCTAGGGGTGGAAATCGTTTTTTGCCCCTTGTTCGGGTTCTGGGCTCCTCTCGAAGCCAACCCACTCTCAAACGGGATACCGCCACGGGCATTCGAGGAGCACGCAACAGGGAAATTATGAGAACTTGCCATGCACCTCGGGGTAGCATGGTCTCTGGGTCATTGTTGAAACGGAAAACCCTAAAAACAAAATTATGAACAGTAGAAACGAAACGCACATGATGATTTTCACTAGTACCCCAACAATGGTGCAGGTTTGGGGCCCAGCTTGTCGATGCTTGCTTGCCCAGGGAAATCCCATGACTGGCCTTTGGTTCTTAGACCTCGGAAGGCTGCTGCGGGTCCAATCATCATGTCGGTGTTGTCCAAAAAAGAGTTACATTTTGGTTCAGGGGATTGGGGGACCTTTTTGAGAAGGGGCTTTCCCAAAACGAGAGGAGCATTTGCAGAACAACCTGATTATAGAGACTGCCCTCACAGACAGAAGCCGCTGCCTGCATAGGAGACGCGTGACCCCAAGATGTGGGGAACGGAATCGGAGATGCGGAGGACCCTGGCCTGGACATGGGGTTTCATAGGGATTAGACGTTGCGTGTCTTGTTGCAGTGTTTCCTCAAGGAAGATCTTTGGTGTGAATGTTCACCCTGTCTGGGTCTGAGCTTTGCTTGCTTGCCGTGACTACTCTGGAGAATCTGAAAGAGAGTTGGGGGTTTCCCAAAATAGGGGTACCCCGCCCCCTAGTTTCGGAAACCCCCAGTTGCCAAATAGCTTGCAAGACACCACAGCGTGTCAGCGCGACGCTGAGATCTGGGGCGGCTGGTCCATGCCTCAGACACCGCCCCGCCTCGACATGACCCTACAGGGTGGGGCCCCTTAGTTATAAGTAAGTTAAGATACTTATATGTAATTTAGAGCACTTATAACTAACTTATACACTAAGTTTGCTAAGTTAGTTAGCCAACTTGTAAGTTGATTTATAAGTTACAAAATGTTGTTTTTGTAGTAAAAATCATCATGCAGAGCCCATGTCTTAAAAGAAGAGGTTTTTGGGCGCTCTTCAAGAAGAGGCGTCTCTTGGCCCTGCAACGCCATCTCAAAGCAAGTTGGTGTTGCGGAGAAACGAAAGCTGCTGGCTGAGACAGGAAACAAAACGGCTGCAGGCAAGGACACAAAACGTTTAGCGCATGCGCTTGGGATGTGGGGATGTGTCCGCGATGTGTCCGCCTGTGCCCCGCGTGTGTCGAAAACCCGATGTGTCCGCGATATATCCGCGATGTGTCCGGTGTGTCCGCCCCATTTTTTGCAGTGTGTCCGGTGTTTTCCTGTGTGTCCACCCTCTTTTGCACTATGTGTTCCCAATGTGTCCCCCGTGTGTGCCGGATGTGTCCGGATGTGTCCCCGACATGTCGGTGTATATGTCCGAATGTGACCCGAATGCGTGCCAAGCCAAAGGCTTCGCAAAACACGGCCCGGCCCGGAACATCAGCTGTGGAAACTCCTCGAGATTAGAACTTGAAAAACAATCGTTCCGAGCCTATAACCTTGCAAAATCCTAGATCTCACAGTCGCGAGCAGGGATCTCATGAAAACACGGTTTTTAGAGCTAAGTTGTATAAGTTACTTATAAGTTGGGCACAAAAAACTTATAACTAACTTATATCTTGGACAAATAACTTATAACTAAACCATGAACTTAACAACTTATAAGTTATGTTAGGAAAGTTATAAATTGATTTATAGAGGTTGTAAATCAATTTATAACTGAGGGGCCCCACCCTGTAAACCCTAAACCCTACTTGCAAGTGGACGTTTGAAGACATGGCCTTGAAGCTATCGTCTCCTTGTGATGGTTGCTTATAATGTTTAACAGAACTTTGGGATGTTCCCCCGTATACTAACAGCTCCTTAATGGGGATTACTGGATTACAATATCCTTAATGGGATGACAATACCCTTAACAGGGATGATAATATCCTTAATAGGGAGTATAATTATCCTCAATAGGGATTATTTAGTATAGGGGGGGGGGGGAACATCCCAACTTATTCTATCAAACCCGAAGGGAAGACCTGCCATGCAGGTATTCGTATCGAGCCTTGATTGTCCTCCGAAAGGCCACCCAGGCGTGCCGTCACGTGGGCATTTCATGGGGGAGTGGGATGGTTCCAAGGGTTTATAAGGGTTTACAAGGGCTTATAAGGGTTTTATAGGGGTTTATAAGGGTTTACAAGAGTTTATATGGGTTTGCAAGGGTTTCTTCTAGCAAGCTTCACCAGCAAGGCGTCTCTCCCACAGCCGAAGCCACTGGCATTTCTGGCGACAGAGGCCGAAGGGGAGGGGCATTTGTTCATGTCAGCCATGGTCATTTGCTAGTGTCCATATCCCTTTTGGGAATTATGATTACTATTATTACTATTATTACTATTATTACTATTATTACTATTATTACTATTATTACTATTATTACTATTATTACTATTATTACTATTATTACTATTATTACTATTATTACTATTATTACTATTATTACTATTATTACTATTATTACTATTATTACTATTATTACTATTATTACTATTATTACTATTATTACTATTATTACTATTATTACTATTATTACTATTATTACTATTATTACTATTATTACTATTATTATTATTATTACTTTTGTTATTAAGGTTCTAAAGGGGAGCGCAGGTCTTCTAGTTACGGTTGACGGTCCAACCTTGACCAGCGCCCCGTCACCAAGAAGCAGTCGCCAGCTTGCCGAGGACAAGAAGCGCATCCTCGCTGAGTACAACCTGAGGATGGGATTCCCAGGGCCTGTTTTTTTTTTTCAATGGTTCGCAAGAGGGAGCAGCATCCGACCTCCATGTCCCCAAAAGAGCCCAATACCCCTTAAGGAATATACAGCTGATTTTATAAAGGGATCCTTACTATAACTTAAGGTATATTCCGTAATTAAGGGGTATTCGGCTCTTTGGGTCTCTACCCAGCCTCACTCCCCAGAATGGCGAGGCACCAGCTCTGCCTTTGGCGTGACCTGGCAGACTCGCATCCGCCGGAGAAGCGATACAGCCACCGGCCACGGATGGTTCAAACAAGTGACGGAAGCCTCAGGTTCAGGGGCTGTTGTAGCCAAACGCCCCTCAAGGCCCAGAAGAGTTCTTCTTCTTCACGGAAACCTCTCCAGACAAGCGCAGGCCACCTGTCCAACGACGCGTGCTTTCAGAAATTTCAGGAAGCCCTCAGCATCCTCCCCATGGGATTCATCCTGTCTCAAACGCGCAGGCGCTTTCTGGAGATGAAGGCGGCGCACATGAAGGCACCTAGCTCAGACGCAGCCCTGCCGTTTGGGCACGTGTCGAAGTGGTGCTTATAAGCCCTCGAACCCCTAAACCCCTAAACTCTAAACCTTATAAAACTTCAAAAAACCCTAAGCCATGAGAACCCTTGAAACCCCAAAACCCTCAACCTTAAGATTAACCCCCCAAAACCCTCAACCTTAAGATTAACCCCCAAAACCCTCAACCTTAAGATTAAACCCCAAAACCCTCAACCTTAAGATTAACCCCCAAAACCCTCAACCTTAAGATTAAACCCCAAAACCCTCAACCTTAAGACCCCCGAAGCCCTGGACTTGACCCCTGAAAACTCCTCTGTGGTGCTTTACTGTAACTTTGGATCTTTCGCCTTTTTGGGGCTTATTGGGTTCTTAACAAGGCAGCGAAAAATTTAATTTATAGCTACTCTCCTAAGTGCAGCCAAGACTCGAAACCTTGAGCTGAGTGCTTGCCAGGCAGTGCCTCCGTCGGGACCTCAGGGAAAAGCTGTTTGGCCACTTCTCTAAAACCTTTCGTCTTCTTTTTTTGGGGGGGTCCTTGCTTTTGGGCGGCCCCTCTCGTTTAGGTACCCAAAAAGTGACCATGATGTAGAGAACTCACCCGTTTGAAGGCCATGCTTTTCTACGGATCTGCAAGCTTCCCGAATTATATTTGTTGGGCTTTGCACCCCATTAGAATCCCTACTAGGGACTGTCAGTATAAGGAGCACACCCCAACCGATAGTCCTAAAGCCTAAGGGCCTAAGCCCTAAACCCTCAGCCCCCCGGTAAGTTCAAGCCACCAAGAAATTCAGCTTCTCAGGCCACGGTGGCCATGAAGGCTGCGACGGTGTCGCGAGATCGTCGGCGGAAAGAGGGCGTGTAGGGTTTGGGGTTTCGGGTTTCGGGTTTAGGGCTACGGTTTAGGGTTTGGGTTTAGAGTTTGGTGAGGTCTAAAGTAGGGCTCGCTGGGTGAAGATCATGAAAACGACTTGATTCCGATGGCATGTCTGCCTCACTCACATGGCGCGCCAGGCATCCTTCTCTGTGTCTCTCTCTCTCTCTCGCTCTTTCTCTCTGTTTCTCCCTCTCTGTCTGTCTGTCTGTCTGTCCGTCTGTCTGTCTGTCTCTATAACATTGGCTGCTGGTTTTCTCCATGACACAGTGTATTGGAAAATGCTCTCACGCGGCTGCTGCTTGGCTCAAGTCTTCCTGCATTCGAAACTTTTGCAGCCCACAGCCTGGGCCCAAGGCTGTGAATTGTCGGGTCCCTGTTGCAACACGGCCCCACATGTTCTGAGGGTGCCCCTAAACAAGGGTACCTTCTTGGGGGCAATAAGGATAGATCGTTTTGTTCCAGTCAGGCTACCCAAAAGGATATCAGAATGCAGAGAACATCAGAGAACCCTAAACCCTAAACCCTAAACCCCAAACCCTAAACCCTAAACCGCCCAAATATGGTCATGATTGGGGCTTGCGGGCTCGAGTACAACATCTATACATATATATATATATGTAGATATGTATAGAAGTGTATACAGAAAATATAGTATGTATAATATCAAAAATATACTACATATTGTCACATCAGACACACATATATATATGTATATATATATGCGTATACACACATATATATATATATATGCTCACCCCCCCCCCATGATCTAGGTCGAAAGGCCTTTCGGGCCCATCGAAGCGAGATTTAAACCTAAGTCGGAATGAAAATTAAAAGGCCACTGGCCTCATTCGTAGTAAATTTTTTTTAGAAATCTAAATTTGCCAATTAAAAGCCGCACCCTATGAAATCCTCTTCTGGGGCCTGCCTGTCCGTAACAAAATCTCACAAGAGCTTTATATGCAGAGGTTACAGCCTCAGAAATCCTCATCTGGGCTTCCTGCCTATTTTATTGAGAAAATGCTTCTACATAAGAAGCCCACACCCTACGAAAAGAATTCTATACTTAAAGGCCACACCCTATGAAATCCTCTTCTGGGCCCTCTTAATGAAATTTCAGTAGACTTGTGTCTGATAAAGCCACAGCTTCGTTCGTAATTAACCCAAGTAAAAAAACATATTAAGAGGCCCAGCCCCAAGACATCCTCTTCTAAGCCTCATTGATTAATACCTATTTAGAACCTTTTTGTTTTTCCCACACCCTGTGAAATCTTTCGCTGGCCCCATTCGTAATGAAACGCAATTTGATTTCATATTGTAAGCCCACACCCTAAGAAATCCTCTTCTGGGCTTCGTTCGTAATTGAACCCAAGTAAAGCAAGTGTATATTCAGAGGCCAACCCCAGGACATCCTCCTCGCAATGAAACCGAGTTAGAATTCTATATTGCAGACCATACCCTATGAAATCCCTTTCTGGCCCCTATTTGTAATGAAGATTAATTAGAATTCTGTATTACAAAGCCACACGCCAAGAAATCCTCATTAGACCTTCGTTTGTAATTAGACTTATTTTCGATTTGCCAAGATGCTTGTATTAGAAAAAGCCACACCATTCTGGGGCCTGTTCGTAACAGAATCTCGTAAGAAGTTTATAATTCTAGGTAAGAAGCCCACACCCTAAGAAGTTCTGACCTAGGCTAGGTTCGTATGTAACTCTTGGACAGAAATTTATATCATGAGCCCCCATTCGTATTTGAATGTACTTACAATTCCATATTTAACCGCTAGACCCTATGAAATCCTCTTCTGGTGCCTATTAGTGAAATGTCAATAGACTTGTATATGATAAAGCCATAGCTTCGTTAGTAAATTAAACCCAAGTCTAACAAACAATTAAGAGGCCCCGCCACAAGACATCCTCTTCTAAGCTTCATTGGTTAATACCTATTTGGAATTCTATTTTGCAGACCACACCCTATGAAATTCTCCCCTGGCCTCGCTTCATACTACAATGTTATTTGAGGTTTGTATTAAAACGCCACACCCTAAGAAATCCTCATCTGGACTCGTTTGGAATTCCACTTAAATTGAATTTTAAGTTTAGAGGCCACACCCCTTTGGACAGATTTTAAAAGGCCACACCCTAAGACCTGTGTATGGTAAAGCCACAGCTTCGTTCGTAAAACCAAACCAAGTAAAACAATTAAGAGGCCACGCCCTTCCAAGCCTCATTCGTTACTACCTCTTTGGAATTTTATTTTACCGACCACACCCTGTGAAAGTCTCCTCTGGCCCCGCTTCGTAATGAAATGTAATTTGAGGTTTGCACTAAAACACCACACCCTAAGAAATCCTCAACTGGACTTCCTTTGTGATTCCACTTAAATAGACGTTGAAATTAAGAGGCCACACCCCAAGACATCCTCTTCGAAGCCCCACTCTTTTTTAAGTCCAATTAGACTTTTGAATTGCAGGTCCACATCCTCAAAAGAACCACACCCTAAGAAACCCTCTCTATTTCTTTTTTTTTATTACTTTTCATATTAAGACGCCACATCCCAAGACATCCTCTTCTAAGCCTCATTCGTAATTAAATCTAATGGAACTTTACATGTTAACGCCACGCCCTGCATACAGAATAGGCTGAATTGAAAAAAAAAACGAATGGTGGGTGTGTTTGTGTGCTTTTCTCTGCGTGTGTGCAAGGCAGTCACATTAGCAGAAACAACGTATAACAATACACATTCTTTATACAAGAAAAGCATTTTTTGCAAAATTTGCTTAAAAAAAACCCAAAATCCAAAAATCCAAAAACTCAAAACCATGGAGCCGGGAGGCCGCCTTTTTTGGATTTTTTGGTTTTCTCGAGGTTTTTTTGGTTTTTTTTTTTGGAAAAATCAAAAAAAAAACAGGGTTTTTTTTTTATTTTACTTGCTCCTGGCCTCAAAAACCTAAAAACACATGGTTTTTTTTGGGATTTTGAGTGAAAATCCAAAAAAAACCATGTGTTTTTTTAGTTTCTGAGACCAGGAGCACCTGAAATCCAAAAAAACACGAGGGTTTTTTTGGATTTTCACTCAAAATCCCAAAAAAAACATGTGTTTTTTAGGTTTTTGAGGCCAGAAGCAAGTAAAATCCAAAAAAAACCATGGTTTTTTTTTTATTTTTCAAAAAAAAACCAAAAAAACCTCGAGAAAACCCAAAAATCCAAAAAAGGCGGCCTCCCGGCTCCATGGTTTTGAATTTTTGGATTTTTGGATTTTTGGATTTGTGTCAAAATTTGCAAATTCTGCAAAAAAGAAGTTTTTTTTGCATACAATTCTGTGTTTATAAGCCTGTCCTATGCAAATAATTCATAGACATGTTTACCAAATTGCATTTTCCTGTGTTTTTGGGGTGTTTTTTATGTGGTGATGTGGAAGTAGTGCTAAACACACGTGTTTTTCACTATTTACAGGTTTTCTCGCATAGGACTAGACGTGCAAAAACAGGACATCGCCTAGCATAGCCAGCATGTCATTTTAATCGGTATTTACGAGGGTTTTTATAGGGACAAAGCAAAACCTAGATCATGGGGGGGGGGTGACCATATATATATATGTGCACGTTACATGTCATATCCTCTTGGGATTCGTTTGCCTTTGGAGTTCGGGGCTTTTTTTAGCCGGGGGGGGGGGGGGGGGGGGGGGGGGGGGCAGCGGGCAGCGTCCTCCAAGTTCAAGCTCTTGGCCTGATATGGCTAGCCCAGGCGATGCGCATGGGCAGGAGCCCTAAAACCCTAAACCCCAAACCCCAAACCCTAAAACCCTAAGCCCTAAACCCTAAAACCCTAAACCCTGTTTGTGGAACATCAAAGGTTTTATAAGGGAAAGCAGGACAGTCGCAGCAGTCTGCTCAATGATAACAGAGTATAAGCACATTGTACGAATATAGACATGTGTTACTCCAACAATCTGGTGTGATAAAAACACTCAATGGTGCACATCGTCTGGGAGGATCGAGCAAGTGCCTGTCCGACCACGCGGCTGTTCTTTTTTTGTTTTCTGTGCAGGGAAACCCTGAACCCTTATCCCTAAACCCTAAACCCTAGTCCCTCTCCAGGTCTATGCAAGTCAATGCATCTCAAAGCACCAGGTCTGCATCGGTGCATGTGAAACACCAGGTCCGGTTGTCCCACAGCAAGAGCTCCATTCATGCCGCAAGACCTCTCGCAGGGCTCCACATGTCACTCTTTAGAGAAGATATCAAGTTACGAAGCCTGCATATGAAATAACTCTAGAAGCTCCATGTTCCATGTCTCTGAACCGAATGATAGTGTAGCCAAACGGGTCTGGGAAGGCCTGGGCCTCCTGTTTCCGTGCGCCTCCTGGCGTGACTCGTGGCTTCGAAACAAGAAGGCCTTGCTAGAGCAAGATGCAAGCGAAAGCTCCGACAACTGATGCATCAGTGACACTGGCGACGGCTCCAGCACCGGCCAAGAGTGCAAACACATCCCACCGACATCTGTGAATTGCACTTATGACAGGACTCTGTTCCCCTTGCCTATCAGTCCTCCCGGCTTCAACCCACAAGTGTAGCTCCATAGCGCAAAGCCACACCGCCAAAGGCATGATTTCTACACCGCGCCTTCAACCCTGCCACGCCACGCGATCAATCGAAGTTTCCATGTGGGAAACGCCAATACGTTCACCAATTTCGAGCATCCAGTAGCTCGAACAAGGAAGGCAAGCGGAAGTAAACAAACTACCAAGACAAAATGAAGAGAACAATCTACCAAAAGACAATGTATTTAGACGTATACAAATGTGTATATATATATATGTATTGCTAGAGACGACATTGTTGCAGAGGTTATAAGGGGATGATACTGGGTACTTATTTAGGTACCGTTATTAGCCGCAATGTCCCTCATCCCAAGGCAAGCTGAGCAGCGATGGCGGAAGAAGAGGGGCCCGGACCCGAGGCAGACCACGCACTTAGCCAATGGCTTAGGGTTTTGGGTTTAGGCTTTAGGGTTTAGGGTTTAGGGTTTAGGGCTTAGGGTTTAGGGTTTAGGAACACTCTCAGGGCTTTGGGTTTGGGGTTTGGGGTTTAGGGCTTAAGGTTTCCGTAGCCGATGCTTATTGAGCTTTGATTTTGCAGGATCCTGGGTGTTATATTTGGTGTAAGAGGGTCACATGTAGGAACATCTTACATCGCGTTTCAAGGGCCAAGCTAGAATACTCAGAGCTTTAACATGTTTAGGGATTACGGTCTAGGGAAATTGTTGGGGTTCCTGCCTAGGGTTGCGTCCTCTGTGCTGCATTGCAGCGCATGGCATCCAGCCAGATTCTGATGCCGTAGCATCTTACACACACCTTGCTGCGTTGAGGGACAAGATTTCGTAGGCCAGGGCAAGACTTACCCGAGAGTTGCCTGATTCAACACGAGGTGTGGCGGCAACCCCTAAATCCGAAACCCCAAACGTAGATACAACAACCCTAGACCCTAGACCCTAAACCCTAAACCCTAAACCCTAAACCCTAAACCCTAAACCCTAAACCCTAAACCCTAAACCCTAAACCCTAAACCCTAAACCCTAAACCCTAAACCCTAAACCACAACCTCTTTGAAGGTGGAAGAGGGTGGGTCATCCTAAGGAGATTTTCTCAGTCAAGTGAAGATGCTTCGGCACTCCGGCCCTAGAATATCAACCCAGGACCGCTTTGTTTGCAAAAGATGTTTAGATCGAAGTTGGTTACTGATGTTCATACCGGACCATACAACACTAGCCCTTTCAAAGACCAGCAGCATAGCTTCATTCGGTCATTCCCGTACCATTCCGTCTTTTTCGGACTCGCCAGGCAGTACATATTGCATCGGGGCGCCTGCTTTTAGAGACCACAACTGAAGCGCAACAGAACAGCTCGTGCCGTTTGTATTATACCCATACCCTAAACCCGAAACCCTAAACCCCTAACCCATTCTTGAAGAGTTTCTCATAACGATGGAGCACTGCCCGAGGCAAGAAGTGATCTTCACGGAGAACACTGCGCCGACGCTTCAGATTCGCCTAATCTAGGGGTCGGAATAATTACTACTACTGTTGATGCTAAAAATCCTGCATGAGTTTTTCCACAACCCAATCCCCTGGCCGCCCCTAATTTTAACATTGATGCAGACTCCACTCTGCAGAAACCCGGCGGCGCGAGTCATGCAAATCCTGCATGACCCCAGACGCCCAATCAACATTGAAATTAAGGGGTGCGCAGGGGATTTCTGTAGGCAAGTTGGTGTGTGGGTGGCTGGGGTCATGCAGGATTTCTATCATCCACCGTCTCGCGAATACGGTTCCAGGCTAATCCCGCATGTCACCAGTCCCTTTCGAGGCGATGCCTCAGAACCTTCTCAGGCGACAGGTTTGGGGGTCCAGGCTTTGGTCGGGCGTGGTTGGGGGGGTTTGGTTGGGGGTGAAGGGGGGGGGCGTGGAGGGGGGCGTGGGGGGGGGGGGCGTGGGGGGGGGGGGGTGGGGGGGGGGGGGGGGGGGGGTTCAGCCATTTACAAACTCCCCATCCCATTTACAAACTATTTACAAACTATTTACAAACCTATTTACAAACCCATTTACAAACTCCTTTTAGTAGGCGCGGGCTCTCACGCGGGCATTGAAAAGAAATCCTCCAAGATAGACTCATTTCCTGTTTCCACGTGGGAGTCGCTTCCCTCCTTAAAAAGGAGTTTGTAAATGGGTTTGTGAATGGTTTGTAAATGGTTTGTAAACAGTTTGTAAATGGGATGGGGAGTTTGTAAATGGCTTAACCACCCCCCCAACCCCCCCCCACCCCCCCCCCCCCCACCCCCCGCCACCCCCCCCCCCCCCCCCCACCCCCCCCCCCCCCACCCCCCCCCCACCCCCAACCCCCCAACCCCCCACCCACCATCCCCCCCCCCCCCCCATCCCCACCCCCCCCCCCCCACCCCCCACCCGCACCCACCCACCCCCAAGCCCACCCACCCCCCAACCCCCTTTTTATGCCAGACAGGAATTGTCAAGTCTCCATTCACACGATACACATTGTCCATGGGCAGCTAAAGAAGAGCACTTGCGATCATGCAGCTGTTGCCAGAGAATGCACCCTGGTGCGTACTGTTGATGCTAAAAACAACCCGTCAAGTCTCCATTGGCTGGACACGATACACATTGCGCTTTGCCTTTGTGGTGCAAAACACAAGGGCGTGCGATCATGCAACTGACTGAAACAAGTTTCCATTGGCTGGACACGATACACATTGCACTTTGCCCTTGCGGTGCAAAAAAAGACTTTTTTTGCACTTGCGATCATGCAACTGACTTCCTGATGCTTCTTGCCAGACAACGCGCCCTGGTACGTACTGTAGTATTCCCTCATGGTCCCTTTATAAACATACTACAATAACCCCCCACAACCCTATTCTAATTGCTAAGGTCTCTGTATCAGCACCTGCAATCGCCCGTACCCGGCGTTTTTTTTGTTTGCTACAGGCCGGACCGAGAGATTTGGGACGAGAAGGGTGGCCTCATCAAGAAAGGCCGGCCTAATATGGGGTTTAGGGTTTAGGGGCCTTCATAATTAGAATAGGGTTTTGGGGGGTTGCTGTAGTATAAATATAATAAAGGAGCCACAAGGGGATAGGGTTACTATAGGGGTCGGAGGAAATTACTAGTAGTATTCCTATAACTATACTCTAAGACACCCTATTATTATCAAGGCCCCTTTATTAGACGATCTGGGACGGCGTGCTGGCAGAATGCAGCTGTTTTGCTTGGGTTTCCTGTGCCAGGTGCAGCCGAGATTGCAGAGCGCGACCAGGATCATGTGCCCGAGGTGAAGGCACGTCTTTCGTGCGAGCTTGGCCGTCCCAGACTCCGCCTTACTTACTGTTGGTTAGTAGGGAATGGGGGAATGAGGTACCCCATAGAATCCCATTAAGGGTACATATAGGGCCCTAATTCCCTCAATTCCCTGCTAACCAACAGCAAGCTTAGAAGAGTTTTTTGACAGGTTTTGACAACCCTGGGCATGGCACTCAGCTGTGAGTTGCAGCTTGCTTCTTGCAGCAGATTTCTGAGACCTAGCGAGGTTGCTGGGAGTGAAGACCTGATTCCTTAAATTCTAAGAACCCTAGACCAAACAGTTCGTGCTTCAAGGGTCATGGGTAGTTGTAAGAAGGGGTACAGTTAAGATAACCTGCATAAATTACCGTGCTGACCGACCTTGTTCTAAATCACTTCTATTCCGAGTATTATGAACATGTTTAATGACGCGGTATAAAGAACCTACAACAATAGTTTATAACCCTGTTTAAAGCCAGCCAGAGCCTCGAAATGAAGTGAGGCATGTTTGCAGTGCCGGTGACAGCAGAGCAGCACCCTCAGCGCTTGAGAAGATGGGACTGCTCAACTTGACTATGGTCGTCAAGGCTTAGCGATGACAATCTGCATATACAAATATACACACTATATATATATATATATATACACATAAATATATGTATATAAATATATATATGTATATGTGTATATATATATATATGTATATGTACGTATCCGGCCCGGCGGTGTGGTGGTGGGATTCTGAGTTTAGCGTTGATGTTTTTTCTGGTTCGGTTCAGGGTTTAGGGTTTCGGAGTTTAGGGATGTCCGCTGCAATGTGCTCAGACCACCACAGTCTTTGGGTGGGGTCTGTCTTATTGGCTGAAGTCCGTGCCCGCCTACCCAAAGAAACCTTCACGGGCTTAGGGTTATTTCATCCCCAACCCCTCCTTAGCAAGGGGAGATGTATGGGTTTGTCAACCTGGGCTTTGGAGCTTCTTTTTAATTTAGGCCGAATGTAGAGTTTGAGCTGACCAAAACATGTATTTTCAGTGCGTTGAAGTAGAGCCTTGTTACCTTTTTGGTCCTGTTTTTGTCTTTCCAATATCGGTCCTGTCTCTGAGTCTGTTCCCCTGAATCTGCTTCCTGGTCCTACGTGTCTCGCTTTCTTCTGCGCGCTTTCCCAATCCCCAAGCCGCTATGGCACAGCATGAGGGCGGTGGGGGAGGCCAATCTCGAACAAAAGCGTACATTAAGAACATGCGCGTGTGCCTGTGCTATGGTTTTGTAAGAAATGAACTATAGTGTGTCTTTCTTGTCAGATATCGGGAATTTGTCGTTGAGCCAGCTCAGCAGTGGAGATGCCACCCTGCCCTGAGGACTACAATTGGTGAGATCCGGCAGAAGGTGCAAGAGTGGAAGCCGGAGTGACCTGACGATGTGATGTGGGGACCCTAAACCCTAAACCCTAAACCCTAAACCCTAAACCCTAAAAGAAAATGCGTTTGAACCCGACTTCCTAGACTTTCTCCTTGCCTCCGAGTCGCTACCTTTGTGAGTGATGAGACGCAGGTACTCGCTGGAGCAGATCGAGCTGGTTTGCAAGGACAAGGATGATCCCAGCTCAGACTTCGCATGGGTGTTCGGATGCGTTCGGGGTTTAGGGAAACACAGGGCTGAATAAAGGACTAGTCAACATTGAGTCCTGATTGGGGTGGCACAACCATTTAATCTGTTGCTCGTGTTCTTGTGCTTGATGCGTCTTCTCAGTGGGCCCAATGGTTGAAACCCACCGCGTCCTTATAACGGTTTGCAGTCAGTCGGCAAGCAATCCGCACCAGAATCCCGAAGCTGAGAACGTAGCGCGCATGCACACCCCCAAAACGCTGCGCCTTCTGCTCTGCGACATCCTTTGTCCTCTACAACCCTCAACCCTCATAAACCCGACAAGGCCTGGGGTCCGCTATTCAACAAGACCTCGCGCCCCAGGCCCATCTTGGGGCTTCGGGGGGGGGGAAGGGGTGGCGGGAAGGGGGGGCAGTTTGGGGTTTGGGGGTTTGGGGGTTTGGGGGTTTGGGGGTTTGGGGGTTTGGGGGTTTGGGGTTTGGGGTTTGGGGGTTTGGGGTTTGGGGGTTTGGGGTTTGGGGGTTGTGAGGCTTCATGAGGCTTCAGAGGGTTGACGGGGTTTGGAGGGCTGAAAACAGCAAAGGTTCGGCACCTGCCGGCGTTCCATTTTGTTTCCTTCAGGTTCCCAGAGACTCCAATACCCCTTAGTTATAAGAAATATTCCTTAGACCATATAAGGAAGCCTCTGATATTTTGAGATATATTCCTTAAGGGGTATATTGGAGTCCCTGGGTTCATGCCTAGGCCCGGGCAGGCCCCTTCAAATCGCCAAAAGGGAACTCACGGTCTGATGCCTCGCAGCTCACGTTCAATATCAGGGCTTTCGGAAATTAGGGGGGGTTACCGTTTTGGGGTCCTTATTATAAGGGAATCCTACTATTTAGGGGTCTATAATAGGGGTCCCTTGTTTTCGTAAACTCCCATATAGGTGGGATTTGTTCATGGAATTACCATTCGCGAAACGTAACCTCGATATGGAACAAAACCAACGCGTGCTCTTCGGGGACGCCGGATCAGGGGTTCACAAGGAAACTACCCTAAGCCCTAAACCCTAAACCCTAAACCCTAAACCCTAAACCCTAGACCCTAAACCCTAAACCCTAAACCCTAAACCCTAGACCCTAAACCCTAAACCCACTTGCCTCAGGGATGATGATGAAACCGCCCGGGCGCCCAGAAGCGCTGGAGACTCCAAGCCCTAAACTCAAAACCCGGTTTATAGGTTTAGGGTTTATAGGGTTTAGTGTTTAAGGTTGCCCATTGAAATATGGGTTAGCCTCTGTGGCTTAGGCTGTAGGGTCTCGGGGGGGTTCTAATTTAGGGTTAAGGGTTTAGGGTCTGAGTCCTGGTACAGTTTTCCCCGATCGGTGGGTAGAACAGCCCGCACATCGTCGTTGTTTAGGCTTCTGGGGTCAAGATCAGCAAAGCGCCAAGAAATCTCACTAAGAGCCTGAGACTCTAAGTTGGGGCTCTCCCTATGCGTGCTTTGTAGACCCTACACCCCAAACCCTAAACCCTGAACCCGCAGTGCCCCGTAGATTGCTGCTTCGCATGCAAGGCCCGCAAGTCAGGCAGCCTACATGTTTCGTTTTGGTTTAATTTATCGTTGTCTCAAGCACGCTGTTGATGCTTTAGGTGGAATCCCTGTGGAGCGACTGGGACATCCCTCGGCGTATGATGCAGGCACCCATGACCTGATTAGGGTTACGGGTATAGGGTTTTAGGGTTAAGCTCTAAAGGTTGGATCAAGGACCCCATCATTTAGGGCGACTCCTACTCTGGGTCGACATATCTTGAAATGACTAGGGTTTAGGGTTTAGGGTTTAGGGTTGAGGGTTTAGGGTTTAGGGTTTAGGGTTTAGGGTCTGTGTGGCAATGCTCTGCTGTACCCGTGCATCGTGCGACGAGGAGCACTTTGCGTATCGCAGGTGGCAGTGTCAACATGTGTGTGCCATCACTGGGTGCACCTTACCGCTAGACTTGCAGAAGCTGCAGCTAGTCCCTGGAGATGCTAAGTCCCCGAAACTTCATTCTGCCATACCATACATTGAATACATATCTATATATATATATATATGTATATATGTCTATATTTCCATATTTATGTGTATATATTTTTATATACATTTTCATTTTGTTTATATTTATATTTATCTAAATATCTAGTACACATACATGTCTTCTATAGTACGTTTGTTCTATGAGGTTGTTGATAGCATTCTAGGTCTTCTTTAGTTCTTAGTCTAGAACCCCGTACCTAAACCCTAAACCCTAAACCCTAAACCCTAAACCCTAAACCCTAAACCCTAAACCCTAAACCCTAAACCCTAAACCCTTTCTAAACCCTAAACCCTAAACCCTATAAACTATAAACCCTAAACCCTAAACCGATTGGAGGTGGCCTTGTGGATCAAGGAGAAGAATGAGGAGACTGGCGAGCGCTGATCTCGGATAATATAGGTGTCGGAATAAGTACGTTTAGTATTCCCTTAGGGTTTAGGGTTTAGGGTTTGGGGTTTGGGGTTTGGGGTTTAGGGTGGGTCCCTTTAGAATTATGCTATCATAACCCCCAAAACCCTGTTCTAATTATTCAAGCCCCTATATTGGCTACAGCATGGGGCAAAGGCGCAGATAGCGCCTCTGCGAACAGGAATCATCGGCGGCCTTTTAAGAATCTGTAAGTCTCCTGGACAATTACACGCACACACACCTTGAAACCCATTAAGCCAAAGGAACCCAAGAAGAAGCACAAAGCAAGTGGACAGATGGGGTGACCGCGAGGGTGGTGATGGTCACGGCGGTGGTTGTGATGATCGTGGTGATGATATACGTTCAACCCTCAACCCTCAACCCTCAACCCTCAACCCTCAACCCTCAACCCTAAACCCTAAACCCTAAACCCTAAACCCTAAACCCTAAACCCTAAACCCTAAACCCTAAACCCTAAACCCTAAACCCTAAACCCTAAACCCTAAACGTTTCGAATTCCCAATCTGTTCTGGAAGCTGCCAAGATGTTCCTTCCTTGATGTATTACCTTAATAGGGATTAGGGTTCATTTGGTCCTCAAGGTTGTATCAGCTCAAATCACATGGATTCACCAACCTTGCGGACTCCAAGGACCTCGAAAGAGAGTGGATCCCGCAAGCGTCACCCCCCAAAAACCTATCCATAGGCGCTTTGTCGCCTTTGAAAACGGCAGTTAGCGTTTAGGACTTAGGCGGTCAGTTTGACATGAGTCCTGAACCTCGTCCACTCTTGTCAAGCGAATCATGCAGGGCCGGCCTGCAAAGCCGCCAAAGGCCTCAACCCCCTACACCCTAAACCCTAAACCCTAAACCCTAAACCCTAAACCCTAAACCCTAAACCCTAAACCCTAAACCCTAAACCCTAAACCCTAAACCTGCCTAAACCCTTAACCCCCGCATCTCACCCCCACAGTCCTCACCCAGAACTGTCGCCTGGAAGCTCGCACGGGTATCTTTGCGCTCCTCGCACCCTGAACCGGGTTTAGGGTTTCGGGTTTAGGGTTTAGGGTTTGCGGGTTTAGGGTTTGCGGGTTTAGGGGTGGCACCTGAAACCGTGAGGTGGGAGAGCACCTTCTGGAAGATGCTGGAGGAGTCCAAGTGCTGCTTGATTTGCAGCCGAGCTGTGCTCCAGTGCAGCGTTCTCCGTCGCCCCCCCCCCCCCCCACCGCCCCCTTCTGGTATTCCCCCGCGCGGAGCACCCCTAAGAACCTAAGCCCTCACCCCTAAACTCTAACCCATGTAAACCCTAAACCCGCCGACCATGAAACACAGGGGGGGATGGGGAGAAACCCTAAACCCGAAACCTACACCCAAAACCCGCCATGAACCACAGGAAGAAGAGAAATACCATTGTGAGGAGCGCATGAATGCTGGCATAGAAACCCTATAAACCCTGAACTTCTGCCCTACCTGCACACGGCCCATGGAACCCTCAAGGCGATCCAAAAAAAAGCGGAGAAAATCTGAAGTCGATCCCAATTTACCCCCAAAAAAGGCTCCTCCACGCCCCCCCCCCCCCCCCCAAAAAAAAAAAAAAAAAATCAGCAAAGCACGAAAGGTATTGAACCCTCCCCAATACCAGATACTTACCCTAAAGCCATCATCCAACAACGCCCTGAAACCCAGAAAAAAAGTGATGAACTAACATCTCTATCCCCTTTATGACGTGTCCGAACCCCAATAACCCCAAACTGCCCCAACAAAAACTAAACACCCCATGCACCCGGTCAGCATGTTCTAAAGAACCCAATAGGCCCCCCCCCCCCCCCACACAAAAAAAAAAAAAAAAAACACGCCAAGGCGACGATTGGAGCTTCCAAGGTCCCACACCCCAGTCACAGTTGGGGTCGGGATAGGGGGGTTTAGGGTTTGAGGCTTGGGACTTATAGGGCTTGGGGCTTAGGGCTTAGCGCTTATGGAGGGTTGGAGGGTTTGGCGTTGTTGGAGTGCTCCTGCATGTGGGGACAAAATGAGCCCTGGACAGCTTTATTTGTGTGTACGCCTCGTATGGATTCCTGGCCACTTCTGTACAAGCCTCTTGCATCAACAACAAAAAAGGGTGCTCACGTCCCAGATCGCGGGAAATTGTGCACGGGGGTGGAGAGGAGGAGGGGGTGAAGTGGGTAACCCATGTGCTGCCTCCAGGTCATACCATCTGAGAATCTGAGAGACCTGTCAGATCATCAGTAGGCAAGCTACAAGTCGGCATCTATTCACTGGGTGTTCCTGACACCCTTGAAGTGCACAGGGCCCTTGAGGTCATAGGTGGCATGAGGACTGAGACGCGAACACTTCCTCCCCGGCTGTAAAAGTGGGACGACTGGTGGACATGCAGCTGCGAAGTGAACATGGGGGGTCTACGAAAACAAGGGACCCCGAAAATAGACCCCAAATAGTAGCGTTCCCCCCAATAAGGTGCCCCTAATTTCGGAAACCCCCCCAAATCAGACTGCATGTGAGCTGCCGAGCGGCCTGACTGTCGCTGGATCAAGCGAAAGTCGTCTCAGGCTTCATCGACCAAGGCATCCTCAAGTGCCCCCAATGTTTCAAAGGCAGAACTGCGACTGCGACATTTGATCCTCGGAATTTTCACATCCGCATGGATTCGCCGTTGTCTTGCATTGTTTCGTGCCCTGAACATCCCTGAGCCCTGACAACTCTTAGCTGACTCCGTGCGCCTTCGAAGCCGCTCCACAGACATGTTGGGTGAGCAGCCGGCCCCCGAAGCCAGGCCCATGATTTGGCAACCCCTGCAGCGCTAAAGCATGCGGATTTGGGGTTTAGGGTTTAGGGTTTAGGGTTTAAAACGTGCAGCCAGGCCGAGGATGCTGGGAAGGTACCGGGGGCATACCCTGCTACTGATCCTGGGTCTTTACATCGTCAGCCGGCGCTTGGTAAGCTCAGCTCCTGTGCTTGGCGTTGGCGTGGGCACGTCAAGCTCTGAGTTGCAAGAGCTGGAAAGCAGGATCAACCAGAGCAAGGTGTTTGTGGTCTCCAAGCAGTGGTGCCCGTTCTGCCAGCGTTTGAAGCTGGTGCTCGCCAAGCTTGGGGTTCAAGCGGATGTCCTGGAGCTTGAAGATATGAACCAGCATCCGCTTGTCAAGGACGAAGGAGCTGTTCTGGACTACATGCTCAGTCGGACTGGCGCACGCTCGGTCCCGCGCCTCTTCATTGCCGGCAAGTTCATTGGGGGATGCGCCGCTTTCCTGCATTGCGTTCAGTCATGCTAGCCCAGAGCTGCGTAGAGTTCGGGGGGGGGGGGGGGGGGGGACCCTGAACCCTAAACCCCAAACCCCAAACCACGGTCCCTGCATGAGGACGACGCTGTGAGCATGGCAGGATCGGGAGAGCTTCAAAAGCGCCTCAAAGAGGCCGGCGCTTTGTGAACGGGCTGCAGCGGAAAGAGAGGCGCAAGGAGCTGTCGGAGCGTGCTGTAGCCGGCAAAAAATAGCCGCCTGGAGCTGTTCCTGACAAGAGCGCGTGCATCTGATCCAGAAGTTTTGATCCAGCGTTTGCTGTGAAGTTGCAGTCTGCGCTGCATGTGTTGTGAAGCCATGCGGGTCTGTTCAGCCACTTGCTGCCGCGTGAGCATTGCCCAGCGCCTTGAAGTGACTTCAGCTCAAATCCGTGTGAGTTGTCTGATTGAAGACCCGAGTCTCCTTGCGTTGCCATGGAGCTTTCTTGCTTGCAACAGCAGCTCGCGGAGAGCGCACCTCGGAACGGCACAGCAGCGTAGGAACACACAGGATTCCTCATGACCTCAGCAAAGTTAGCAAAGGAGTTGAGGCAAGGGCTTGCGTGAATAGAGTCACAGCGGAGTGCACACCGACACCAGAAGTGAGGACTCCGATGGCGAGCTCCTGTCTACGGGTGAGAACCTGAGTGAGGCGCGGGTGCTGCAATGAAAGGTAAACAGGGATTCGAGTTTGTTTTCGAGCACGCTGCGCGCATAACATGACAAATTAATGGACCTCTTCAGGCAAAAGTGTGCACACAAGCGAGAGGCTGAGCCCTAGGATGAAGCGATTTGCAAACCCTCTGCGGGCCATCGCTGCAAGTTGTCCATCTGCAAGCTGTACCCGTGTTTGTCCTGAAAGATCCCAAAATAGCTGCGCAAGCCCAGCAGATAGTAGGCACGGGTGTCCTGTGTGTTTTCCTAAACAGTCTCGGGAGCGAGGTTGTCTTGAAGTAGTCCTTGGGGTGGCCAGAGCCTATATGCGGGAACCTCTTAATGATCTTGATGCCGACGATGGCCGTGTCTGTCGGCAGCCTGTGCAAGATGTCTTGCTTATTGGCAGATTCCTACTTTGTGTTTCCTTCCGGGGCGTTGGTGACAATGCTAAGGTACCTGTAGTAGGATGCCACGCCCTCTCCTACTAGTAGTGTGCTTCTCATCCTGAGATTTTTGCAGGAGAACGAGCACAGCGCGGCGCCGTTCTCCCCCAGTTCTCGGACTCACCGAGGCTATCCGACCTTCTTGGTCGTTTGTTCTTGACCGTTTCGCCCTTCCCTGCGGGCCTCCTGATTTTGTCTTCATTCCATCTTTTTCTCTGTGGCAGGCAGCAACGGACGCCGGACCCGCCTCCGCACGCGATCTGACGTGCAGGAGGCTCTCTCGGCGCCCGCGGCGCTCTGCCAAACCGTGCAATCGAAGCCGCGTCAACCTCGAGGCTCAGCTGTATACTGCAGACTTATTGCAGGTGATCCGCTTCATGGAGGGGGAGGAGGACGACATGGGCTCCCCATCGGCCAAGACGGAGACCGAGGCCAGGTGCTTGTGGCAACATTGTCTGTGTTCGTCGCGCGGTGCGCTGCGAAGGCCCCAGCACAGACGACGTGCTGGGACAGGATTGACCCTCGGTTGCTTCCTGTGGTCCTCACCGTGTCGTTGCTCTCCAGCGCAACGTGCTGGTTTTTTCTCCAGTGCCCGTTGCTGAGTGACTTGGCCCATTTTTCATGCGCACACGTCGCACAGCAGCATGCAGGACCAGTAGCTAATTATGCCATGCGAAAGCACACATACGCACATCGACGTACCCAATAAATCTCGGACGAGGTGAGAAAGGCATCGGCGCGCTCAGCAGTCTGCGTGCTGGAGCGGCCATGCCATTTATGCTGGCGTTCGGCCGGAAGCTCGATTCTCCGACTTTTGGCGCAGAGCCCTGGCACCTCATTGCCTCTCGCCTGCAGGTCTCATGGCCTTCGCCAGCAAGGTGGACCCGGGTATGGTTCCGGAAGGGGATCCGGACCGACCCATCGAGCGGTCCTACAAATCATCGCAGCTCCTCGTCTCTGCCATGACCCTTCGTCTCCGTCACACTTGAGATCATCATGTTTTTCCTGCATGCATTGTGTTTTTTTTGGGGTGCTCACGTGAGGTTTCCGCGGCGTATACGCAGATTCTCGACCTGCAACTGTGGCAGGGACGTCTCCAGCGACAGCAACACGTGAAACCCAGCACGCGTTTTGCGTGTGCCTGGTCGCACGCCCGGAATCCAAGGATACGACCACTTCTGCCGATGGTTGCTCAATGGCATCGGTTTATACAATCACCGCGCGCCTTGGTTTAACAGTGAGGTGCCCCTATGTGCCCCATGAAACATTGCTTCAGGAATTCTTCATGCTATTGATGGTGTTTACCTTCATGGTGGCAGGAAGTTGCTTGGCAAAACTTCACTGTCAAGCCGACACTCTACTGCGTGGACGGTTTCTGCCCTTGTCCGTCGTTCATCAGCTGAGGCTCGATTGTGGATGTGTACCTTCTCACAGCTTTCTTGCACCCTGAACACTGGGCCCGGGCCCCGGCTCCTGGCATACCCAAAGAGCCTACTATCCCTTAATTAAGGAATACACCTTATTGTATTAAAGGAATCCTGAATATGATTTAGGGTATATTCCTTCATTAAGGGGTATTGGGCTTTTTGGGTAGAGCTTCCATGGAAAGTCTTTTGCACAGCGTCGGAAGCTGAGAGCCAGCTGGAGCCCAGGTGGTGGAGTGCTTGCTGGCCGCTGGGCTAGAGACATCGGGTGCACCCCTGCAAGACTCCCCTAAACCCTAAACCCTAAACCCTAAACCCTAAGCATCTCGCCCATGAAGACGAGGTTGGCCACCTGGCCTACTTGGGCGTATTTGCGTACGGCCTGCTGCCAATCGTACGTCTGCATGTCGCATTTGTTTCGAGGACACGCGCCGTGCACCTTCCCATGCTGGATTACGGATTGCCGCCCGCGATTTTTTCCACATTTTTCCTGCGTGTGGAGGAATGAGCTAGCAAACGAATGGAAAGACGACCTCAACTATGTCGTCGACGATTTGGAGTGGGGCACTCAGTTCTCCTGCCTGTGTGTGTGCATGGATCGGGCATGGCTCCTGCGCTAGAACTGAGCATCCGTCCCGAGCACATGTGAGCACTCAGGATGGGCACCTCGAAGTGGGTCGGAGAGCTGGACACTGAAGAGTTTAATGAGAAGTTCGACAGATTTCGCTACGCCCCGTGGCATTCACCATCTAGTCTAGACCCTATAATTTCCTAGACCCTGAGCCCGACTCCGATGAGCAACTGTCGAATGTCTAGTTCGGGTTGCGGCGCAGGGCTGAGTCAGCGGGAGTTGGTCTAAACCCTAAACCCTAAACTTAACCCTAAACCCTAAACCCTATAATCCTATAATCCCTAAACCCTACATCCCCCTAACCCCTGAACTAAGGAACCCACGCGAAATCGCTGGGACCAGGGCTGGCAGATGAGACTGGTCCGCACGGAGCGTGGCAAGGCATCCTCACAATCTCGGTTGCTTCCGAAATTCTATTGTAAACAATATAGTTGTTGGCCTGGAGTGCGCAGGGCAAGCATTGGGCATGGGCACGACCGTGAGCCAAGATGATCCAAGGAACTGCTACTTGTTCTGGTGTGTCCCAAGATGGGACAGACACCAAACGGGAGAGTTTTAAGCTGAGGCTTGCGCAATCGTAAAGGTCCCATGAAATTCGTGAGTGGCGCCCGCCGCGAAACATGGCGGCGTGGCGCATATGGTGACAAAGCGCGCGACATGCGCAGCTACAAAGTGCAGAGGGTAGAGGCGGGCCGTGAGGGCCTCGTCCTATCATGTCGTCGACATCCTGGGTGACAGGATGTTCTTGGCATCCGATCGATAGCTCGCAGCATCCAGGAATGAAGCCTCTTTTAGGTCTTAGATGTCTTCACGCAGCAAAATACTACGCAGCAGGCTAGAAGATTCGAAGGTGTTCTCAGGCAAATTCCGGAACGCGAGCAGAGCAGCAAAAGTCGGTCCCAAGATGGGACTGAAGGACTGGGTGAGCGACGCTGCGAGACCTGCGGCGTGGCCAGCCCACTTTCTGTGTCAATGCGTCCATGCGCCAGCGAGCAGCCAGCTGTGTGAAAGAGGTGGGCCTTGCTGCAGTCTCCTGGATAAACAATTATAAGCAAGGTAGCCGAAACAGTACAGACAAAGTGCAGGAGGCAGGCCGTGACCTTGGAGGCAGGATGCTGTTGGCATCCGTTAGCTCGCAGCATCCGTGTGAACGAGGCCTCCTGTAGGTCCTACGTATAGCTGTCCTATAGCAGTTCCAGTTCATAGTCTGCAGCAGGCTTGAAGAGTCGAAGATGTTCTCAAAGAAATTCCGGAACGCGAGCTGAGCATCAGTGGCAGCTGCTCCTGTGCGCACGCGGGGGCGTCCCAAGATGGGACTGAAGCACCCGACCAGACCTCAACCACTGCGTGCCAGCGACGCTGCGAAACATGCGGCGTGGCCAGCCCCCCTTTTCTGATCTTTCTGCCTCCATGCCCCACACGCCAGCGAGCGCCGGACCCATGCCCAGCTGTGTGAAAGAGGTGGGCCGTCTTTGTGCAGGCTCCTGGGTTTAGGGTTTTGGGTTTTGGGTTTATAAGCAAGGTATAGCAGAACTATTCGACCACCCACTAACTCTGCACGGAAGATTCTGAGCCAAAGCAACACCACGCCGAACTGCCCTGCCTAGTCGTTCCGACTCGAGCCTCTGGCGTTCCGTTTCGATTCACAAAAGCCTGAAAAACCCCGAATCTTCAACCCCGGACCCTAAACATCCTCATCAAAATCCGGCAGTGTTAGCTGATGTTACTGCATTGCCGTACGATGCAAGCATAAAACTGTTGCTCAGGATTCTTGAAGACCACCTGCATCCCGAAAATCTTCATCCCTCACTCCAGTAAAGCCTCAACATGTCATAAAGTTTGATTCCCATCAAACAGCCTAACCCTAAACCCTAAACCCCAAACCCCAAACCCTAGTACAGGACATCGGCCCTCAGGGCTACGAGTTTGGACCCGAAGCATCGTTATCTCCCCTAAGGATCCATGTACCTTTCTGGTTTCTTCTTGGGCTTCAAAGGGGTTCCTATATAGTAGCTTTAGGGCCCAAGTATATACTATATAGGTACATGGATCCTTAGGGGAAACCCCCAAAGCCCGACACCTTCAAAGCGCGCCATGGCCGGCTCAGCGTTGCTGCGCAGCTCGGCCGCGGGCGGCCTGGCGCTCGCGGCGCTGCAGCTGCGTGGGCCCAAGGTTGGGTTTAGGGTTTATAGGGTTTATAGGGTTTTATAGGCTTTATAGGGTTTTTAGGGTTCATAGGGTTTATTGGGTTTATCGGGTCTTTCAGGGTTTTTTACGGTTTTTAAGGTTTATAGGGTTTATAGGGTTTATAGGGTTTTTTTTCAGGGTTTTTACGGTTTTTTAGGGTTTATAGGGTTTTTGGGGCTTTTAGGGTTTATAGGGTTGGTAGGGTTTACAGGGTGTATAGGCTTCAGGCTTCAGGCTTGGCCCTCAATGCAAAATCGGCTATCAGTTTTCAGCTTCAGGGTTGATGTAGATGATATTTAGGGTTTAGGGTTTAGGGTTTAGGGTTTAGGGTGTGTATAGACATACAAGATGGTAGTCCGGGTACTTCGGGGGGGGGTCCAGGTGGGCTGGCAAAGGGTTTCGAGGTGTAAGCATGGTACTTGGGCTCCCTAAACCACCATCCCTCTCAAAGCCTGAACACTAAACCCGAAACCCTATAAACAACTTGAAAAAAAGCCCTTCCCCAAGAAAGCACAAGGAGCAATAATAAGCAATAAGAATGCCCACCCAAACTTCACCCGCCCCCCCCCAACAAAAAAACAAGTAAACCGAAAACTAAACCAAAAACAAGAAAACAAAACAAAAACAAAGTCGCTGCAAGCTCCCTAAATCCCTTGAACCTTTGAAGCCGCTTAGATCTTCAGCCCTTAAACCCCAACCCCACAAACCCCAACCCGTAAGACTTGAGGCCGTGGTTTCCTCGCACATCCGTCTTCAAGCAGTTGCTGGCCAGATCGGGGCCCAGAGGGCCTTAGGAGCTTTTAGTTTCGGGGCTTCAGGGTTTTAGGGCTTACTTTAGGGTTTTGAGGTTTTGTTTTGTTGTTAAGGGGCTTTTAGTGTGGGGTCTTCAGGGTTTTAGGGCTTACTTTAGGGTTTTAAGGTTTAGTTTTTTTTGTCTTGTTGTTAAGGGACAGGATTTTTGCGGGGCTAGGGCTCGAAACGACCTGAACCCTACACCTCAAACCCCATGCACCTCACATCCTAAACCCCCAAGAGCCGAACCCTGAAGCCCAAGCTAAATTCCCAACAGATCTTTGCACCACCAAGCCCAAGAACTCTCCCACCAAGGGGTTTTCTATGACCTTTTTGGAACGGTTTAGGGTTTAGGGTTTATATAGGGTTTAGGGGTTGAGGGTAAAAGGAGAGCCCTGGCCCTGAGGCTGCCTGCTGGGCTACCTGACGAGTGTCCTGGATGGCTCTGAGAAGCGACCCGGCTGCCGCCGGAGCCTTACAGTGGTTTAGGGTTTATAGGGTTTAGGGTTTAGGGTTTAGGCTTTAGGGGCTTGCGGAAGGGGAGTTTCCTGGTCGCGCAGCGGCTCTGGGTTCCCTTGTAAAGTAACCAACCCAAAAAAGGGTGCCCTATTGTAATATGGTTACTGGACTACCAAGGGTTTTATGAGGGCTTCTGAGCTGGATAGGGTTCAGAAAGGTTTTTGATGGCTTTTGGCGTTCGGGTGTTAGTTATTGGGTTTGGGGAGGTTAGCTGTTTTCGGGGTGGGGGGCACGCGTGAAATTTTCAAAGGGCTGGGGTTTGAGGTTTTGAGAAGATTTGGAGGTAGAGTGTTTCAGGGTCCTGGGGCGAAGGTTCGCCAGCGAAGTTCGAGCAGAGACCACTTCATTTTCTGGGAAAGGCTCTTTTTTGATTGGCGAGGGACAGCCTTTCAAAAACCTTCAAGAACCATGAACGAGTTCTATCAAAACCCTTTGCCATCTGAAAAGCCTTTAAGAACCTTGCAACACCTTCTCAACACCTTTTACGCAACCCTTTAAAAGATCACCCTACTGTAATTCATTTGAAGCCCGTTTAAAGGCTTCGAACAGCCCGTTACAAGCTAAACCAGCTGAGAATCTTCAGAAAACCTCGGAAAACACAGCTTAGGGGCACTAAACCTTCAAATCCCCTACCAACCTCTAGCTAACCTGAAAAACCATTCCGTTGCAATACCCTGTCAAGACCTTCAAAGGCAGTCTTAACATCACTTGACAATCCGTGGTAACACACATCGGCCGGCCACGCAAAACGGACGCAGCCGGGTGTACGGCTTTGGGGTTACGGTTTTTTGGGTTGGGGGTTTCAGGATTTAAGGGTTTTAGGGGTTTGAGGCTTGCGGCTTTAAAAAGGTTTGGGGATTGATTCGGGGCTTGGCGCTTGAAGGTAGGTTTAGGGTTCATCGGACTTAGACTGGGGCCCTTCATCATGTGTTAGGATTCACCCAATAATCCCTAGACACCTAAATCCTAAACCCTAAACCCTTCTGAAACCTAGACACCTTAAATCCTAAACCCTAAACCCTTCTGAAACCCAAAAAACAATAAACCCCAACACCCAAAACCCGAAAGGCAGGAGCCCGTGGCTGCTGCGGCTAGTGCAGCGCTTTTGGAACCAGGCGTGAGACCTCAGAAAGCGAGGATATCGGGGTTGGGGGTAGCAGGGTAGCAGGGGTAGCAACTCTCCTTACCTGATGGCTTGGTACTCAAAGTACCGTCTGACCCAGCACCTAACTTTTCGCGAGAGCATACTAGCCCTGAGAAAAGCTACTTAGACCCAATGGAAAAGGACGTACAGGACCCATGTTGCGGTCAGGTTCAGGGCTGTTCCAGGTGCTCCCCAGATTGTTCGACATCGATTGCACGCTGGAGGACGAGGAGGCAGCAGCACAGCTTTCGAACTGTACAAGTATATAGTATGGATGTTAGATGGTACCCGAAGTCTCCAGAGCAAGTTTGATTCTGCGATCGCTTTGGGTGGGCAAATGGCCATGATCACGCTCTGGGAGTCCAGATAAGGTTGCGGGCCTCAAAGGGTTTGGGCTTAGGAGGGGCCATGGGTCGTTGAGAGCAGGCCCTGCGGAAGTGTGGCCACTGCGTCGTCGCGGCCCTAACATCCAGTGACATCTGGCGGTTGCTCTACGGTTAGTGCCACAATTGGTTTTTCTCTTGGCCGACTGTATTCGTATTAACAAAAGGCCGCGAACTAACATCCGACCTCCACCAAGGCCGGCCAACGCACTCTTGAATCACCTACCAAACCCCGCACACAAGCTCAAAACATACATCAAGCTGGCCTTCTGTTCTTGAGTCGTGCATAACAATCATACCCTTGCGATGTATGCTTTTCGCTTGGATGCAGTTCTATGCCTTGCAAGCATAACCTTTGCTATAGTATCTGTCCGTTGGCTTTCCACGCAACAAGACTCAACAAGATGTCAATAACTGCAGCCGTTCATTGTAATGTCGCTCGAGTTTTGTATTCACTCAGTTCTTCCCGTTCACGATGATGAAGGAATTTCGTCTGCGAGTTGATGTTGCTTTGCATGGCCTAGTCAATGTTGGTCTGTATCGTAGTCTATTGCGTTCTTTCTTCAAAGCTTTGTCATAGTTGGGTAGCATTTTTCATTTTAAGGGTACTTAAACGCAATAAGGAAAATATTTTTAATGTTATCTCAACAATGAACTAGAAAGCAAGCTTCTGTGCATCCTGGCACTTTTTTGAGGATTGGTGAGCTTCCGATTGTCTTGTTGGGTTTCCCCTCCTTTGCTTCTGTTTCGCCTCCGGCAGCGATGACGGATATGAGCCCTGATCTGGAACGCATATGTTGCCTTGCGGTCCGGGGAGAGCAAGCCTCGCGGAAAACTAGTTTTAAACCGACACCTGAACATCCCCCCCCCCCCCCCTTAACTGTGAATCCCAGATCCAAGTTGACACAAAGACATGCGCTTACAGTGTTGAGTTCGTGTTGCTGCTTATATGAACTTAAAGCTGTCAGGGTACAGAAACGTGTTCTGAGTTCTGAAAACATGTGCCCAATGAATCGCATCTCAGAAGTGGTCAAGATGATTTTACTTCTGTAGGATGCTGAGGCACCTTATGTTGACTTCTTTGGATCGTTCTGGGGAAGGGAGCTCCGATGTTTCATGAGACTGTCTATCAGTTTCGTAGAGTGTGCGCAAGCCAGCGATCCCAGAACGTTCAGGGTTAAGCGTTCGAAGGTTTTGGAGCCTAGAGGGCTGAGGGGATTCGACACCCGAGGTGGCTGTACATCCACACGGCGTGCTTTCTTTGGGCCACTACCTTGTGATCTCTGCGCCTCGGCCGCGTCTTTGCCTTGCGCCTGTGGTTGCGGATCCTGCCATTATGATTCAGGTTCTGGGCTCAGGGGGCTCCATGTTGGACGATCCCAGATACATTACCAGCAAGCCCGCAAGCTAAGCAGCCTTGCAGACGTGCATGTGATCAAGACGCCATGGCTAGTCCCCGGGCCCTGGGCCCCTAAACCCCTAAACCCCAAACCCCAAACCCTAAACCCTAAACCCCAAACCCTAAACCCTAAACCCTAAACCCTAAGCCATAAACCCTAAACCCTAAACCCCACATTCTGGTTGCGCCAGGGCTTCCATCCAGCTCTTGAAAGGGCCCTTCCGGCAAGCCGACGATGCGCCTTGAGTGTTTGGGCCTCAGTCCTTGGGGTTTGGGGTTTGGGGTTTAGGGTGTAGGGTTTAGGGTTTGGGGTTTAGGGTTTAGGGTTTAGGGTCACCGCCCACGCAACATGAGCAAGAAGACCCGGACAAGCACTATCCTAAACTAGGTGGGGCCCTGGGATCTGTTCATCTGTTTCCCGTTTTGGTTTTCAGGGGAGCCTGGCTCAGGAACGCCTTCCGGTTCAAAGGCGTCAGCCTAGGAAACTTGCGTTCTGTAAGCCAGAAGCCTGAAACTAAACCCTAAACCCTAAACCCTAAACCCTAAACCGTGAATCTGAGGCCGGCGTCTTGTTCAAGCTTCCCATCGTCCGGGAACTGGCGCTGGGACTGGGGTGCCTCTTCCTCAGACGTTCAGAAGCCGACTGTAGGAGTGAGCTGCGGTTTAGCCTTCAGGTTTAGGGTTTAGGGTTTAGGGTTTAGGGTTTAGGGTTTAGGGTTTAGGGTTTAGGGTTTAGAGTCGGCAGTGGCCAGGATCAAGGAGGTCCTGTAGCAGAGAGAACAGGGATGAGCAGCTGAGCTGGGCTGGGGGTTTTGGGGTGGCTTTTGTGTGCGTTGCCTAGGAGACCCGTTTAATTGAGGTGTATTTCCAGCTGTTCTGGGGTACAAGAAACTAGACATCAATCAATTGCTCTACCCTGGGGAGGGTCAAGGGTTTTAGGGTTTAGGGTTTAGGGTTTAGGGTTTATGGTTGGGGAATACACGGGTGTGGTTCGAGCTGCGAGAGGGAAGGGGCCGAGGTGTTGACGCGCATCGGGATGTGGCCAAGAAGTGCCTCTCCAACGGGTCTGCTCCTCGGAGTTTACTGGTTTAGGGTTAGGGTTCAGGGTTGAGGGTTTGGTATCTTCGACCTTCCACCCTGAACACTCCTACGCTCTAAGCCTTACTTTCCAATTTCGGTATGTAAGGAACACCTGTGAATCTTATGTCAATCCTTTTGAGCCTTCTAAAGACCTGACAAAGGGGCCTACCTCCTGACACTTGGCTTCTTCAGGGCCCTCAGTGACCTACGAGAATAAGGGCTCCCCGTCTGCGAGCTTTCCGTTGTGTGACCTTCCCTCGCCCTTCCCCCCGCCCGCCCCCCCGCCCCCCCCCGTCCGCATGCCTATTGCAGACATCCTCTCACCCACACCCGAAACGCCAATATCGGCCGAACTGCCGAGGTTGAGCATCTCGGTGGTTCCTGGCGGTGAGCGCGAGCAGCTTCTCGCACAGCAGCTGCCTCATTGCCACCTTAAACCCTAAACCCTAAACCGGGGCGGGGTACACTCTCCCGCAGTGCCCTGTGCACCCTTAGGGCCTCTGGTTCCGAGATCCTCCGCGCCCTGCCTCTGATTCCCCTTGCGGCCACTGGGTTTAGGGTTTCGGGTTTAGGGATCAGGGTTTCGGGTTTAGGGTTTAGGGTTTAGGGTTTAGGGTTTAGGGTTTAGGGGTTTGGGAAAGCCAACAGAAACCCCAGAACCTCCAAATTCTACAACCCTGCTAGGGCCCTTCCGGGGGCTCTAACACAGTGTGGCCTCATATATTAGGGTACGAAACCATTTCCACCCTAAACCCTAAACCCTAAACCCTAAACCCTAAACCCTAAACCCTAAACCCTAAACCCTAAACCCTAAACCCTAAACCCTAAACCCTAAACCCGAACCCCCCTTACATCGCGGAGGCGAGGCAAAGTTGAACAGCTGGTCCTATCTCATCGACAGGCCTGGGGTGTGTAGGTTGACCAGTAGGGGTTACCTTGAAGGCTGGGTTTAGGGTTTAGGGTTTAGGGTTTAGGGTTTAGGGTTTAGGGTTTAGGGTTTAGGGTTTAGGGTTTAGGGTTTAGGGTTTAGGGTTCGGGTTTAGGGTTCCTTGTGTAGGGCCTAGGGTTTAGGGCTGAGGGTTTTGCAGCTCACACATTTTTAGGGATCTCGGGCATGAGGCAGGGCAGAAGGGGTCGCGGGTTTCCTTTGAGAGCTTTTGCGGGTTCGTGTTGAGGGCATTAGGGCCTGCAGGATCTGAAGCGGGGCGTGCATAGCGACTGGGGTTTTGGTTGGTAAGGCTTGTACCGTTTAACCCTAAACCCCAAACCCCAAACCCCAAACCCTAAACCCTGCACTAAAGATCTTCAGGCTCAGGGCTATGCGATGTGCATCAGAGCTGGCAGGGATTCGTCCGCTTGGCCCTCCAGCACGGGGTGCCGTTGGCCCGGCCTGTCTTGGAGCTGCCCTTCGGGCTTAGGGTTTAGGGTTTAGGGTTTAGGGTTTAGAGTTTCGGATCCCAATGCGCCCTGTTATCATTTAGGAACTGTAGACCTTCAGTTACCTTCTCACTTCTCAACTCTGAGAATTGGGTACGTAGTGGGATGTAGGGGTACTGGGCCATTAGAGCTGCTGCATTCGGGAAGGCTCTTTCTGGATACGTAGGGTTGTAGAGACCCCAGACAGAAGGGCCACTTAAACCCCCTCTTGCCTGCGACGCCCTGGACTGCGTAGCTTCGAGTCATCACTGGCTGGAACAGGGCCATGAACCTAAACCCCCAACAAAGCCCTGACGCTCGCTATCGCTGTGACTAGGACCCAGAGTAGGCCCTGATTCCTTGTTTTAGGTTTAGCCTCCCTTATAAGCCCCTCTAGATCAAAAAAGGGGCACCCTTTTTCCTCCGGGTTACCCTTGGGTCTGCCTTATACACCCTCTAAATCAAAAAGGGGCACCCCTTTTACACCTGGTTTCTGTTGTGTCTAGGTGAGGTGAGTTTCCAAAGCACTGCGGCCATGGCTCTGGATCTTCGCGGGCCCATTTGTGAAGAGCAGAATGGAGAGCCAGTGGTGTCCAGGCGGCCGGGGACACTTAGGGAGCATTCAGAACTTGCATAGGGGTCGGAGAGTTACGAAGAATATTCCCGTATGGTCCCTATATTGTTTTACTAGAATACCCCCTGAACCCTATTCTAATTATTCAGGCCCCCAAATTAATCCTTTCCCCTTTTACTAAATGCCCCCCTAATTGTAAAAAACACATTCCGGAAAATCCTCCCGAAACCTTTTAAACCCTATTCCGAATTAGGGGGGGGGAGGGGCGGGTTCAGGCCTCCAATAAACCCCTCAACACCAATAAAACCCTCAGAGGGTTTGGGGTTGGGGGTCTAGGGTTTAGGGCTTAGGGTTAAGGGTTTAGGGTTCTTCAACCCTACATGGCATTTGGATAAAAACACCCCCTAATTATAAAAACACATTTCAGTTTCCTATTAGGGGGGGGGGGGGGGGGGCCCCCCCGTTTAATATTAAGGGGAAGGGATTAGACTGAGACCCAAGAGAGTTTAGGGGTAACCCTGAAGCCTCTTCTTTTTCTTTTCTTTGTGGTGCCTTTACTGTAACTTTGGATCCTTAGCCGTATTGGTTTTTTGGGTTTCTTAGTAAGGCAGCTAAAATTAATTTTACAGCTACCTCGTAAGTGCAGCCAAGTTTTTGTTCTTTCTACACAGCGAAAAGTCAGAAGTCACAGAGAAGCTTCATCCCTGAAAGCGTGCAGGCAGGATGTAACCGAACCTCGAACCCTAAACCTTTAGATGAGGGCCATGGGCTTCGCAACCCTAGACCCTAAACCCTGAACCCCAAACCCCAAACCCTAAACCCTACACCCTAAACCCTAAACCCCAAACCCTAAACCCTAAACCCTAAACCCTAAACCCTGGAGGCCGAAGGCGCCTTACTCCCAGAAGCTTGCCGCGCAGAGGCTCAGCAGCAGCCAGAAACGAGAGGGGGCCCATGTGGCCCCCCTTGTTTTGGGTTTTGGGTTTAGGGTTTAGGGTTTAGGGTTTAGGGTTTAGGGCTTAGGGCTTAGGGTTTAGGGTTCCGCTTCCCCTCCTGGACCTTTCAAAGCAAGCAAGGTTGAGGGCTTAGGGTTGTTAGTTGTTAGGGTTCAGGGTTAGAGGGTTTAGAGGGTTTAGAGGGTTTAGAGGGTTTAGAGGGTTTAGAGGGTTTAGAGGGTTTAGAGGGTTTAGAGGGTTTAGAGGGTTTAGAGGGTTTAGAGGGTTTAGAGGGTTTAGAGGGTTTAGAGGGTTTAGAGGGTTTAGGACGAAGTACCTCTGGGATCTGGGAGCTTCTGCTGTATTGTTGCACTACTCGACCCAGAAAAGCTCTGCAAACTCCGCTGCCTTGGACCAGGAGGAGGCGCCATCATTCGGGGAAGGGCCCTAAACCCTATACCTCAAGCCCTAAACTCTAAACCCTAGTTAAACCCTAAACCCTTTTGATCCCTAAATGCGGTTCCTAAAGACAAAAACCGTAGCAAAAGGTCTCTAGGCATCAAGAACCATCAGATCAAACCGTCATAGGACACAGTCGGACACAAGGTTTATACCGTTGTTCTTGGTGAGTATGTGTAGGCTGTCCTTTTGGATATCCCTACGCCCTGAACTGCCCTAAACCCCGAATTCCCTAAATCCCCAAAGCCCTGAACCCTAAACCCCTTATTCCCTAAAGCCCCTAAGTCCCTAAATCCCGAACCCCAAACCAAGGGGGGGATGAGCCTGATGTCTCCTTGGGCCTGTGTTGAGGTTTAGGGGTTAGGGGTAAAGGGCTTGGGGCTTAGGGCCTCAGGGGTTAGGGCTGTTAGGGACTAGGGTTCAGGGTTTAGGGTTTAGGGTTCAGGGATTACGGGTGTGACCACGGAGAAGGGTTTAGAGCATTTTGGGAGTTGGGGCTTTGCGGGTTGCAGGGCTTCAGGCCTTGAGGGATGCTTGTCATCGAAACGAGGGGTTGCAGCTTTTGGGGCATCCTTTTGCTTCAACATCTGTAAGCCCTAATCCCTCAACCCTACACCCTAACACCCAAACCCTAAACCCGAAACCCTAAACCCTAAACCCTGTTCTTTCGTTTTCGATCTTCAGCCCTACATGCATCTGCGCCACTGAGGCTGGCGGTGGCCATGCCCGAGATGGGCTGGAGCGCCTGAGGCTTAAGGAGCCCCTGCGGCCAGGTTTAGGGTTTAGGGTTTAGGGTTTAGGGTTTAGGGTTTAGGGTTTAGGGTTGAGGGTTGAGGGTTTAGGGTTGAGGGTTTAGGGTTTAGGGTTTAGGGTTAGGCTTCAGGATTTAGGCTGCTGGCGAGCTCCAGTACATGCACATCCCATTCTCCCAAACAACACCCAAGAAGCCCACTCACAAACCCTGCCGCCCGCCGCGAATTCTTGAACCCCTCTAAACGTGTAAGCGCAACTTCCTCAACCTGCAGAAAAAAGAGACTCCTTCTGCCCAACCCTAAAGCCTAAAGCCTAAAGCCGAAAGCCGAAAGCCGAAAGCCGAAAGCCGAAAGCCTAAAGCCTAAAGCCTAAAGCCTAAAGCCTAAAGCCTAAAGCCTAAAGCCTAAAGCCTAAAGCCTAAAGCCTAAAGCCTAAAGCCTAAAGCCTAAACCCAAAACAAACCCTAAGCCCTAAGCCCTAAACCCTCGTCAAAGCTCGCCCAGATCTGCGAGCCGCTGTTTATGCCGCTGCTGCTGGAGCTTCAAGTCTGAGCCTCGGGGCGGTTTTAGGGGCGACAAGGGTGCACAAGGGCTTCTTGGTTTAGGCCTAAACCCAAAACAGCCCTAAACCCTAAACCCTAAACCCTAAACTCCTAAACCCTAAACCCTAAACCCTAAACCCTAAACCCTTGCTTCTGAGTTCAGTCAGCTTTAGCTGCATCCATGCGCGCGGAAAGCTGAGGTTCCAGATTCCTTGTTGGCCATCTGCTGGGCCCGGCTCCTAAGGCTTCAGATGTCGGGCTTTCAGGGTTTAGGGTTTAGTTTTTAGGGTTTAGGGTTTAGGGTTTAGGGTTTAGGGTTTAGGGTTTAGGGTTTAGGGTTTAGGGTTTAGGGTTTAGGGTTTAGGGTTTGTTTGCATGCATGACTCTTTTGCTCTGTACCACTAGCTTACTGTTGTATAGCAATAGTGCATTCTGCTTCATCTGAAATATTATTCACATAGTATGTTACTCTCATATCATTATATGAATGATTATAGCATCCCTGCGCCCCCTAAACCCTAAACCCTAAACTCTAAACCCTAAACCCTAAACTCTAAACCCTAAACCCTAAACCCTAAACCCTAAACCCTAAAGCCCAAACCCTAAACCCTAAACCCTAAACCCTAACTTTGCATCCCACCAGCTCGAGGTGATCAGCCCCGCGGCAGGCCTCCTCTTGCAGCCTTGTGTCGGTGCTCTGAGCGACAAGCACGGAAGGACCCCCCCCCAAAAAAAAAAAAAAAAAAACCTAACCCTTAAACTTGGGATGTTTTTCCCTGAAACTGACAGTCCTTAAGAGTAATAAGGGGTACAGATAGTCCCTGTTAAGGACTGTTAGACCCTAAACGCGTGATTTGGGCCACTTTGGGCCTTCTAGGACATGGCACACCGGTTGCTAGAAGCTAGTTGACCTAGCTGATGTAAGAGAGGCTCGTGCACATCTCTGGTGCAAGGTGCCACGGTCAGGGGATCCCTAAACCCTAAACCCTAAACCCTAAACCCTAAATGTGTGCAGGAGGCCCTTCATTCTCCTCTTTGGGTTGATGGCGGTCGTGGGCCTTACGGCCGCTTTGCCATGTCAAGACCTGTGGGAGATCAGGACACCTATAACCCAAAGAGCCGAATACCCCTTAATTAAGGAATATACCTTAAATCATATTAAGGATCCCTTTATAAATTAAGGTATATTCCTTAATTAAGGGGTATTGGGCTCGTTGGGAATCAGAGCCCCTGGTGGTATCCTCGCTTTCTGTGTTGTAGCTTGGTTCCATGTATCAAGGGCCCCCTGGTCTCTTAGGTCCTAGGTTGCAGACTCCTGTACGAAGAGTGGCGAGTTTTTTCTGCCCAAGGCGACTACGCCGGACTTTCTGTGTGTGAATATAGTGATCTATCCAGAGGCCGTTATGTTTGTTTTTGTTTTTTAAACCCTAAACCCTTAACCCTTGTAAACCCTAAACGGGGGGAGGCGGGCTTGGTCTCAAAGGAGTAGCCTCAACCCTTATAGCCCCTTAAACCTTTGTGGCCCACCTGGCATGGAGTGCACACGTCTTGCCAGGTAACACCGCTTCTGGCCGAAGTTGCTGACAAGGCATGTCAATGAGTTGGATGTATGGCAAGAAGCATTGTCTCCCAAAAACTGGGGAAAGCTTAGGGTTTAGGGTTTGGGGCTCAACATATGTAGTGAACTTGAATGAGCTCACTGGCTGCGAGGCCAACTCTCATCATGTGATTGGTAAAAGGGCACAGTAGTTCAAAATTAGGACATCGAGAAGCACGCAAGGAGGGCTGCGCTTTGGCAACCAATTGTTCTGTACAGACATCCGAAAGGCCTCTAAGACACTTGCGAAGCCTCACCGAGCCCACCACAGCTGTGGAAAAATGCACAGGGCCGGATGCCCCCCCTGCAAGAAGTCCAGCCCCTCAATTCCTAGTTTCGAGGGGGAGAGGGGGCGGGGGTCCTGGACCACGAGCCCTAAGCCTCATAGCCCCAAAAAGCATTGTCCCAACAACCTCCACGACTACATTGCAGGCTAGGGTTTAAGGCACCTTGCAACAACACAGGGTCCTAAACGAGTTGTCAAGATGAACCCCTCAACATATATGTTTATAGAAGCAGAAGATCCAGTACACAAACCTCCCATGGATGAACCTCAGCCTGTCCAACTCCTAAAACAAGTTAATTGCCATTGATCTAACGTTTAGGGTTTGGGGTTTAGGGTTTAGGGGTTTAGGGTTTAGGGGTTTAGGGTTTAGGGTTTAGGGTTCTGATGAGGCTGTGGCGCGGCCTTTGGCCATGGTCGCCTTTGGCTTTGCAGACGTCAGCCGGGAGCCCAGGATGCCCATGCATCGACCGGGATCATGGGTTCTGCTACTACCCCCCTCTACACCGGTTTAGGGTTTAGGGTTTAGGGTTTAGGGTTTAGGGTTTAGGGTTTAGGGCTACCCCCCCCCCCCCCCCCCCCCCAGGTTCCCCCCATACTTAAGGTAATTTAGGGATAGTCAAGCCTATATTTGAGGCTGAAAACTAGGTTCTCCCCATACTTAAAGTTATTTAGGGAGAATTCAGCCTACTTAAGGTTTTTTAAGGGCAACCTAGGGGGGGGGGGGGGGTAGTATAGAGGGGGGTAGTAGGGGAACCCATGACCGGGACAGACCCCGAAAAATAGCCCCCGAAATAGTTGCAAACCTCCACAGAAACACTTTGCACTTTTGTCACAGCTTTGGAAGAGTTAGATCAGTTCACTTATACACATGTGATTTTGCGTTGAATTTCATCAATCTGAATGGCTGTGACAATTGGGATTCCCATAAACTGAGGACCCCCAAGAAGGTACCCCAAATTTCTGAGTTCCCGTGTGATGCTGTGTCTTGTCATCTTCCCATCTTTGTTCCCAAGGTCATGATATGCTGGTGACGCCTACACGGGCCCAGATGAACGACGTGTTCGACCCTGACACGGCAGAGACACGGTGCGCGGTGGTTGGAGGCATTGCAAAGACCTTCGCTATGCTTTGTGTTATATTGTTGTCAAGAGAAGCAGCTTTCTTGGTAGTGGCAGCCGCCGCATTTCTAGCAACAGCCTCGCAGCTGCTTGGGCGAAAAGAAGATGCGGTTGCGGAGAGCGACCGCCTCGCTGAACTTGAGACCGCAGATGCGCGAAGACCTCGCATTTATCCAGTCGGTTTTTGGCAGTTGTGGCTGCTTCAGTGTGCCGGCTGGCTGTCGGTGTGTACCTGGAGCTTCTATTTCACAAGTGTGTGGGCAGAAGTGAAGGGAGCCCGCTCGAGTGCCAGTGCCGGATTTGAGCCGGCCGTGCGAGAAGCCACTGGCTACTTGCTGCTGGGCTCCTTTGTCTTCCTGGCGGCAGGGGGTTTCTTGCACCGGTTATCAGGGCCGTCAGGGATCTGTAAAGATGAGTGGGTGGCGCTGTTTGCATCTGTTTTTGTCATGATGAGCACCCTCATTGCTTGTTGCCTGGCTCACTTAAACAGCATACTGTACTGGCTGGCAGCAGCTTTGGTGGTTCTTGCCATGCCTGTCGCCTATCAGATACTTTCGAACACACCGTTCAAGTGGTTGGAGAGCCAGCCAGGGTTCGACGCCACACAGCGAGGTTGGCTTACAGGCATCTTCAACACCACGCTGGCGGTGGCACAGGCCTTCACGGCCGTCCTCAGTGGTCCCATTGTGGCGGCAGCCGGGGGTAGACTTTGGGCTGCATATGCCGCCGCAACTCTCTTCGATGCCCTGGTTCTCCTCCTTGTGCTGGTCATGAGGCTCGTGACGCCCATGTCACCCTCTCCGCGCGATCTCGGCGGGAATCGGCGATGAGCAGGTCGAGGGGAGGGTATGCGAGGGGTCGTAGTCCCTTCGCGAAGCATCGCCCGGCAGCCCAGCACTGGCACGTGGAGAAGGAAGAACACCCCAAATTCCGCGAAGATGAACCTCAACTAATTACGACTGGTGGAAGCCATGCTGGAGAGTGGCGCCATGCGTCGCGCTGCGGAGGAAGCAGAGGGACAGGAACTGCACGCGCTGCCGACCGCAGGTGGAAGAACCCCGTGCCATGGGCGCTGAATCCGACTGCGAAGCTGGTGCTGCCTAATTACATTGTGCGTCTGCGCCCGCAACAAGCGACCAGTGAGTTGCCAAGGGGCATCCCCACTCTCCCTGCACAGATCTCTAACCCAAGAATTCCAAAGCTCACCCACGAAACTCAACCCAACACACCTAAGCCACCTGAACTGAGACCTTCGACCCCAAGATTTGTTTAAACAAGTAGCAGTATACCTCTAAACAAACCCCTGTGTAAGCCTACATCTGCTTCCCCAAGCCAGGATTGTCCCAGTCTATGTCTTTGGCGAGGCGCAGCTGCCAGCGCCCGAGCTTTGAAGTCTACAAAAACTACCTAAGAGTGGCACAGACAAAGGATGTACTATACTATACTATACTATACTATACTATACTGTAGTGTACTATACTGTGCTATATGCTTTACTATACAAGTACGATATACTATCCTAGACTATCGTATACTATACTACACTCGACTATACTCCACAAAGCACCCTGTGTAGCTAGCTGGCTCCGCAAACCTGAAGCACAGGTTCAAGCAGTCCCGCTTCCTCATGGGCCTTAGATCCTGGGTGCAGCGCACACTAGGCGCCAGCCTCAGCTGTTCTTTGTTTGGTTTTTCTTTGTCGCTTTTTTGACAGGAGGAATAGCAATATCCATAAGCGCAACGAGCATAGTGATGATACTTGCCGTCGTCGTGCCCGTTGACAGCGCCATCGCCATCAGCAGCAGCATCGTAGGAGTTCATGCTCTTCGGCACCCTAAACCCTAAACCCTAAACCCTAAACCCTAAACCCCAAACCCTAAACCCTAAACCCTAAACCCTAAACCAAAGTTAAAGTGCGCCAGGCCTCCTTTGTTTGCTTCCTGAACCCCGCCCATCAGCCCTGACAAGCCGGAGCTTAGGGTTTAGAAGCCTGGTAAAACCCTAAACCCTAAACCCTAGCCCCTACAAGCCTCTACGAGCGCCTAAGAACCTTAAACCCTAAAGCCCTGAAAACGCCAAATCCCGAAACCATACGAGAATTCGGGAAGTAGGCACCTTAAAAATCCGGGGCTAAAGCTTAACCCTAAACCTGAAGCCCTAAAGCCCTAAAGCCTGAATCCTACACCCTAACCCCTACTTCTCAAATGTCCCTGCAAAGAAGCTCCTAGGATGCCCAGTAGTACCCTTATTCCCTTTTTGGTAGGTTTAGGTTCCCTTATAAACCCCTTTAAGCCCCTAAACCCTAAACCCGAAACCCTTTTTCATCCTAGGTTACTGGGCAACCTAGGCTCTAAGCAAGCCCCGCAGGTGTCGCCCTTGTCATGCCTTACGGGCCCCGGGGTCTGCCAAGACCTCAAGACTGGTTTAGGGTTTAGGGTTTAGGGTTCGAGGGCTTTGGGTGGTTTGTGCGTTAAGGGTTTAATTTGGGTATTTAGGGTTTATAAGGATTTCGGTGAACCAGGGTATTTGGGTTTGGGGGGGTGGGATCGAGAAGAAAAACGGTTTGGGGCATTTGCAGCGTTGTATAAGTGCATTTCGGTTTGAAAGGATTTGGAGAAATAAGAGTGTTGCGGGCTTCGTTTTTAGAGCAATGAGGCGCAGTGGGGCCTTGTTCCTAGGGTATGTAGGGCGTAGGGTATAGGGTAAACGGGGGCTTAGAGTGTTCTGGGACTGTTAGAGTCAATAGGAAAGCTTGGGCTGACCTCGAGTTCCTGCACTAGGGCCGTACGGGAATGTCCGACAATTGGAGGGGTTGGGGGTCCTTTTCGGGGTTCCTAGAACTTAGATGAGAGTATTCGGTACCCCTGTTTGGAGAAAGATCCCAAAAACTTAACGCCCGCTTCATATTCACGGGCTATATTAAGCGCCACCAGTCCATTAAAACCCGATTAAGATACCACCAAGGGAAGCAACCTGAGACGCGAGAACCCTTAAGGCTTAGGACCTAGCAGTTTATGGGTGCCCGATACTGGGGATCGGAGGCCCCCGGACTCAAGGTTTAGGGTTTAGGGTTTAGGGTTTAGGATTTAGGGTTTAGGGTTTAGGGTTTAGGGTTTAGGGTTTAGCGTTTAGGGTTTCGGGTTTAGGGTTTAGGGTTTAGGGTTTAGGGCACCCAGGCCATGGCAAACATTTTCGGATCCCGTGCGGATCGTGGTGGGAAAGCCGCTCCCCATGCCGAGGACGGGCGTGGGGTTTAGGGTTTAGGGTTTAGGGTTTAGGGTTTAGGGTTTAGGGTTTAGGGTTTATGGGGTTTCTAGCGGCTTTCTAGGCTTTCGTAGGGTTTCTGGGGTTTCTGGGGTTTCTAGGGATTTCTAGGGATTTCTAGGGTTTCTAGCTTTGGTCCCAGGGTTGACGTGGCCTGCAAACCCCAGCTGCTCTCGTGCTCAGGATGCCGGACCCCAGCAAGGCCGACGTGACGGAGCACCATTCCAAGTCCGATTCCCAGTGGTTTAGGGTTTCGGGTTTGGGGTTTAGGGGTTGGGGTTTAGGGTTTAGGGTTTGGGGTTTAGGGTTTAGGGTTTAGGGGTTTCATGGGGTTGCAAGGGTTTGGGTTTGTAGGGCTTGTAAGGGGTTTTAAGGGTTTACAGGGTTTACAGGGTTTACAGGGTTTTGCAGGTTTTTTTCCTGGGGCTTTTCTGGACACTGGGGAGAGGGCAGAACGGCGAGTACCTAGCAGGGGGGGCTCCAAATCCAGGTACGTGCAAGAGCTGACCCAGCTCTTCGAAAGGCACAAGGCGGGCGTTTCAGGAAAGTGCTCTCTGCCTTGGGCTCCTGATCCTGCTCAGCACTGTCTTCTCCCCAAAAGCCCTGCTGATAAATCACCCTAAACCCTAAACCCTAATGTTGCACCCGCTTTAGTGGATGGGACCGCTATTATGCGATGTTCCGAAAATCTTATACAGAACCCCCCATTGTTTAGGGTGGTTCACAATTATGCGATGTTGTCCCGGCTGGGGTTGAAGGGCGGGGGGCCGGGGAGCCAAAAACTAAGAACAAGTTTTGAATAAGAAACTCCGGGTTTTTTGGTGTCCAGCCTTCTTTAACTTCCTTGTAAATTTTCATTACGAAACAGGCCCCCAAACAATTTTCCAAGGGAGTAGCCCACGAGCTGCCCTGATTCGCTTTAGCAAGTTGTTTCGGTGGTCCGCATTAATGCGGAGCCCCTGCGACCGTGGAGCTACAAAACCTGGAAAGCTTAGACCCTCAAGCTTCAAGGCTTCCCCCTCAACCCTCGACCCCTAGCCGCCCTACCCCCAGCCCCCGTCCCAGCCCCATCCCACATTATTAAGGATCCCCGAAAACCCCAAAATTGTTTGGGGGGGGGGGGGGGGGACCCCCCCACACTAAGCGAGTCCAATATTAAACCCTAAACCCTAAACCCAAAACCCTAAACACTCAAAGCCTCTTCGCAGAGGCAAGCGCCGGATATCCAGAATCCACATTGCAGATCGCCGTGGGCCAAGATGGGGGTTTCCGAAACGGGGGTGCCCTGTTTTTGTGGCTCCTAGTCCGATAATCAGGATTACCTATTTCGGGAAATGCTCAGATCTAGTAGGGACGGGAGTTGGATGGACATTTGCATACTTGCGCTGATTTTGAGACCTCGGCACCCTTAGGGCTTAGGGCTGAGGGCTTAGGGCTTAGGGCTTAGGGTTTAGGGTTTAGGGTTTAGGGTCTAGGGTGTAGGGTTTAGGGTTTAGGGTTTAGGGTTTAGGGTGAAGATTGAGTTGACCACTCAGGTTTGAGAAGGCCCTGCGCCGGGACCGCGTGGAGAAAAGTCTGCGCGGAATCTTGTCACGTCTGCCGTTCCCCCCTGTCAGAGGCGCCAGAGGTCCCCCTAAACCCTAAACTCCAAACCCTAAACCCTAAACCCTAATTGAACCCGAAAGCCTAAGCCCTAAACCCTATAAACCCTAAACCTTAATCCCTAAACCCTAAACCCTAAACCCTAAACCTTTAGAGCAGCTTCTCCGTTAGCGCTCGCCCGAACTGATGGCCCAACGATGTGGAAGCAGCCGCGGGAACAGTCGGCTTTAAGAACCTTACTTGGAGGTTCAGGGTACTTAGTAACCCATGATAAGTGTAGTTATAACGCGTCCAGAAGCTCCTTAAGTATCCGAATAGGGTTATAATTGGGTCATAGAAGTACGGATATATTGGGTTACTAAGTTACTAAGTACCATGAACCTCCAAGTAGTGGTGTGACATCCTGCCTTGTCCCAGCATTTTTACTTCACAGCCTGGCACGTGTCCTTCCCCTCGATCGCCAGACCAGCACCGTCCATCAGAGACAAACCCTCAAACCCTAAACCCTAAACCCTAAACCCTAAACTCCATTGTCGGATTCTTCGCAAGCCATGGACGGCCCGCCAGAAAACGATGAAGCCCCGAGCACCAGCGGTAAAGGCAAGGCCAAGGGCAAAGCACCCACAAAGTCTGCCGACACCAAAGGTGGCAAGAAAGGGGCAGGAAGCTAGGCCCGTGGCACATTTTTTCTTTTTTCCCTCTTATTGGGTCTCAGAGGATCATACTCAGGGACATTTTCGATTTTCCCTTATATTGGGGTTAAGAGGATCATATTCAGGAATCTTTTTCAGAGGGTTTTTAAGCGAAACCTAAACCCTTTAAACCCCAAATCCTAAACCCTAAACCCTAAACCCTAAACCCTAAACCCTAAGGGCCATCCTAGGAAAGGGCAAGGGCGCACCGACCCTTTCCAAGCCTCCGATCGCGCCGGCGAAGGCGATGAAGCCGCTGTGGTGGAAGCGGCTGCTTTTTGGCACCGACTTGCAGCCCGGTGCCATCTGGGATACTTGGTGGCCCAGTGGTACCCTGTACCCTTTTTTTTGGGGTTCTGGGTTCCCTTTATAAAGTAAGCAACCCCCGAAAAGGATGCCCTTATTCGAATATGGACAATGGGACCCTAAACCCTAAACCCTGAACCCTAAACCCTAAACCCTAAACCCTAAACCCTAAACCCTAAACCCTAAACCCTAAACCCTAACCCCTAAACCCTAAACCCTAAACCCTGAAGGGTTTAAGGGCCATCCAAGGATAGGGTGCGTGACGAAACCGCAAGCCTGCCGGTGGAGCTGCTGGAGCGGCGGTTCGGTAAGGCGGCCGTCTCTGCTCCGAAGCTTGGTAAGCTGAGTGGTGCCCTCTTTCTTGCCATTTTAAGAAGTGGGGGTTTACGATAATAAGGGACCCCTAGCAAAAAAGCCAAGTAGTAGGATTCCCAAGTATAGTAAGGAGCCCAACAAGGTATCCCTAATTTCGGAAAACCACCAAGTAGCCAAACCCACCCCGCCCCCCCTCCCCAAAAAAGGGATCGCACCCTCACTACGAATTTGGTTCTAGGCAGGCCCATGGGACATTTTATATTTTCCCTTGTTGGGTTTCAGAGGATCAATAATAATAAGAGGATCCTAAACCCTAAACCCTAAGCCCTAAACCCTTCTTAGGAGTATCTTTCAGAGGATTTTAAGGGCCATCCTAGGGTTCTATACTGGGCTACCAAGCACTTACTGCTGGTTAGTAGGGAGGGAGGGAATGAGGCGCCCTATAGCCCCCTACCTTTTAAGGGATTATTTAGGGTACCTCATTCCCTGATTCCCTATTAACCGACAGTAAGTATACACCCCCCTTCAAGGGATTGCATAGGGTACCTCATGCCCTCCTTCCCTACTAGCCACCCTAAACCCTAAACCCTAAACCCTAAACCCTAAACCCTAAACCCTAAACCCTAAACCCTAAACCCTAAACCCTAAACCCTAAACCCTAAACCCTAAACAGTAAGAGTAAGGAAGGGGACTGCTGTATCTGCGGGCCCGGCAGATGTGATCCGGATCCGCACCGATGCTGCACCTGGGGCCGCCAGCTCTTTCCTCTTAAGCCCTATAACCCTAAACCATAAACCCTAAAACCCTATAAACCCTATATACCCTATAAACCCTATAAACCCGAAAACCCTATAAACCCTAAACCCTCACCCTAAAACCTAAACTTTAGACCCTATAAACCCTAAACCCACTCTAGGGAGCCCAATGCCCCTGACCGAGACAAAGCCTCGATAAGGAGCCCTTAACCTTTTTCTGGGGGGGCGGGGGGGGGGGGGGGGGGGGGGGGGGGGGACCTTATTCTGAGTTTCTTTGATGAAGGAGGAGGAAGCCCGAAATGGCAACCAAGACCTGGGCTTGTAAAGGTCTATTACTTCGTCAGGGGCTGTGTCCCCGAAAGGGGGATGATTGCCCTCGCTATGCTACGACCATCGGGCTTTCTGGTACGCGGAGCGTAAGCCTGATGGGCCCTGTCAAGCATTGTAAGCTTGTCAAGGTACATCGAAGCCCGAGCGCCTGCGAATCCCTTCCTTTCCTTTCGGGGCTTGCAGCAGGTAATGCCGGTGCTGGCCAAAAGTAGGTGGTGTTCACCTACAGCCAAGAAACAGAACTAAGAGTCACTACGTCAGGCAGAGAGAGACTGTACAGCTCAAGTGCAAGAAGACGGTCAAGGTGACTGGTGGGCCGCCGCAAGGCGCAGACGACCCGGGCGCGGCAGAGAGCCAGGGAGAGCCGGACCGCCGTCACGTAGCTGGAAGAAAGCCGCAGCGCCAGTACAGCGGGACACGACAGTGTGAGAGGCCCCCTCCCTTACGACCACCTGGACCGAGAGGTCCGCATCGACACGCTGCAGAACGGCCCTGGCGGCCGCGCAGGGAAGCCCCTTCCACCAAAGGGCTCCGGAGCTGCCAATGGCCTTGACAACCTGTCGAAGTGTAAGGCTGTGCCTGATGACGTGCAGTCGATGGACTGTGCAGGCCTGCTTGGAGGCTGCTTGGCGGGGGCGATCCAGGAGGTCAGGTGCGCGCAGTTCGGCCTCTCTCCGAAGGTAGCGGCAGGCGTCCCATACGGAGCGGGACCAGGCGGGTTCATGCAGGAGGACGCACCACAAGGGCCACAGTGCCGTCCAATCAGCACAGGCCTCCCAGAGGGCCGGCTCCTGCAGGCCTGGCCAGCGGGGAGAGGGTGTGTCGTAGGCTTCATCGAAGGACCAGGTACGTGTCCAAGGCAGAGGAACATGGGGAAGAGGAACGCCAAGCGGTTCCAGCCGTGCGGCTTCTTGTGGCTGCTCACCTGCAAGGGGCTGGCTCCCCGGGAGGGCCGGGGCATTATCTTGTTCCTGCCGTCTCCATTGCTCCTGCTCAGTCGCAAGCTCCTGTGGGGTGGCGTAGCGGTCTTGATCCGTGGCCAGTCGCTGGACTGGAGTGGGCAGGAGCGGCCCATGCACCCTGAAGGGAGGAACACGCTGATGCCCAAGCTGTCCTGTGCGCTTGGTGGCAGCGCCCGGCACATACAGAGCCCCCACCACATGCCGTAAGCCAAAACGGCAAGCATCATGGTGCTCGATGTGGTATCGGAGGCGGGTCGTGGAGTGGAACTCAAAGAGACACCATCTGCAGACGGAGTCGCAGACGTACTGCATGCTGTCAGAGATCTGTCCGTGCTTGCGGTGGCGGTGGGTAGCCAGTGCGTGCTTGGAGGGCAGGGTCTGACCGCAGGAGCTGCATGTCAATTGAGTCGGGATGCCGATGACTCGCCGTGCTGGCTCACTGGTGCTGTGCCAAAGGGCCTTAACGGCGCGGAGGAGTGTACCGTGGCGACTGAGCCTTTGGCAATGCTTGAGGAGCCTGGGCGCGTCTCTGCTGACGGCGGCGCGGAGCCCGCGGGCCAGGAGGCCAGGATCCAGGCCTGCGGCTACCCATACCGTCTTGACCGCGGCAACGATATCGGTCGCCCAACGGACATCTCTCAGCCAAGCTGCCTCGAAAATCTCCCAGACTAGCAGCGGTGCCTTTGTGCACAGTTGTATCAGCAGCCTGGTGCGGGCAATGATCAGAGCGTCTCCAGGCGACTGGACTGGCACGAGGACTTCGAGGCTGGCCCCGCTCACATGATGCTGCAGCTCCCATGTGAGCCACAACTTCCGACGCACGCGGTCAACAAAACCGGTAAGAGCGGCCAAACTTTGTGCATGCGGTGCCAAGGCCGTGGCCAAGCTAGAGTACGCTGCTGGGAGCAGGCGGCCCGAAACCCAGGCAACCCTCAATGGCCACGGGAGTCTGGGCGACGAAAGAAGTGGACCGGCTGCTGTTTCAGCGCTGCGGCCTCTGCTAACAGAGTGCTCCACATCCCGTCGCCCGGTGTCACGAGGCAGCTGGGGCACTCCGAGATACTTGTACTCCGGGGCAAAGCGAATCCGTTGACCTTGCTCCAAGTGGAGGCATGCGTCGCCTTGAAGCAGAGTGCCTCTGACCCCCGCGGCCCCAGGCCCTCTCGGGTCGATGAGGAGCTCGGTCTTGCCGGGGCCGAGGTTGACCCTAAGTCGGAATGCACGAAAGATAGTTAGGGTAATCGTTGCCAAACGACGACATGTGTCAGGGTTGCAGCAGGCACATCAGCTAGCACAACCAAGTCGTCGGCCCATGCAATAGGGCAGACTTGTGCCACCTGGTATCCTAAAGCCAGCGAGAGGCCGTGGTGGGCAATTCCTGCTTGGGAAAGCTGGTCAGTGAGGTGCCGAATCAGACATGCCATTACTGCGCCAAAGAGGATATCTGCTAGGCCGTCGTCCGGCCGACTGCCCCTAGCGGCGAGGATGGGATTCTTGTCGCCACGAAGAAGCCAGCTCGAGCCAGCGACACAGTCCTGCAGCAAGCAGGTTTCCGCAGGTGATAGACCCAACTGATCTAAGGCTCCAGCGTCCAGCAAGGACTGTAGCCAGGGGAGGATTTGTTGGCCCCGTGCTCGGCAAGCGTCCTCGCCGAAAAGCAGGCCTCTGTCGACTTCATAGAAGGCAGCTTGGACGTCAACGAACATGGCCGCGAGCGAGTGTCCGTTGCTCGCAGTCAGGCCGGTGGCAGCACGGTATGCTGTGAGTGCGTACCCGACGTGCATTCCGGGTTTGCCTCCCAGCTGGAGGGGCTGATACGATTGGACAAGGCGGCGTCCGACCGTGTTGCGAATGTGGCTGTGCCACAGTTTGGCAGCGCCATTGAGTAGGGCAATGGATCGATAGTTGGAGGGCAGGTGCGCGGGCCCTTTTTTATACAAGGCACAAACGATTGCATGCTTGAACTGTGGCGGCTCTCTGCCCTTAAGGGCCATCTTGGCCTGCAGGAGCCAGAGCCAGCGGCTCGCAGCTGCAGGCTGTGTTCTCCAGAGCCCGTTGCGAACCCCATCAGGTCCTGGGGCTTTGTCAGCCTTCTGCTTGCGGCATATGGCCTCGACGTCAGTGAGGCTGGGGACGGCCTGTACACAAGGGTGTCCTGGCGTCTGTTGCCACTCAGCATGCGTGTTTGCCAGTGCGGCAGGGGTCACAACTGTGCCGGCCTCTTGCTCACGGAATTGCTCCCGTAGTTGGGCCTGCGTAGCGAACCCTCCAGCGGCCTTGACACGTCTGCGGTCCGCGGCTCGACGGGATGCCCACCGGAGGCGAAGCAAGGCTTGGTCTGTGCGGCCAGTGGCATGCCAGCGCCCCGTAGCTGCAGCAAGGAGAGAGAGGAGGTGCCGGGCCTTATCTCTTCTCCCTAGAGTGTGTGCTCTCCTAGCCAGGCATCGCTCTTGTCGTGCCAACCGTGCAAAGAGGTGCCACGGTCGTGTCTGCTGCCTGGGGCGATGGTCTGGCCGCCTCCATGCCCGGAAGCATATGCGCAGCCACCTCCGGATAGCCTGCCGCCTCGCAGCTTCCTTGAGTGCCCGCACTCGCTTGAGCAGTCGCAGGGTGTTCCATGCCTCCCTACTAAGGTATGGCTGAGTGGGTCGCGCAACCGGACGCCGCGGCAGCCCCGCCACGGCCTTATCATAAGTGGACTGCAGGCATGCCACTTGCTCCGCGGGCGACATGCCGAGAAGCACCTCCCAGGGCGGCTGAACTCCCCAGACCTTGGGAGCTAGGCTAGCACACTCGACAGGGGAGGCCAATCGCCGGCTGACGCTTGGCGGTGTGGAGGGCATGGACAGTACCCCTTGGCTCGACAAGGGCATGTGATCCCTGGCACCCAGCAGGATGTCGAACTCCGGACATTGTCGGGTCTTGGAAAAGGTCCAGTGCTGCGCGGTTGTGAGCCAGTGGTCGAGCCGCTTCTGCAGACCTGAAGCATGCCTCCAGGTCCAACGTGGCCCGACGTGCACAGTTTCCAGAGTTGCTGGCGCTTGCAGGTTATGGTCACATATTAGCTGGAACATGCGCTCATCGCCCAGTCGCGGGTCCGCTCCTGAGACGAGACTTCCGACCCTTTCCTGCATTTCATCCGCATGTGTGAAATCCGCATTTGCATCGATGCCCACAAGGATAGCTGAACCTGCCGGAAACTCGCGTAGGCAGGTCGACAGTGCACCCCAGAATGCCCGAATCTCCGCCGGCGGTCGGTCGGCATGTGGTGCATGAGCCGCGACAATGACCACAGGTGGGCGCCTGCGAGCAGTGGAGACCGCAAGCAGACGGGGGGAGGAGTCATGGATCGTCCACGCCTCCAGTGTAGAGCAGTCCGGCAGCCAATCTGCTCTGACCCAGACCTCACACCCCCCTTGACCTGCTCGGTCTGCTCCCGAGCGCCAAGTCAGGAAGCTCCCTGTGGCCCAGCGGCCAGCGCGGGATCGGCATTCTTGCAGAGTCACTATGTCAGCCCGTAGCCGTTTCAGCTGTCGGCTGAGGTAGGCTCTGCGTTGGCCAGTGCCGGCCTTGTTGAAAAAGTGTGGAGTCACATCTTTGATAGTTTGGACATTGGCTTGAACCGCGCGAAAAGGGATCGTGTCAACGCGCTCCTGCCGATCGCCGTTCTCTTGGCAGTCCGGAGTGTTGTGTGCAGCGGCATCCAAGTAAGGAGACGGCAGCCCCTCGGAGTCGGGGAAGCGCATGTGCATGGAACTCTGCCCCACTAGGGTCCCAAAGGGTACCAGCCACAGGTGTTCAGCCGATTGTTCCCAGAGGTCATTCCAGAGAGGTGTAAGAGGGCGGGGAAAGGTAGGCGAAGCATTGGTGCCCTTCGAGGCAAGTCCAGCGAGGCAGTCCGCTATCTCGTTGACCAGAAAGCCCGCATGCCCCTGAACATGAGCGAACTCGGTGGTAAGGCGAGACTGGACCGCCTGCCATGCGAATCGGGCGCCTCGCGCCCATGGGGTGGTAGCCTTCCCGTGCCCAGCAGCAACCTGAAGGGCCGCTTGATTATCAACCGCAATGACAACTCGCTGAGGGCGTGCATGCCATGCGGCATAATTGGCATCAACCCACACACTGGTCCATAGGGCGGCTTGCTCGAGTGCTGCAAGCTCAGCAGCATACGACAGGAGGACAGGAGGAAGGTCCTTGGCCACAGCTTGGGGTCTGGCATTCATGGCGCCGTGTTCCCAGCCGATCCGGCACCACATGCCTCCCTGGAACCCCCAGACAGCAAAAGCCCATGCACCAACCCCATCACCCGACCATCGGTGGCGATGAGGAGTTGATCTGGGACTCCCCGGGTCCACACCGGATATGACTGCCACGAGGTGCGGATATGCCTGGGGGCGGACCCGGGTAGTTCAGTGGGTATGTCATCCGCAATCCAGTGGCCGTAAGATGCTTCTTGCAGGCGTGCTGGTCCAGTCAGATCTACTAGCCAATCCCCATTATCACCTTTCTCCCAGGTCAGTCCCGGGGCTCCTCTTGGGCATAGGTAGCAGTCCCAGAGCTGGGAGCATAGTTGTCTCTGTCTAACCACAGTGGCTGGAACACGGACGCGGGTCGGACGGGTTAGTTGGGCCCAGCCAAGGAAGCAGGACAGGGCCAGTCGGCCTGGGTGTCGAGCAGGGGTTAATGTAGAGAGCACCCGGGCTGTCCGTGCATGCACATGGCTCCTGTCAGCGTCCCTGCCAAGGACAGGGACCGGCTGCAAGGCATGGATATGATCTCCATCGCGCGCGAACCAAGGTTGGCCCCGAGGTAACAAGTGACACGCTAGGGAGGCGTCGCCAACCAGGACCGAGGCCAAAGTGTCTTGCCGGCCCGGCACGAAGTGATGCCTCCCGTCGCAGAAGCCAGCGTAGACCCAAGCTCCCGGGAAGGTGGAGGCGAACAAGGGCAGGAAAGTTCTTAGCCTGGGACTCCAACGCTCGCCGGGGGGACCGTATGTGAAAACAGGACCTCGTCCATCGTGATGCCAAAGGCAGACTTGCGCGCCCGCGTGCAGGGCAAAGGGTCGTCTCCATTGGATATGGCCTGTGGGAGGCAGAGGCTCAGTCTGACCGGCTGCGACTAGGCTGCGGAGAAGTGGTCGCCACTGTTGCGGCACCCAGAGGAAGACGTCGCCATGACGCAGCCACCACAGACCAAGGTCATCCGGGAGGAGACCCTCGGGGCCGGCGAGCCTATCATCCGCATGCGTTTGCCGCAGGGCGGCATGTAGAAAGCGGCCCGGGATGGCCGGCGGCAGTGCGAGTGCTCGGACGCTGGAACCAGACATGACAAGCACGTGCACAAGGTCAGAGGACCGGCTGTTCGCAATCCAGTGTTGCACAATCCCAGCGTCTGCCGCAGCGACCTGCGTGTACCCAGGTTCCCTAAGCTCGGCCTCTGAGGAGACAACACGGGTGATCTCATAGGGGCACCATAGGTACCGAGTAACCTCCGCTTGCATCCCAAGACCAGGGGTTGCCGACAGGATGGTTGCAAGGGCTAGGCAACGCAGAAAGCCGAACCCACGCCGTGTCTGGCACAGGGCCCCAAGGAATAAGGGGAACCATGTGCTGGGCCGATTTTGCGCAGAGCTCCCGGCAACCATGTGGAGGTTATCCAGCAAGACGTCACCGTTTCTTAAGGTCCGCACGAATGAGCCATCCGTAGGTCCACGCACGCAGTAGGAGTACGCCAACTCAGGCTCGACCTCTCTCCGAGAGATGCACCGGGGCGGCTGGGTCCAAAGAATGACATTGACCCTACCAGGGTCATTGGAGCGCAGACACAGGGATAGCCCCTCAGAGGGAATCCACGGAACGGGATCCCAGCTAATGGTGTCATCCCAAGGCATGCTGGAGAACCTACCTTTTTTGGGGTGCCAGGTGGCGCCTGCCGGGAGGCGTGTGGTGCGCGGGGGCTGTAGAGGTCGCCAAAGGGTGACCTCGCCCGCTTGGGCCAGCACGAAGGGGTTTTGCCATATAGCATGGTGTCTTGCCTGAGTGGTGGTAAGCAGAACCTGCATAGGTCCCGGTACTCGTGTCTCCACAGAACCCCGAGCGAGGAATACATCCCCGTTGCGAAGGTACGGGTTTTGCCCCGTGACTCGTTTATGTCGGATAGACAGAGGCCAGGAGAAATCATGCTGCGCGCCTAAGGCACGTGGTAGGCATGCGGCAGGCGTAGTGCGCAAGACAAGGCATGCCCGGGGCTCAACCTCCCCCGTGACGACGACACAAACCAGCGGTTCCGGTGGGCATGGCACCATATGCAGAGTGCTGAGGCTGATGGCCGGCCAAACCGGCACCCAGGGGCGTTCCCATTGCGGTAGCCCCTGTCGGAAAAAGGCATCAACATCAGTTTCGGATAGCCCTCCTGGGACCTTTAGTCCCCGGCGCTGTCCCGAAAGCGGGCAGAGGAACTGAAGATCATGATACTGGTGAATGCCGATGGTATCCGGCAACGGCCGCCATGGCACAACTCCGCTCTGATGGAAAAGGCCGACGCGCACGGAGCGGGGGGTTACTAGAGGCCCGGGCCGATCGTGGATACTAGGTGACCGTGATCTGGGAGTGCCGGAACTATCTTCTTCGTCGGAGCCAGCCCCATTAGCGAGGAGATGCATGCTCAGGATCGCCACCCCGAGCCAAGTTGGCCGCACAGAAAGGCCGAGTGTCGCCGCCAACAAGGTACGGATATAGGGATTAGGGGAGGCCCCACTGAGCGTGGGTGGTAGCGGCTCCAAGAAATCCCCGTCCCTAGGTTGCGGCTCATGGGCGGTGTACACCGCCCCCCGGATGTGGTACCGCTGTGTCCAGCAAGGTGAGGTGCGATCGAGTCGCAGGCACACAATCCCGCCACCAACGGTGGAGTCAGGCAACAAGACATGACAGATATGGGCAGCTGTCGCACGCTGACACAAGTGCAAACCTCGAAGAGGTATCCAAGGGCAAACTGTCCAGTCCTCCTGAGCTCCAGTCCATTCCCCGTCAAACCTGGACAGGGTGGGATTCCAGGTGGCGCCCAGTGGTAGCCAATCCTGTTTCGGCTCTTGGCCAGGTCTCCATAGGGTAATCGGGCAGGAACCTAGTACGCGAAAGGGCCGCTGCCAAAGAGTGTGATGTCGAGCAGATGCGGCATTATGCACTCCCGCGGGCTGATGGCTCGAAGCCGCGCCGGAATCACGTGTCCAGCAAACGTCTCCGTGCCGTAAGCACGCCCTCCCATCCACATCGAATCGTGTGGCATGCGGTGGTGTCAAGTAGCCGCCAAACAGGAAAGTTTGTCGATCCCAGGGAATAGATTGCAGAACCAGGTGGCTCCGCAGAGTATCCCCGGACCAGACTAGGATGCAGATTAGAGGCGCAGGGGGGCATGGAACAAATTGCAGATGGGGAGGGCACAGTGCAGGCCATACCGGCATGAGAGGGCTGTGCCAATGCGAAAGGCTACGCCACAGTTCATGAGCGACATCTGCATCCCCATCTGCAAGGCCTCGCAAAGGGGAATATGTCCCATAAAGAGGGCAGAGCGCTTGGACGCTTTCAAAAGTGGTAATGTCGCATGTGTGGTTATGCGTCGGGAAAGCAGGCCGGCCTCGGTCATGGTACAGGCCTACCGGAACTGACTGAGGCAGGATCTCCGCGCCCGTGCCCCTGGACGAGGAGCTGGATCGCGATCTAGCCGTGACTGGAGGGGTTGACATCATGCAAGGCCGCGGGCTCACAAGTACCATCATTAGTGCCGCAGTCAGGCCTGGAAATCGCCTTCCAATGATCCCCCACCCAACAATCAAGGTGGCCAGCGTCCTCTCCTGGCTCGGTCTCGTGGCCGAACTGGTTGCGGGTTGTGGGAGTGGCTGGCACATGGAAGGACTGATGACATCACCATCTCTCAGCTGGAGGTCAGAGGTGCCTGCCGAGCCACTTTGAACATAGCCGGCTACCGCCCACGGACGATTGCCCCAGTGACGCAGCCGCCCGGCAATGTCCGCGGGAGACGTGAACCGGGGCCATGTTTCACAGTAGGGTCCGGACGGGTCATAGACGAGAACATTGGCATGGGCTGCCTGATTAGAGACTGGCACAAGATGCGTGCTCGGCCCTCGGCTCCATGGGCAAGGGGTCCAACGTCCAGGGAAGAGGTCCGTAGTGAAGACACTAAACCTAGCGTCCCGTGGAGACCACGCAGTCCCAGCCGGGAGCCGACAGACCTTGACATCACGCTCCGGGAACCACATATGACAGTGCATCGGTGCTGTGAGGATAAAGGGCCGTTGCCAAAGGGTAGCATGTCTCAGGGTGTCAGGTCTCGCCACTTCCACGACCCCTCCACGCTGCGCCGGGGCACCATCATCGATGGGTGCCGCATAGAATACGTCACCGTTCCGGATCGCAAAGAACCCAGGCCCATCCGGCTGTTGCAGGAGAGGTAGGTAGAGCTGAGAGAAGGGCCCAGGTGACATATACCTGACGGCTTCTAGGAGCCATTGACGCGTAACCATGGAAGGCAGACCCCAGTCAGTTGCAGACACGATGATGCATGCCATCTTAACATCAGGTGCTACCGGGACAACCGTGAGCAAGGGAGTCTCGAAAGCAGGCCAGACTGGCGTGGCGCTAGAGGCCCATGGAAGGTCATTGTGCAGACACATGAGCGTGATCTCTCGCCAGGTGCTTCGGGCGGGGATCTGAACAGCTTGGCTTTCACCTCGGAAAGGGCTGAAGTACCTAACCCAAACATCATGACGGCCCGCCGCAACAGACACGAGAGTGCGGTCGGCCGGGCGTTGATTCCACATAAAAGAACCGACCCCGACATCAACAGCTTGACTGCGGAAGTGTGGGTTCCACATAGCGGAAGCCCCCTGAAGAAGGAAAATCCCACACCACCGAGGGTCATGAAGCAGAGCCAAGGCTAAGAGGACCCAATGAGCCGCACTTCCACGGGATGAGCTGCTGTGGCCAGGGTCCCGGTGCATGAAAGTTTCGGCAGTCGGCGATACGTGACTCAGGGTCCAGTGGACAGCCGTAATCGGGGGAGGAGCGGCTTCCAGAGCAATGTGCGCAGGCACATGTTCGGGTATGTCTGCTAAAAGGCAAATCTCCACAATCTTCCTGGGCGTGCATGAGCACATACGCACCGAGACAGCCGGTGTCTGTCCTTGCCATAGGATGTGCACAATGCTGCGTGGTTCAATACCCACTAGATCAGCCAG